TCGACCTCTACCTGCCGGTACATCTTCTCGATGTCTCCGGTCAAGATGTACCTATGTTGCCGAGCTCTAATTAATATAGAGAACAGGGAGTCTTGCACAGTAGGTCCTACCATCAAAATGTCATTTAAAGAATAACCCGAGGAGGATGCTGCGGAACCATCAAAAACGACACGTAACACTTAGTTGATTCTCTATCCTCCCTTAACACGGGATGATGGCATAAAAAATAAGAAATGTCGGGTTTTGAATAGCATTCAGACAAATGGCCTAACTCTGCATATTCTTCTATAAATTTGGAATAACGCAATTTCATATTTGGATCTCGCCTAAATCGTTTTTCTAAATTAAAAAATCTACGTTTTGCTAGACCATACGTATCACCCAAACGGTCGGGCGATTCCTGTACAGGCAGCTTCACACGAAACCTACCACTATCTAACCTAATAGTATTTTGTATGAAATGATTTTCACAATAATCATCACTTTCGGTTATATTTTGCTTGTACGGGACTTCCTCTAAATTCCAAAAAATGGAAAGCATTTTTTCAATTTCGCTATTTGAATTGTTTTGTTCTGTAAGGGCTAGATTACTTCGTGTTGAATTTTCAAGACTCATTGGACTCAATGGACCTGACACCAACCAACCAAATTTTGAATTATGCAATTTAGGACAACTGGAACCTAATGACAGTTGTTCTTCTCCTATCACGTCCCAGAATATGTCAGCCCCGATTAAAATATCAATTTTGGACGGTTGGTTAAATATGGGATCTGCTAAGGCCAAATTTTTAGGAATATTTAAGGTATTAATATCTATTGGAACCGTAGGTATCTCACTAGTTAATTCTTTTAACACAAGAAAATGAATATTTTTACTAAATGGATTGTTGATTAATGAAGTTGCGCGCGCGACGCATGTCTCCACAACCTTACTGGCGTTATTGTTTCCTATGCCAATAACGGTCATATTATTTATTCGAGTTGAAGATAAACCTAACTTTTCTTTTAGCGATTTAGTAATAAATGAAGACTGGCTTCCGCAATCCAATAATGCACGAACTTTAGCTGATTCGCCTGTATTTGGATTAGAAATTTTTATCATAGCAGTTGACAAGAGCACTTGACCTTGTCTGAAATTTGAAAAATTAACAATTGTTTCATCAGAAACTTCATCTACTGGCGTACTATGCGCCGACGTACTTGTGGACCTATGCAATAAACTGTTATGACGTTCTTTACAATCGCGACAGGGACCCACCCGACACTCGCTTACGGGGTGACCCTGACGCAAGCAATTGACACAAAGTTTATATTTTTTAACAAAATTTAATCGTTCTTGTACATCCTTTGATTTAAAAACAGCACAATCGTAAATCTTATGATTGTCACCGCAGATGATACACACACAAATACGAGACGGTTTAGAATTTATTGCAGTAAGAGATTTATAATACCCGTTACGAAAATTATTGTTTTGCTTATTATTAGCATTGTTGCTCGGCGTAGCACTGTAACGCACTGGCGGCGTAGCAATGTAACGCGCGGATGCACCGGTCGATCCTACCAATGATCCCTTATTTGAGTGACTGTCATATCTACTTCTATGTATAGACTCGAGCACGTCTGCGCGGTCAGTTAAAAACTTATTAAATTGGTTTAGCATAGGGAAATCGTCTAAAACATTGCGGTATTCCTCCCATTTAGCAAGCGTATGGCTATCCAATTTAGATGATAACATAAATATTAAAAGCATATCCCACTTGTCTGTGGGCTGGCCTAAGCTGGACAATGCACGCAGGTTTTTTGTCACGTGATCAACCAAGAACCGAAGTGACTTTTCAGACTCACGCGTCTGAGGCTGAATATTAAATAAAGAATTTAGATGATGATTAGTTAATAGTCTTTTATTATTGTATCTATTACACAATAACTGCCAAGCCTCGATATAGTTCGCAGCCGATATTTCTAAATTCGATATTATCCTAGCAGCTTCTCCTTCCAGGTAAGAGACAAGATAATGAAACTTGTGGACAGGAGATATGTGGCTATTATTGTGTACTAGACTTTCAAACGTATCATGAAATTCAAGCCACCTGAAGTACGTTCCGTCGAATTTGGAAATCTGAATTTGCGGCAGCTTAAAACCCATACTATTGTTATAGTTGCTACTATTTTCAGCCGATAATTGACATTCTGCGTCCATAAAGCATTCGCGTTTTTTGAAACTTATTTTGACTTTCGATAATATTTTTGGCCAAAGCTATGTTGGCTATAAAATCATGTTCAATATCTTCTCTTTCGTCTAATTCCCATTCTAAATTCCCCGAATTCAAAACCTCGATCTCACCTTGCAAGTCATCGAATTTTGCAAACAATGCCTCGAATCTACCAAGCTTCAAAGTCAACTCGGTTAATTCGAGACTAACTATTTCTCCTCGCTGATTTATAGTAGACAAATATTTTTTAAATTTAGTGATCTGCCCTTTCATCGAACTTCGTTTTGCGGTTAATTCTTTCATCCTTTTCTCTTCACTCTTATCAAAAGTAGATTTATTAGCGTTTTCTGGATCCATCATATACAACAAACAAAAACTAGAATCGAATATAAATCAGCGAAGAAATGAGCAGTATTAAGAAGGTATAAACTTAATTTGGCTCACGCTCATCCACGGTGTTCACACGCTGACCCGGGAAACCGGCGCCGCCGACGAATTTATTTTCAACTTATTATTGATACCTAGGTATTATGGGCCACCATTAATTGAGCTTCTAATTTTTTAATTAGATAACTACTTTTAGCTTTAATAGATGTTATTTTTTAACTTTGTTTGCGACAAATGAAAGCTACACTACAACATTCGGAAAGAACGGAAAAAAGTTGTGACTTGGAAATGGGAATTCAGTGGAAATTGGGGCACTTATCTCAACCCGATGACGACGACGGTGGTGTAAGCTTTCGCTGCCTTACTGCCCGCAGTCCTCGAAATCTTCAAAATTTTCACAAGTTTGACTCGCAATTTTCCTTGATAATTTTCTTTCCTTTTATGCGTTCCCCTCATGGGCCACCAATTTATGTCTTGTCTCGACACAATGGAGCCAAATAAAACTATTCTTTAGATGAATAATAACTTTTGTAATGCTATTTTGTAAGTAAGAAAATTATATATAAATTAAAGCAGCCTTGACAACGGCTAACAGAAAAGAAAAAAGACATTGACAAATTAAAAAAGAATAAAACATGCGTAGGTCATTGGACCTCCTTTGTACATAATAATAATCTTCATCCATGAAGGCGACGAGCCGTAACATGTATAGTTATAATATTAATTAATTATTGTAATTGTGATGACATAATAAAGAAATAGCTATTCAATTAGAAAATTTGACATGTATTAATTGAATAAATAAAAATAAAATAAATAATAAATTTGACATTTGGGATGCAACTATTACTCAATTTAAATTTGAATTTTTAGATAATTTATTAGTATTTTGTATGCTCTTCCAAGGGCGAAACATATGGAACTTTTTATATATTACCAGCTGTAACAAACTATGTTTCATGCAAATAAACTTTCATTTCATTTCACGCTATCACCTACGGGGAACGAGCAGTGAACAGGGGTCAAAAATTATGTACAGATAACTAACTTAACGCATACGAAGTCGCGGGCGGCCGCTAGTATTAAATACCTCAGATACACCACGTGCGCCTAATCAAGAAGTGCTTGAACTCCACTGAAGCACTTCTTGGTTCACGAGTCACAATAAAAACCCTAATAAAATGAACACAATTTGAAACTAAGGGTATATTTTAATGAAGTATTTGGAAATACTTATTTTGTACTTCGTATTTTAAATAATAAATAAAAAAAATATTTTGTATTTGAAATCTAATATATAAAATTCTCGTGTCGCGGTGTTTGTGGTTAAACTCCTCCGAAACGGCTCGACCGATTTTCGTGAAATTTTATATGCATATTCAGTAGGTCTGAGAATCGGACAACATCTATTTCTCATCCCCCTAAATGTTAAGGGTGGTCCCTACTTAAACAATTTTTTTTGGACCATCATCATACAAAAATACATACAACCCTAAATTTTCACCCTTCTACCACCAACCCCTAATTTTTTATGGCGGTACGAAGTTCGCTGGGACAGCTATATAGTAGGTAATTCTATAGATATTCAATATACGGATGGTGACATTGTAATGCTCCATACCTATATAAATAATTATAAAAAAAGTGGCTTCAGACTTTCTCATTTCAAAAAAGAACAAGCGCAAGACACAATAGAACGTGACGTAAGCAGTATTCGAAAATTTTAAAAAAACGAAAATTGAATGCCGTGAAATGAAAACCGAGGTTCCCTAAGCGATGCGTGTGGAACTGAATTTTCTTTCATTGAATTTACGTCCTTCAAATTTGTTTGTGTAGCTTTTGTAAAATTGTTTATTCGTTATATAGTGAAAAGCTCTTCCACTGTTTCCTTTTGTTTATTTGTTGTTAATTTTTCTTTGTATTTTAGATATAAATGCTGATTCATTATATTTACATAGTATTTAATACACCCGTGTGAAGCCGGGACGGGCCGCTAGTCTAATATATAAAATTCTCGCGTCACGGTGTGCGTAATTGAACTGCTCCGAAACGGCTCGACCGATTTTCGTGATATTTTATATGCATATTCAGTAGGTCTGAGAATCGGATAACATCTATTTCATCCCCCTAAATGTTAGGGGTGCACCCTTAAAAATTTTTTTTGAGCCAAAATATTTTGTTTTTATTTTTTTATGATACATCATACAAAAATACATACAACCCTAAATTGTCACCCTTCTACCACCAACCCCTATTTTTTTATGGCGGTACGAAGTTCGCTAAGACAGCTAGTAAAAACATATAAAATAATTTACATTTTGTATTCAAATACTTTTCATAATGTATTTTGCACATCTCTGTTACTAACCAACCACTGTTCTCCCCCTTCTCGTACAGACGGCGCAACAATCCGAAGCTCCCCGCAAACGTCACAAGTCGGACGTAGAAGCGGAGGGGGCAAGCGGTGGCATCGGGGGGCAAGTGACGGGCAGCAGAAGGGTATTACAATTGGATGAGCTGGTATTCGCGGCCGGAGCTCACTTTATGGCAAATAAGAGGTGTCAGTTGCCACCAGGATCTTTTAGGAAACAGAGGAAAGGTGAGTAAAATTATCTCTTATCTATTAGACAAGTCCGTCCGTCCGTCTGTCTGTGGTGCTGTTTCAGCGGCCAAACCGTAAGAGATAGATAAAGAGAATATTTAAGTTATAAGTTAAGAATAGTCTGATAAGATTACAAACCGGATTTGAGTAACGTAGCACTTCCGGTTTTCGAGAAATCACGAATTTCAAACGAAACCACACAAAATCTCCGAAGTTCTCAATTAATTAAATACATTTTTTTTAATCAGGTTTTGGTGAACATTTGGTTCACTGATTTGCTAGTTTAAATCTAAAGAAAATATAACTAGAAAAAAACACCGAGCAGTTTCATGCTTAAAAAAATAAAATCATAGTTCTAATGTTGTCAAAATCCTCAAGGAAATGGAGGTGATTGATTTAGGAAAATTTTAAAACAATAGAAGAAATGCATCTAGCAACACTTGGAAATTACATAAATAACGCAAGAATTCTTGAACATACATTTAATAGAGACGACCTCCGTGGTCGAGTGGTTTGTACGCCGGGTTTCATGGTGTCGCTGACTCGAGAGGTCCCGAGTTCGAGTACCGGTGGGGGCAGATGTTTGTGTGATGAATACGAGCATTTGTACTCCAGTCATGGATGTTTAATATGTTTTTCTATATAAATATACTTATTTAAGTACAGTATATGTATTCTATCCATTACCCTAGCATCCCATAACACAAGCCTTACAGTGATTACTTTGGAGCTAGGCTAATTGGTGTGAGTGTTGGAAATATTTATTTATTTAATAGAAAAGATTGAATTAACAAACAATGACGGAATTGACAAATAACAACACATAGCTAAGTAACAATGGTGCCAATTCTGGCGTGATTCTCTAAACTTAAATCTAAATTTAACATCAGTCTCTCCTTTTCATTTTGTATAGAGAATAACAAGGATACACTGTTGTCAAATTTAAGTTTAGGTTTAGAGAATCATGTCAGAATTGATACCAATATTTTTTTTAACTCAAACAGCAACAAGTTACATCTATTTTGTTACACTCTTATGACACTTCATTGATTCAAAGCATTGCTCTTACTATGAGGGCGTCCATAAATTACGTGAGATGTTTAAGGGGGGGAGGGGGTCGAGTCAAATCTCATTTAATCTTACGTTGGAGAGAGGGGGGGTCGAGTCAAATATCACGCAATTTTTTTTCTGATTGAAACAAAAAAAAATATACCATTTAGGTCCATTTAATCCAGATTGTACATGCTTAAAATTTTATCTTGAGCGTAATCGTAATACGATTAATATCATTCACTATTTCGTTCGAAAGAAATAACTCTCAGCAATATTGATTACTAGTCTTAACTAGTCGTAAATAAAAGCACGAAGCATTTTTTTTTCTTTTAACAATGACAATCCAACGCATTTAAGTAAGAGACCCACATTTTGAAAAATCTGACGTGAGATTGGGGGCTGGGGGAGGGGGTTGAAAAAAATCTCACGACATCTCACCAGGGGCACAGCGGTGACACTCTCTGTACGTGAGAGTTCCAGCGTCAGTGACCTTGAGCACTTGAGCAGGAGCGTGTATGCGCTAGGGTTGAACTTGGAATTTAGACTTGTGCCAATGAATATTTATGCATAGTAAGTTATTAAATGTAAACTGATTCAAGTATACTGGGGTAAGTAATGAAGGATATGTTTGATTTTATAATCAATTTTTAATCTTTTAATGTAGGTACTATAACAAATTGCTAACTTTTATATATTTTCTCCTTTTTCGATTCGTTTTATAATTCTTATTATTATGTAATGTAAATAATAATAAGATTGCGTAGCGTAGTCAGTCTGTGCGTGCAATGCAGTGCAACGCTATTATTTTACTATTTCGCTACTGCCATTGCCATGTCTTCGGTGGAGGCAGTCGGCGACTGCCCTCTCCACGTCCCGCGCGCCGCGCAACGCCCCCGCGCACCTCCAGATATCCACACATATAGCCGCGGGCGATTTTACGAGCACACAAGTGTCGCTTCTTTTCGCGTAGTGTATATATTCTGTGCCAGGGGAATTACGACTAGTTAAGACTAGTAATCAATATTGCTGAGAGTTATTTCTTTCGAACGAAATAGTGAATGATATTAATCGTATTACGATTACGCTTAAGATTAAATTTTAAGCATGTACAATCTGGATTAAATGGACCAAAATGGTATATTTTTTTTGTTTCAATCAGAAAAAAAAATTGCGTGAGATGTTTAAGGGGGGGAGGGGATCGAGTCAAATCTCATTTAATCTTACGTTGGACAGAGGGGGGGTCGAGTCAAATAGACTCGACGTTGGAGAGAGGGGGGGTCGAGTCAAATAGACTAGAAAATTCAAAAAAACACCTCACGTAATTTATGGACGTCCCCTATCCGAATACTTTAGAGATAGAAAAAGAAGACATTAGGGGTATTTTTACCCAGTTTACAAGTGGGATATATTTAAGAAACAAAAGAAAATTCAAAAATTAAATATATAAATATAAATTCTAACGCAATGAGTTGCATTAGCGACTCCGCATCTTTCATAATGCTATGCATCGAGTGACTGATGAAACAATATCTACCGTCTTGGTTACTTATCGGCACTCCGCCGGTATGAATTGCATGTTTTTCTTTTTTGTCTTTGTGAAGGGACGGTAGCAAAATAATAATTTTGTCATTCGCTCGTAAACATGCCAGATTGCATTTTTGTATTGTGCTTGTATTAATAACAATAGTTTAATAATAATAATGGTTTATTTATCTTAAAAGTTACAATTGCTCTTATATACTAATTAGAGGAATTAAATCTTAAATATTTTTACATATAAGAGGTTCGTTGACGGCTGTACTAGTATTAACTGTGTCACAACCGTCAGCGACTCCTTCCATGATATTTTGTCATGGGGATGCACAAAAATTAACCTTATTTAAACCTTCTAAAGTACCTAACTAACCAAAAATAAGAAAACATTTAAATTTTGTTTTGTTTTATACCGACTGTGCTTTTGCGCGTGTGTGTGTGTGTGTGTGCGTGTGTGTGTGTGCGTGTGTGTGTGTGTGTGCGTGTGTGTGTGCGTGTGTGTGTGTGTGTGCGTGTGTGTGTGCGTGTGTGTGTGTGCGTGCGTGCGTGCGTGTGTGTGTGCGTGTGTGTGTGTGTGTGTGTGTACTGTATGTGATATATGATAGTTTGCCTACCTATTGTACTAAATTATAGTTTTATAAAGCAGCTGCGCTGTGTCAATTCAATTAAGTTATTAGTTTTAGTTATGTATCTCATTTTAAGTGAATGGTCTGTGTAAGTTCGTATGAGAAATAAAATTCTTTAAACCTAAACAAGAAAAGAATAGTGGCATTTATTGAATTACTGTTTCTCGTAAAGGTTACGAAGAAGTCCACGTGCCAGCGTTGAAACCGAAGCCTTTCGAGGAAGACGAGACTTTGGTGCCCATAGAGAAGTTGCCTAAATACGTGCAGCCAGCCTTCGACGGATTCAAGACTTTAAACAGGATACAGGTGATTATAATTTTTTTTATTTTTTTAAAGCATGTAACTGCTTGATGTTTAAATCTAAAGAAAATATAACTAGAAAAAAATCCACGCGGACCAGGCAGCAGACGGGACTCGAACTCGCACCCTTCGCAATCCGGGCGAATGCACTGACCAATTATGCTACCGCGGCCTGCACGGACCGCGCTGAAATTCCTCTAGCCATTCTTAAGCTGCAAGGCAGCGCCATCTCTTCGCATTGTAGGTAACCCACAATGTCAAATGAATACTTTTTCAAGTATTAAACATTTGAAAGAAGAAATAGCAATTATAGTTATGATTTTATTTATTTTTTAAGCATTTAACTGCTTGATGTTTAAATCTAAAGAAAATATAACTAGAAAAATTCCACGCGGACCAGGCAGCAGACGGGACTCGAACCCGCACCCTTCGCAATCCGGGCGAATGCACTTAGCCTTTAGCTAAAAAGGAAAATATAACTGAGAATGACGACCTCCGTAGCTGAGTGGTTTGTACGCCGGGTTCGAATCCCGGTGGGGGCAGATGTTTGTGTGATGAATACGAGCATTTGTACATCATGGATGTTTAATATGTATTTCTATATAAATATACTTATATATGTATTGTATCCGTTACCCTAGTATTCCATAACAAGCCTTACAGTGTTTACTTTGGGGCTAGGCTAATTGGTGTGAGTGTTGAATTTTTTTTTTTTATTATTCTTGGTGTGTTGGAATACCAGTCACAAATTACCTTACAAACTAAGCCCATCAATTTCAATTTTCAACCTTATCCCTCTATCAACAGAGTCGCATCTCCAAAGCTGCTCTAGAAACCGATGAGAACCTTCTAGTTTGCGCTCCCACTGGAGCCGGTAAAACTAACGTAGCTCTCCTGACGATACTACGTGAAGTCGGCAAGCACGTGAACGACGATGGGACCGTAAACGTGAACGACTTCAAGATGATCTACGTTGCGCCGATGAGGTCGCTCGTACAGGAAATGGTGAGTTTCAACCTTAAGGTTTAGATGTTAAAGCATTTTTGCAGGCCGGCAAGGTGAGGATGGTTGGTGTAGCAGTTTATAATAATAATAATAACCATTTATTTCAGGCATACTACCCATATTACATACAGAAATAGAAAAAAAAAATAATAAAAAATGACAATCAAATTAAATAATTACAATCACAATAATAATAATTCAAATATAAATTTCAAATAATTACAATTCATTTTAATTACATCATAATCCAATTATCAATCAAATAAAATAAAATAAAATCAAAAACAAATAATAATTGAGTTCTAGTTTATAACTGCTGTACCAGACTTTTTGGTGGGATCGGGATGCGTCACTTTAGCAGTTTTGTTTTTCTTGTTAAAAATTGTGTTGCGGCGGATGTTAGTGTCTAATAATGGCGGATTATTAACCACTAAGTGTTCGGGAACATCCATAAGTGTTGGCAAGTGAAACAAAATAGCGGAAAGTGTCTTTCGACCTTCCCTCAAGAAGTCCACGGGGAGGTTCCAGTAAATCCCCACACTTTTACTGAAACAAAGGGAAAGGGGGTTTGACTTGACTGCCACTTACTTTGATTTGATTTATTACTTTGACCATGAGTGCTATAGAATTTGTAAACATTTTACACTTGACATTGGGTAAATGCACAAGCCGTGCGAAGCCATTTAGCAGAAAAAACTGCGGTACCAGCTATTTTCGCGTTTGGACTTTATCACCACTTAACATCAGGTGGGGTAGAGTCATTTGCCTACCGAGATATAAATAAAAAAAATGTAAATTAATTAATTAATTTGATTGTATAAAATTCTGATAGGTAACATTGATTGTCCTCAACTTCTTAGTGAAATTAGTTTTAATACTAGCAAACCAGTGAACCAAATGTTCACCAAAACCTGATTTTTAATTAATTGAGAACTTCGGAGATTTTGTGTGGTTTCGTTTGAAATTCGTGATTTCTCGAAAACCGGAAGTGCTACGTTACTCAAATCCGGTTTGTAGTCTTATCAGACTATTCTTAACTTATAACTTAAATATTCTCTTTATCTATCTCTTTCGGTTTGGCCGCTGAAACAGCACCACAGACGGACGGACAGACGGACGGACAGACGGACTTGTCTAATAGATAAGAGATACCACGACCAAATTTCGGACCAGCTAACTATAAATTATTTAATTTAAAAACTTATAAAACCAACCTGGGTATGCAAAGTGTTTTAAATAGGATTTGTGAATGTGATCGCAGCCGAACGCGCTAGCCATCTGAGCCATCGAGCTCCTCGGCAATACCTACGCTCTAAGTGAAATTCTTTACCTCCTGTTCTCAATTTTGACATAAAATGCATGAAGCTTATGTCAACTTTGTCATTAATTGCACCTAGAGAACACACCCACCTTTGAACGGGCCGCGACTCGACGACAGACGTAAAGGCAAGGTCGCGGGCCGCCCGCGTTTTTTTAAATGTCATGCGAAATAGGGGTGATGACGGGGTACAGTAAACGAAATTCTATTTAGTCCGTCAGTTAGATGATCAAAAAATAATGGACACGTATTTTTTCTTTGGGCAATCAACCAAAAAATGACAAAGTTATAGCGCGTCAAAGTTTGGGAGTAGGGGCTCGTGACGTCACTTTTGAGTGAAAATTGTACCAAAACGTGACGTCATGCGACTTTTCAAATCAATATATCTCTGCAATTTTTATATTATGTGAAAAAAGAAAAAATACGTATCCAATACTTTTTGATAATCTACCTGATAAACGAAGAAAAAAAAATTAGTCATCATCCCTATTGCACACACTTTAAACTTAATTTTCTCAGCCACTTTTGAAGATAGAAAAAAAGTAAAAATACAGTTATTCTTTAATTTTTTGTAGAACACTTTGGTATTTTTAGAATAGAACGTTTGTCATCGCCATTCTCTCCCCAGGTGGGAAGCTTCAGCAAGCGTCTGTCAGCCTACAACATGAAAGTGTCAGAGTTAACTGGAGACCATCAGCTGACCAGAGAGCAGATAGACGCGACACAACTCATCGTCTGCACGCCGGAGAAATGGGACATTATCACTAGGAAAGGTGAGAAAATTGCTTGATGAATATAATTAGATTATAGTCTTCTTCGTTTGCGTGCAGTAATTGGTTTGCCATACAAGATTATATCCCCCTTTCAACCTCTTGAAGAATGAAAATTATCGTGTGTTCGTTCCTGGGACTCAAATGAAATGAAATTTCAAGCATGAAAATGCTGTCATACAGAGCGATATACTTTCGCATCCGACAAATATTATGAAAACTATTTCTACTATAAATGTGAATGTTTGTATGTTCGTTACTCAATCCTATGTTTCAATCCCACGGAGCACCCCCACTAGAGTCCGCATACAAGGGCAAGCGCTTACGCCAAGCTTAAGTAGTATATTACCTATGCGTGAGGCACGCCTACAGACGTCGCGATACATCGTTTCATTCGGTAACCGAGCGTTGGTCGAACTGCTTCTCTCGTTTTCGTGTTATACGTCGCCCTTAGCCATCTCTTTTCTTCGCGGTCTGTACTTGCTATATTGCTAACAGCGCATTCAGAATTGCGAGTGAAAAGTCAAAAAAAATAAGGACTATATTCTTTCACATATAACAATAAATCGTAAAATTTTACGAACTTGACACATGCATTTTAATTAAGACCTTATACCGTATGCATTAAAGGTGACTTTCAATGTTTAAATAAGGCATTATATTGTTTTTGACCACGCGATCATCTTACGGACCTCCGTGGATCGTCCAATGTACCTTTTGGACACGTTTCGGCCACGATTTTGTTCGTGTTATTGTATCTAGGGTAGTTAATATCGTTGCATTAATACTTCTTGTCCTGGACGTGTTTTTTTTTGTGTTGCTTATATATAATTTAGTATGTAGTTACTAGTCGCGTCATGTAATTAGAACGCTGGAAGAAAGTGGAGAGGGTATGATTACGCATTTGCGCACCAAAGTGTAGTAGTGTGTTTATCGATAGAAAATATCGATATTTTCTAAAAATCGATCTTACCCTCATCACTTCGCTGCACTGAGTATATGATCTGACCTTGACGCGTCCAATCACAGCGGGGCTGACCTCCCTGCACTCCACCGACTTTAGCGATTTTGATTCCAAACAAAATTTGTGTGATGCGGACTCTAGTGGGGGTGCTCTATGTTCAATCCAGAACGTATAATCTATATAAACGCTTACCAAATTTCACCCAAATCCGCATGAAAACGTAACAAACACACTCACTTTTGCATTTATAGATATTAAATGTAGCTTTAAATTTTGCAAAACATTTTTCTACCACTTCTTGTATTTAAAGATTTACTAGACGCCGTCCGCGACTTTGTTCGCTTTTTAACTTTATACAAAATACAAAAGCCTTTATTGCTGATAACTACGTAATAAAAACACATCATTAACATTTTGACGTGACAACGTCTTAAATTAGGTTGCGGCTGGGAGTCACTTATGAAAAAGTGTAACGCTCGGTAACGTTACGATGAGTTTAAGTTTACATGTACAATGTTTTAGTAAACAAAATATATTTCTATAGTTAAAATTTGTGCAATTCTTATTTTCATTCAATTCCTTGTTCCTATTGTGCAATTTAATTATATTCATATCAATAAATATTCTACCGAGAAAAAGACGTTGTCACGTAAAATCTTCGCCCGTAAAACCGACTTTACAGGCAACCATTTTTTTACTTATAATTCAGCGTGTCCTGTAGACACATAGGCCTCCTCCAGCCTTTTCCACCCCGATCTATCCCTTGCTAACCGCAGCCATAGCGGGCCAGATACCCTTCTTATGTCATACGACCATCGTTTCAGCTGTCGTCCACGTTTACGGCAAGTTTTCGTTCTGGGGATCCATTCCGTGGTCTTCCTTGTCCACTTCCCTATTTCGTCTCTTGTGACGTGACCTGCCCACTTCCATTTGAGTTGTCTACTTTTTTCGAATGACATCCTCAAGTTTGTGAGTTAATTTTAGTGTTTTGCAAATCCCGCAGGAACCTAACACTTTTCCGGGTTAAAGAGTGTCCTTTGTCTCAATCCAGGTCATGGAATATATGTGTACCAAATTTCATCCAAATCCGTACAGTTCGGGTCATGGATGTTTAATATGTGTTTTTTGTATAAATATACTTATATATGTACGGTATATGTATTCTATCCGTTACCCTAGTATCCCATAACACAAGCCTTACAGTGCTTACTTTGGGGCTATGCTAATTGGTGTGAGTGTTGGATATATTAATAACTAGCTGACCCGGCGAACTTCGTACCGCCTTAGCGTAGCTTTGATGCACTACTTTATTTTGTATAGCTGACCTATCTTATGTATGAGTACCTATTCAATTTGAACTGGAATCTATAATATCCTCCATATAAAAATGAATCCTTATTTCCCTGGTCTCGCCATACCTGAGGACTTTACTACTTTTTATTAAATAAAAAACAATATATATATTTTCATAATATAGTTTATTTTTTCGATAGGGTTCAATTTCACTCATATTTTTACAAATCGCTATTGAACAACTTTGCATTTTGAAGTAAACACTGAGCTCAACACCACGCGCGCTCTAGAAAGCAACTAATAGCCTCTATACCCTTCACTGCTTCTCTCTATTCTAATGCTTTTTGATAAACTATACGGTACGAAGTTCGCCGGGTCAGCTAGTCCATAACCGCGCTAACAATAATTTTATTAAGTTTTTGATAAAGTTCGTTTTGTTTTAAAGACTAAGAAGTTTTTTGTTTGCTAATAAGTGTTTGTTCCTGTCACAGATTACCACAGATTTTTTTGTTTTAAATTGAATGACGTTGACATTTGTCAGCGCGGTTATCGATGTGCTGTCACAGATTATCACAGATTTTTTGTTTTAAATTGAATGACGTTGACATTCGTTACGTTATATTTTTCAATCTTTCTGAGAGATTTTCTTTATATTTTTTTCCATAAGAACCTTGTACAGAGTATTAGAAAACTACAAAAAAAAAACGGTCAAGCCGTTTTCATGTTATGTCGTGACAACGGAAAACGGGTTTCATTTTTATATATATAGATTAATTTATTTATTTATATTTCTAAGATTTAGAGGTTAATACGATATATTCTCCCCTACAGGTGGAGAACGTTCCTTCACCAACCTGGTCCGTCTGATCATCATCGACGAGGTTCACCTGCTGCACGATGAACGAGGCCCCGTGCTGGAGGCGCTGGTGGCCAGGACTCTACGCACTGTGGAGCAGACGCAGGAGCAGGTGAGGGGTGGTTTGTTTTTAATGGGCTCTCGGTGTTCTGGATGGCAAAGGATATTAAGTGTATACAGCCGGACAAGGTGAAGAATTTATACAGCCAGGCAATTAATGATCGGTCTATATAGCCAGGCAAAGGATGTAGACTGTATACAGCTAGGCAAAGGATGTAGACTATATACAGCCAGGCAAAGGATGTAGACTGAATACAGCAAGGCAAAAGATGTAGACTTTACACAGACAGGCAAAGGATGCTCAGTGTATACGACATATCGGTCTACCCTCCGACGTCGTCTTTTACTGACATTAACATCCATCCGCAATTACTTCAGTTACTCCGTGATCATGGCGCTTGCAACAGTGCCGAAATATCTGAGACTCATAAAAAACAAGGTACATGGTAACAATCCCGTTAATAGCTATAATGTTAGTGACCATGAAAGTTTAAAACAATATATGATTATCATTATTGATATTTATTTATCTCTTGTCACACAGGTTCGTCTGGTAGGGTTGTCAGCTACGCTACCCAATTACACAGACGTGGCGGCTTTCCTAAGAGTGCGCCCTGAACAAGGATTATTCTATTTTGATAATTCATTCAGGTATGTGGTTATGGCATTTTGATTTTTACACTTGCGACTTTCTGGCTCATTGGTTCTTCATCATCTCCCATATTTACTTAAGAGAGTCTTCGGTCAATAGAGTATTTGACAAGTTTTAGAAAACGATCTCACGGTATTTACTAATGTTTATAGATTCCATATAAAGTGGATATTCATCATTATATTGTGTATTTCGGCAGAAAAAACTAAATGAAAAACTCTTTTTTCAAGTTTTTTTTTTTTTTTTTTTTTGGCTTACAAAACTGGTTACAAAGAATATCCATATAAATATATGCATACAAAAAAAATACATCAACTACTTTGCAACCTACTAGATGCAAGCACAACATGCATTTCTAAAACTACCTAACTACTAAGGATATATACTAAAGGATAAATATAGTACATATAGGTTAACTAAAAAAATTAAGTGAAAGTTAAAACTAAAAACCTAATCAGAGAATATAGAATTCAAACATTTTCTGGTTGAGGCCATAGAACCTTTAAATATGTCGAAATCATTTCGAATAGCATTATAGGTTGACAACATTCTATAAAGAGGAGAGTGATTCCCGAGTCTTGTCTTACAGGGGGGCAGTATAAAAGTCTTTCGATTTTGCAGCCGGCTATTAATTCTAGGAACTGAAAATTTTATATGCTCTAAAATATCTGGTGAGTCGATGTGACCATGGATTAATTTAAATAAAAACATTATATCCGAAACCTTCCTACGCCTGTGTAAGAGGGCTAACCCATAATGTGTTGTGCGAGTCTGATAAGAGCGAAGTTTTTTACAAATGCCATCTGAAAAAGCTAGGTGGTATAAAAATCTTTTTTGGACAAGTTCAACTCGGGTAGAATGTATCTGGTACCCCGGATTCCAAACAGGACTAGCGTATTCCAAAATGCTGCGCACTATACTGTTGTAAATAAGAATGGTGAGTTGGGGTTCCTTCAGAATTTTCATTTGACGAGTAATAAAACCAGTTAGTTTGGATGATTTTTTAACAACTGAGTCTATATGAAACCTGAAGCTAAGTGAACTGTCCATAATAACTCCTAGATCTCTAATTTGAGTAACCTCTTTAATGAGGACGCCCTGGATGAAGTATGCTGCACTGGTAGCGTTTATCTTTCTGCTAAATTTTATGTGAAAGCATTTACTGATATTAAGTTCCATACCATTGCGTCCACACCATTCTACTACGTTATTTATGTCTGACTGAAGGATATTTATATCGTTTGATGTGTTAACAGCTCTTTATACTTTTAGATCGTCGGCATATAGTTTGAATTGGGAACTTATTACTCCAGCAATATCATTGATAAATATTAGAAAGAATAAGGGTCCCAAGTGAGACCCTTGAGGTACACCTGATGGTATGGTCCTAGCTCTAGATTTATATCCGTGTATAGCAACCAACTGAGATCGATTTCTCAGGTACGACTCGCACCATCTCAAGAGTGATCCGTGCACACCCATGTATTCTAGCTTTTGAAGTAAGAGGTCATGATTCACAAGGTCAAAAGCCTTTCTAAAATCTGTGTACACAGCATGAACTTCGCCTCTATTGTCGAGAATATTATATAGGGAGTTAACATACGATAAGAGATTGGTAGTAGTTGACTTACGAGGCAAAAATCCATGCTGCTCCGAACTAAGAAGACCTTTAACATGGTTGTAAAGATGTTTCTGAACAAACGATTCAAGAATTTTACCAGGTGTGGACAAAATCGAACTGGGCCTGTAATTGCTAACATTGTTTATATCGCCGTCTTTGTGAATCGGTGTGATATATGCCACCTTCCAGTAAGCAGGATAAATTCCAGACTGCAAGGAGAAATTAAATATTTGAGTTAAAGGTTGACTTAGGTATTTAGCGCAACGTTTGTAAAATACTGGTGGTAAAGAATCTGGCCCGGTTCCTTTATTAGGATCCAATGATAATAAGTGATCAAGAATGTCTTTTTCAGACAAGGAAAAATTAAAAAGTGCATGGTTTTTATTGTCGTGTGGCTCAAACTGAAGGGTAGGTGCCAATGGATTCGCAGTATAAACAGTCTCGAAATATTGTGAGAACAAGTCACAAACTTGCTGACCACCAGTGCCCGTTACATTATTAAACTTGACCTCATTGGGTATAGATACCCGGCTCGACTTTTTATTCTTAATGAACTCCCAAAAATACTTCGGTCTATCGCGCAAATTTACTATAGCCTGTTCTTTGAATTTTGTATAACACTCCTTAATTAATGCATCACAACGATTTCTTAAAATAATATAGGTGTACCTATCCAGTGGGTTGTTATATTTTTTGTGCCTAGAGTGATATTTGGCTTTTTCTTTAAGAGCTTTAATTAGTGGCTTACTGTACCACAAAGGGTATTTAGAATCGTGTTGAGTTTTATAAGGTGTGTGTTTAATTATTATTGGCATAATACTGTTATAGAATTTATTTACCATATCATCTACATCTTTAACTTCACTCCAAATAAGTTTCCAGTCCAGTAAAGCTAACTCATTATTGATACTCTCGTAGTTACTGGCCCAAAAATTTAACAATTTACTCTGTCTAGCTTTTAAGTATTTTTTACAAGTATTAAATGAAATATCGATAACTAAGGGGGGATGATGTTCATCATTTCTCTCGAGTAAGGGATTCTCAGCCACGGTTGTTCTGATATATTCCGGTTTATTGCAGAACACTAAATCAAGTATCTTATTATTCTTGTTGGATACCGGATTGCATTGTAAAAGGTTATTGAATGTCATTGTGTCTATAAAGAGATTTTCAATATTACCTGTAGTTGAGATTGGACAGAGATGATGAAATCCCTTATCTACATTGCGAAACCATTCTATGTTAGGCAGATTGAAATCTCCCACCACTAATATAGAAGAATTTGTAGGAATGTTGTCATGTATATTAAGAGTAATATTATTTAAAATATTTTCAACATAGTCGATTTTAAGCGGTGGGGGAATGTAAACTACACAGATATATAGGTCCAGTCCGCGTCCACACTTCAAGGAAAGCCACAACTGTTCTCCCGAAGATTCCCATTGTTTTCGCCTTACCGGTTTATATTTTTTAAGCACAGCTAACATGACACCTCCCCCATCTTTTCTTGTTAGGTGAGACGAAGTTGTGCATCGGTCTCTCCGGAAAATGTCGTAACGATTATCAAGAATTTCGCGGTCAAATACGGTATTATTCAGCCAAGACTCGGTTATCGCAATCACATCGTAGTTATTGCTTAAAGCTGAAATATATAGGTCCTCAGTCTTGGTTCTTAAGCCTCTTACATTACAGAAATATATTTTTAAATTCATAGGGAATGTTATATTTTAAATTCTAGATAACATGCATTGGCTATGGGGCTTACAAACTCTTTAAAAATTCTAAGTTATTTACAAGCTTAGCAGGATCTTTATGGGATTTTTGAATAAAAATACGTCCATTCTTGACCCACACAAACTCGTATTTCTTCTCTTTGGCAAGGGATCGCGTTGCGGCATGAAGCATTTTGTTCGCTGGTGATAAGTGTTCCATCACATAGACCGGTTGCTTATCGGAGGCTATACCAAAGTGAGAAGTATTGAGCTTCTCCTCCCCTTTTCGTTTGTTAAACTCCTTGACTGCTGCCAAAACCTTATCGCGCGTTCGCGCACTGGAGAGTTTGACCACAATATTTCTCGGGCGTTCCGATGTCGGATTTTGCTTGGCCACCCGATGAAAAGCCAGTATTTCGGCATCAGAAACACTGCACGACACTGTCTCCAAAAGCTGTTGGATAAGGGTTAGCAGATTCTCATTTTTAAACTCTGGTAGGGATTGTATCTCTATGTTGCATTCTCTTGATATTTGCTCGATTTGGACTAATCTTGAGCTAATATCGGATACTTGAGCTTTTAGCAGCAAATTATTCGTGTCCAATTCTCTAACCGACGCTTCTAAGTCCTTATTCAGCTTGATCTGATCGTCATGGCACCCAGACAGAAAGTTCAAGGACTCCATCACGCCATCCAAATCAGTCCGCATTGTGGAGATTTTGATGGTCAGATCTACCATTTCCGTTTGCACTGCTGACAGAATGGAATTAGATTTTTCAATGCTAGCTTTTTGCTCTGCAAATTGCCGATTCATATCCATTCTCAATAGGCGAAGCTCCTCCAAAATTATGTCATTACTCCCTTGCAATGGCGGTGTGGTGACAGTTGACAATTGGCAAGAGCTTGGTTTTAGCATTCCTGCGCTATGACCAGGGCGTGCAGGAGAACTGTCGTCATTTCTTCGCTTGGTTACATTGACACAAGATGGACACTTCAATTTTGCCAGTTGCTTAGAGTTGACATCCGTGACACTAGGATGGTGAATATTCAGACATGGCAGACAGTATTTTGAATTGCAAGCATTGCATTTGAGATGATTATTTTCTATTAAATGCTTTTCACAGCCAGTGCAATTCATGTTCTTAAATTATATACGGAGTAGGTATGATCTCAAAAATACAAAAAAAAAAGTCCAATTAAAATATTATATTATTTCTCGGCGCACAGTAACAAAGGCCCCTGCTGCATAAATATTACTCACTGCAAATGTTGTACACTAAGCAAGGCCCCGAGACTTGAGACGGAGTTTGTGTTCGTCGCGGGAAGAAGGTCGCAAGCGCCGTGGAGATGAGGGCGCTTACGCGTTTGCTTCAAACGGCTCACAAATATTTATTATGAAGGTATTAGTGTGAATCAACTTGCAGATGTTTATCTATCTTCGCATCCTAGATGCATTACAAGCACTAAGTTTTGTCACTGCGTGTAATTTATATTGTATATAGCCGCGGATTAACTTGTTATTATACCAAGGAAAGCACTAAATATGGATGAACAAAATGAATTGTGCCGGGAAAAACTGTGTACATCCAAACCGTAAGGTAGGTAAGTTGGAACTGAGTTGGAACTTGGAGTTGGAACTTCAAGTTGCCGCGAAAATGTATCTCTGGACAATATGGCGTCTCCCTGGTGTGTGACGTCACATGACTGTTATTAAAACGTCAAACCATACAATCTAATGTCACTTTAACCGGAAGTTTACTTGCGTGTGACGTCATTTTAGGCCCCACCAATCCCAAGCGTTTTGGGTCACGTGACAATAGACAAGAAAAATATTATCTTTATCGTGGGTTTTTAGTAAAATTATGAATGTTTTTTCTGTAAAAATAGTAAAAACTCCTGCTAATATTCATTCTAAATACAGATGCTAACAATTTGCACTTATTTATAATACTGTCAAATACCCTATCGGCGAGGAGAAATGATTGAACTTCGACTCTCAGGCCCGTATTACAGAATTACAACTAAGTGTCGATCTTTACTTGAGTACAGTTAGACAGGGATGTCGCTATGTGCTATATATAGCGACATCCCTTTCTAACTATGCTCAAGACTAGAACAATCACTGAGAAACTTTCTATAATACGGGCCTAAATCAGCCATTTATTTTGCCAGAATCACAATTCACTATCTTTATAAGGGGCAATTAATTTATTCATCATCAGCTTATTAATGTCCTTACTGCTGGGGTACAGGCCTACCCTACGGATGGAATAGGGAGATTGGGCCACGACCCACCACGCGGGCCCAGTGCGGATTGGCGGGTGCTAACGACTGCAGATGCAGCCGGGACCAACGGTTTAACGTGCCTTCCGGAGGAACTCGAGATAGAAGATTTTTGGTCACCCATCCACCAATGACCGACCACTGCGAAAGTGGCTTAACTTCAATGATCGCAGCCGAATGCGCTAACTACCCGCGCCATCGAACTCCTCTACATAAATATGAGTATCCATTACCTTAGAGTACCATAACACAAGCCCTACAGTGCTAACTTTGGGGCTAGGCTAATTGGTGTGATTTTTTTATAACACACCAATTAGCCTAGCACCAAAGTAAGCACTATAAGGCTTGTGTTATGGGATACTAGGGTAACGGATATAATACATATACTGTACATATATAAATATATTTATATAGAAAATAAATATTAAACATCCATGACTGGAGTACAAATGCTCGTATTCATCACACAAACATCTGCTCCCACCGGGATTTGAACCCAGGACCTCTCGAGTCGGCGACACCATGAAACCCGGCGTACTAACCATATGGCCACGGAGGTCGTCATTAGATATATTAAAAAAACTATCTGTCTGTTTGTACAGACCAGTGGCGTTGGAGCAGCAATACATCGGCGTGACCGAAAAGAAGGCCTTGAAAAGGTTTCAGGTCATGAACGATATCGTATACGAGAAGACCATGGAGCACGCCGGAAGGAATCAGGTATGAACTTGGATTGAGATAAAAAGGGAAGATACGGTACGCTCATACTAGCATCAAATAAAATATGATCCGACTCAACTACATAAGCAACTCTCACACACGCACACGTCTGTATATAAACATTCAATCGAGCGAGCGAGACAGAACGAAACGGCGGAGTCCGCTAGGCTGAGCTGTGTTGTTGTCCTTTTCTTGATAACAAAATGGTGATTACATATATAAAATTCACGAAAACCGTATTTTTTTGAAAAAAATATATATATATATATATATATATATATATATACATATGTGTGTGTGGGATGCGTGCGCAGCTTCCAGAAGAGCATGAAAGTTGGAGGGTAACTCGGCGAAGGCTGAAACGCTACTAGCGTCACACGTGACTATATATTTATATAAACATACATATATATGAGTGATGCGTGTGTTGCTCCATTCTCCTATGCCTTATGCACGGCTTAATGTTAAATTATTTAAGAAAAGAAGTTTCACTTCAGATGAGTGCTCCGTGCACACTATTATTCAAGTAATATGAATAAATTTATAGTAATATAAGTTACTTACGGGATTGCAACCATATACCTTCAAAAAAATGTCGTGTCGCGATCCGATACTGTAAGTGTTGTGTGTCGAGAACAGTTTCGAGTTAATAATAATTTCGGGTCTCGAACGCAATAAAAGACTTCGTCGGAGGGTAGACCGATATGTGCCAATAACAGCCTACCCGCAATTACTTCAGTTACTCCGTGATTATAGCGCTTGCAACAGTGCCGAAATATCGGAAACTCGCTAAAAACAAGGTACATGGTAGCAATCCCGTAAATAACTTACATTACTATTATGTTAGTGACCATGAAAGTTTAAAACAATATATGAATATATTTATTTAATAGGCTATGTATTTCCATAGATTCTAGTGTTCGTGCACTCCAGAAAGGAAACCGGAAAAACCGCACGTGCTATAAGAGACATGTGCTTGGAAAAAGATACGCTTGGCCAGTTCCTTAGGTAAGTTTAAAGAATAAGTACAATCTTATACCTCATAATCATCATCATCATCAGCCTATTAATGTCGCCACTGCTGTGGCTCAGGCCCTCCCCATGGATGGAATAGGGAGATTAGGCCATGACCCACCAAGCGGGCCATTGAAGTAATAATCAAGCAGTCGGGTTTTTTGATTTTTATTTTTTTATTATTTTCAATAATAGGGTATTTGACAGTGTTAAAAATAAAGTGCCAATTATTAGCATCTGTGTTTGGAATGAATATTGGCAGGGGTTTTTACTATTTTTACAAAAAATTATTCATAATTTTACTAAAAACTAACGAAAAAGATAATCGCTTTCTTATCTATTGTCACGTGACCCAAAACGCTTGGGATTGGCGGAGCCTAAAATGACGTCACACGCAAGTAAACTTCCGGTATAAGTAACATTACATTGTATCGTTTGACGTTTTAGTAACAGTCGTGTGACGTCACACACTACTAAGACGCGGCAACTTGAAAATGGAGTTTTTGATTTGGTTACTTTTACTAAAATACACAACAGAATGATGAATATCCACTCCGGACGGACTCCATAAACATGAGTCAATAACGTGAGTTCGTTTTCTAAAACTTGTCAAATACCCTATCGTCATAAGTTATAAGTTAGTTTGCAATTAGCTATAATGCAAGCCGTGCACATACTCAATTATAACAATCATTTATCACATCAATTAGTATTGTTTTAAATTATTGTTTAGTTACCAAAATATCCTTCATTATCAAGTTTATCATTTTATCAGTATCTTAGTTTCGGTACATCCCGAACATACTTAATAATTTAAATGTGAAAGTTAGTTTGTTACTCAATCACGCAAAAACTACTGAACGCATTCGGAGGACAATCTAACATGTATATGTCGTGGCCATATCGTAGATTTGCTGACTTCATGAAATGCTCGAGTATTTCATGAAATGGTCGCATTTTATGATGTGGCCAACTTAATTTGACCAGATCATTAAATCGTCAACGTTTAACGATTTTGTCATCCACATTTGGCCGGATCGTATAATCAGGGTGACCATAAAATATGTAATAAAAATCCAGAATAGAACTTGTTTATTGTCATTTGAGTCCGAATGACACAAACAAATTGAATAACATTTTTGTAAGAAAATAAACAAATCAATATTTTTTTTTTCCAAATTAAACATCAACGTGTCATGTAGTTACACAAATGTAAATTTCATTTACATTTAGAAAACTAACAAATATTGAGAAATAAAAAGGTGCTTTGGTATATATTACAATAGTCGGCTAAACTGTACTTCCAGGGCCCAAGCGGTAATACTTCACACTAGGTTAGGTTAGTGTTGTGACCATAACGCGCGAGTCGAGCGAGCAAAGCGAGCGTGCCGCGGTAGGGGCCGGCGAAGCGCCAGAAAAAAAACTCTATTAAAAGAAAGCTTTTCTACAGAAGAAATTCAAGTATCACCTCTTGGGCCCTGGAAGTACAGTTTTACAGTATATCTTTGTACAGCATTAATTCTCATCCGCACTTTGTACCTCAACCGCAGTTTCCAAAATGTCATATTTTGACAGCCAGTAGTTCATAGATTTCTTTTGCGTAGTCTATTAATCCTACTCTCCTTAAATTGTTTCATCGAAAACCCTTTTGTTATCACTTTCTTCCTTATTAAATAACGAATTATGCACTTTTTCACTGCGAGAAACAACATTCTCGGCAGCGGCCGCCATATACATATATAAACAAAGCGCTTGCAGCGCCTCTACCGGTAATTAATGTAACTACTTTACAATATGATCAAATAATCTTTGCTATTTCATGAAGTAGCCACGCGTTTAGTTGGCCATATCGTGAAAAGATTTTTCATCATTGATCTGCCCAAACCACATCATGATGTGGCCAATAGATAGTGAAACATTTCATGAAATGCGACCATTTCATGAAATTCTCGAGCATTTCATGAAGTGAGCAAATCTACTATATGACCACGACATATATACAGATATACCTAATTTATTTATTAATTAAAATCGGTTTAGGCCTTTTATCTTGACTATCCTTGACAGTCGAGGAGCTCGATGGCGAAAGTGGTCAGCGCGTTCGGATGCGATCGTTGATATTAAGCAACTTTCGCAGTGGTCCATCATTGGATGGGTGGCCAAAAATTTACTATCTCGAGCTCCTCCGTGCTTTGGAAGACACGTTAAGCCGTTGATCCCGGCTGCATCTGCAGTCGTTAGCACCCACCAATCCACATTGGGCCCATGTGGTGGGTCAAGGCCCCATCTCCCTATTCCATCCATAAGGAAGGCCTGTGCCCCAGCAGTGGGGACATTAATAGGTTGGTGATAATGATGAAATAAAATTAGTAACTATGTTGGTAAAAACCTAATTAATATGAAGCATTACTTGTAGATCGGTAGAGAATGCTTTATTTGTGGTATTAATAGACTGTTTAACAGTATCAAAAATAATGTACCAATAGGGTGTTTGACAATATTAAAAATAAAGTGCCATTTGTTAGCATCTGTGTTTAGAATGAATATTGGCAGGGATTTTCACTATTTTTACAGAAAAAAATTTCATAATTTTACAAAAAACCCACGAAAAAGATAATAGTTTTCTTATCTATTGTCACGTGACCCAAAACGCTTGGGATTGGCGGAGCCTAAAATGACGTCATACGCAAGTAAACTTCCGGTTCAAGTGACATTACATTGTATCGTATGACGTTTAAATAACAGTCGTGTGAAGTCACACACCATTGGGACGCTATATTGTCCAGAGAAACGTTTTCGCGGCAACTTGAAAATGGAGTTTTTGATTTGGTTATTTTTACTGAAACACACAACAGAATGATGAATAACCACTTTTTACGGACTCCATAAACATGAGTCAATAACGTGAGATCGTTTTATAAAACTTGTCAAATACCCTATTGTTGGCATCTGTGTTTAATATTGTTACGTGTCGGGATGGGGTTCGAAAATATATGCCAGTTCACGCTTGACAGTTCTTTATTCACCACACAGTTCACACAATTAACACACAATGTTTATTACAAAACACTCACTAAACACTGTATTTCACTATACAAGTCTCTAAATAATCGCACTTGAACACTTTTGTTGCACTTTGATCGCCTTTGGATTCGCTCCGAAATCGGTGTTGAAACTCAACTGTCCCTGCGCGGCGCCAATCGCGCTTATATACGCCGATCGACGCTTTCTAGAAAGTACCTGTTAAATTGAGAATTATCTAGCACCCGCGAGTACAAAATACCTACTTATACCTACGCAGGTAACACGCATAACTTGTAAACAAGTGCAGATGTCGTTGCACTTTCACCCTTACGCCGCATTGCATAAGGCTCATTTTAGAATGCCGCCTTACTCGACCTCTATCGCGACCCGCGGTGATCTGGCAAATTCGATCTCTAGCACTTTCACGGTTACGTTTCGAGAGCGTTTGTGACAATATGAATATAAGCAGCGATTTACTATTCTGAAAGAACAAACAATTAATAACCTTTCTATTAAATCATTAAACAGAAATGATATCTTTGCTCCATGGTCACGTGACCGAAAACGCCTGAGATTGGCCAAGACTAAAATGACGTCACACGCTAGTAAACTTCCGGCCAAAGTGACGTGACATTGTATCGTTTGACGTTTTAATGCCATTCATGTGACGTCACACACTAGTGAGACGCCATTTTGGTTATGCTAGTGGTAAAACTTGTTTGGCCAGTACAACTAATATCGGCCGCAATCAATGTCTACTTATCTGTGATCCAGTAGGGAGGCGGCGAGAAATAAGTCCAACACTCAATCACATAATAACACAGTTTATTCCACAAGCACACACAAGGAAAGTACAGAAGGAGTAAGCACATATAGTCCAAAGCACAAGGAAGAAAGTTCGGAAGAGATAGAAAAAGCGTACACATACAATAACAATAAATATAAGCTTAGCGAAGTTCACAAGCGAGGGAGCGCGGAGCAAAATGAACGTGCGTCTAGTGCCGATAAGAGATTTCGACTGGCGTACGTGACTTCGGTGCGCGCGCGCAGCGCGCCGGCCGGGAGGCCCCGCCTACCAGTTTTAATGCAGAATAGGGTGTGCATGTTTGTGGCAGGACTGTCCGGCTGGTATACGCTATTGAGTTATTATTTTGATATAAATGTAAACATACTTAAATATTGAATTTATGTAAATATTAATATGGATATATAATAAAGTGTACTTGTAAATATATATTATAATGTAAATATTGTTTAAGTATAGATATAAAATATATAAATAAATATTAATGTAAAATATTATTAAATGAATATAAATAAAAGTAAAAGTAGGAAAAGCGCCTACACCATAATGTCCAGAGAGACGTTTCCGCGGCAACTTGAAAAATTGAATTTTTAATTTAGTTATTAAACTAACTACTAAATTGCGCAACGATATTAAAAATATCCACTTTTTATGGACTCTATAAACATTAGTAAATACCGTGAGATTGTTTTCTTAAACTTGTCAAATACCCTATTAGGATCACCATTTCCTGCATTTTTGCAATAAACTATGAATGAATATTATAAAGGACATTGTTCTGCGTCCATACATTGTTAGCCTAAGAACCAACAATCATGAAATATTATTTTGTAGGTTCGAAATTGCAAGTAAATGACTGTAAAAACAAAGATTATTGACGGACACTTTTGAGAACTTAAATTATCAGGAAAACTAAATATTTTTTGAGGTTATGTTTAATATTAAATGAAACATAGGTCAACCCATTTCTAGTTATATTACTTTTCTCTATGGGTCAACCTATGAACTCAGTTGAACTCAGTATGAATTGAATTAATATTACAACTAATTCATTTTTATTCGGTGCGATTTTAAAGAATAACTATTAGGAAAAACTTGGTTAGGTAGGAATCACGAATAAAATAAAAACTGTAGTTTTGCTTCTTATTTTTTGACTATTTTTCACATAATTGTTTCATATATATTTTATTGTTATATCACATGTAAGTATATTGTGTAAATATGCAACGTGAATGTGTATCAGCTGCTCTTGAATAATTTGGCAGTATGATCCTCTCAGGATGTTGTAGCACAGGTTCTCTAGCACTTGGTAATAAGGTCTCTACTATTTGGTAACATCGATAGCATATTAGATAGCCAAAATAGTTATATTAAAGGAAAAACAATCGCAAATAAACATACACAACAGGAAATCCGAAAGGAGAATCCACGAATGCCACAGATTACTACGAATGCAAACTGCCTGCACCACAACCACAGAGTACCGAATATTATACCGGCCCTTCACTTGACATCAGTCTGTCCTTGTCATGCTTAATCTGTACTTCTATATATAATAATATAATGTATTTTAGTTATTATATTTTATTTTTTAAGGTTTTTAGTTTTAGGTTCGTTATTATGTTTTTTTTTGTTTTAAGATAGTATTAGATAATAGTATATTTGTTTCTTCTATACTAATATTATAAAGAGGAAAGGTAGCTTCGTAATATATATATAGCCTATAGCCTTCCTCGATAAATGCACTGTCCAATACAAAAATAATTTTTCAAATCTGAACAGATGAGCAATGTTGCATTCGGTACAACGGGTCCTGAACTACGCAACGAATTTTTTACTTGGAATTGAAGGTTTATCATTATTATGAAGAAAGTTACAAAAACTATCGTCTACACTACAGCTCTATACTCTACTCTACTAGTACTCACTACAACACTACAGCTATCAACTCTGCTCTACTAGTATGGAATAAAAAAACATACTGATGTCAAGTTTTCAAAAAGCAAACACGAATAGGCAAGTGAAGTGCCGGCATTAGGAAGAAAGAGTGTTTTGTTTGCAGCGCTGCCATAGATTATACACATAACATGGTAGTCTCAGATTATTTTTTAACTTTTTAATATAGCTTACTTAACTGGAAGTGTCCGTCACAATCTAAATACTGATAATTATCGCAAAAAATTTACTAAGAATTATCATAAATGCCAAATTGGTGTTGGTTCTTAGGCCAAATTTAACATTGTCCTTTGACGATCTCCGTGGCCGAGTGGTTTGTACGCCGGGTTTCATGGTGTCGCCGACTCGAGAGGTCCCGGGTTCGAATCCCGGTGGGGGCAGATGTTTGTGTGATGAATACGTGCATTTGTACTCCAGTCATGGATGATTAATATGTATTTCTATATAAATATACTTATATATGTACAGTATATGTATTCTATCCGTTACCCTAGTATCCTATAACACAAGCCTTATAGTGCTTACTTTGGGGCTAGGCTGATTGGTGTGTGTGTTGGAAATATTTACTATATTATTATTTAAATTTCCAATCCAGGGAAGGCTCAGCCAGCATGGAAGTGCTACGCACAGAAGCCGAGCAGGTGAAGAACCCGGAACTTCGAGAGTTACTACCGTATGGGTTTGCCATCCATCACGCCGGCATGAGTCGAGTGGACAGAACGCTGGTGGAAGATCTGTTTGCTGACAGGCATATACAGGTGATAATTTTTATTTTTAGGGTTCCGTACCTCAAAAGGAAAATAGGGAACCCTTAAAGGATTACTTTGTTGTCCGGCCGTCCGTCTGTCTGTCAAGACCGTTTTTGTCAGGAACGCGTGGAGGTATCAAACTGAAAATCAAACTTCTAAGTCAAAGCAATCAAAAGATACAGCCGTTTATGCCGCAAATTTTCGAAACTCGCACGGGAATCAAAACCTACAGGGTACTTCCCGTGAACTTAGAATCTTAAAATTTGGTACGAAGTAACGTCTTATAGTACAGACTAGCGGCCCGCCCTCGCTTCGCTTCGGTGTAGAGTTTAAGTGTAGACTACAGTTTTTGTTCTCAGGCTTGTATTATACACAATGACATTCATCTATGATTCTTCTTATACCTGCATGCAAAGTCTCAGCCCGATCGGTTTAAAATTGACAAAGTTTAATACCAACTTTCATTCCCCATTTTATGCCCTTGAGGGTAGAATTGATCAAAATCCTATCTTAGCGGATGCCTACATCATAACATCTACCTGCATGCCAAATTTCAGCCCGATCCGTCCAGTGGTTTGGGCTGTGCGTTGATAGATCACTATGTCAGTCAGTCACCTTTGAGTTTTATATATATATACATAGATAAGGGAAATTTTGCGAAAACCGTAAATTTTTAGTTACATCATATAATAAAAAATATTTTAATTTAAGTTGCTACCTCTTTTCTCATGAACGCGTAGAGGTATTAAATTAAATTTGTACGGAACCCACGGTGCGCGAGTCCGACTCGCTCTTTGCCGCTTTTTATTAAGATTTAATATTTCCTATTTTTTTTTCTAAATGGCTTCGCACGGCTTGTGCATTTAGATAATGTTAAGTGTTAAACTGTTTACAAATTCTATAGCACTCGTGGTCGAAGTAATAAATCAAGTCAAAGTAAGTGGCAGTCAAGTCAATCCCCTTTTCCCTATGTTTCAGTAAATGTGTGGGGATTTACTGGAACCTGCCTGTGAACTTCTTGAGGGAACGTCGAAAGACACTTTCCGCTATTTTGTTTCACTTGCCAGCACTTGTGCGTGTTCCCGAATACTTAGTGGTTAATAATCCACCATTATTAGATACTAAGATTCGCCACAACACAATTTTTAACAAGAAAAACAAAATTGCTAAGTGACCCTTCCCGATCCCGCCAAAAAGTCTTAATATTTCGTTTCTCTCATCATTCAGGTGTTAGTATCAACAGCCACTCTCGCCTGGGGAGTCAACCTCCCCGCCCACACTGTAATAGTGAAAGGCACCCAAGTGTACTCCCCGGAAAAGGGACGTTGGGGCGAGTTGGGAGCGCTGGACGTTCTACAGATGCTGGGTCGAGCGGGGAGACCGCAGTACGATACTAAAGGGGAAGGTGAGAGAGTTGAATATTGGTATTGCTTTTAAAATGTATGCTCAGAACAAGATATGAAGCATTGAAAGTGTTATAATAACTTGATTTGGTTGACCGGTAGAGAATGCCTGATGGCATTAAGTTCGCCACTTATTGTTATTTGTGCAATAAAATTTCTTCTAATCCTAAGCTTGTTACGTGAGTATAGATCATTTTTCTATACCATGATTTTTCAAGAAAAAATACGTTATTAATTATTTTGTTCTGTCTTAACAAAAAAAAACATTGAAAAAATCTTGAAATATATACTACATATTTGATGCCCTGTACAAATTCGGTTGTGTGTAAATGGAAAATCAAGTATAAGATTAAACGGAAATCTGTAACGAGCGTCATACGACTATATACATAAACATATATCTAATATGTAAAATTCTCGTGTCGCGGTATTTGTGGTTAAACTCCTCCGAAACGGCTCGACCGATTTTCGGGAAATTTTATATGCATATTCGGTAGGTCTGAGAATCGGATGTAATCTATTTTTCATCCCCCTAAATGTTAAGGGTAATCCACACCTATTTTTTTTTTATTTTAGATATTTTTTTTTTATTTTTTTTTATGATACATCATACAAAAATACATACAACCCTAAATTTTCACCCTTCTACCACCAACCCCTATTTTTTTTTTATGGCGGTACGAAGTTCGCTGGGACAGCTAGTATATATATATATATATATATATATATCTTTATATATATAATTCTTCTGTGAGTGTGTATGTCACTGAACTTCTCTTAAACGACTGGACCGATTTTGATGAAATTTTTTGTGTGTGTTCAAGGGGATCTGAGAATGGTTTAGATTCACAATTTTGTCCGCTGGACAATGTTTTTTTAAGTAATTTTTTTTATGGCGGTACGAAGTTCGCTCGGTCAGCTAGTATATATATATACAGCTCTTCCCGACGAGCATGAAAGTTGGAGGGTAACTCGGCGAAGGCTGAAACGCTACGAGCGTCACCCTCGATTAATATATATGAGTAATGCTTGCGCTGCTCAATTCCCCTATGCCTTATGCACCGCCTAATGTTACGTTATTTAAGTAGTTTCACTTCAGATGTGAAATAATTCTAGTGAAACCATCTTTTATTTTTTTATATATATATAGAGGTAGGCAAATAACTACCCCACCTGATGTTAAGTGGTAATACAGTCCAAACGCGAAGATAGCTGGTACAGCAGTTATAAACTGCCACACCAACCATCCTCACCTTGCCGGCCTGCAAAAATGCTCCTTCACGCCTCTCTTAAAGGACCCCAGATTGTAGGAAGGAGGGAACACGTGCGCGGGTAAAGAATTCCACTTACGAATAGTACGACAAAGAAATGAATCACCAAATTTCTTTGTTCGTGTAGGAATAGTGGCCACAGTAAGTCGGTGGCAACGTAGGCCAGCGCGCGTGGTCCTCTGAAGAAAAGGTGATGGAGGGATAAGGGAGAATAACCCCTCAGAACAATCTTAGGATATAATAATCCAGCATTCTCATTCTGAAAACGTATCTTCCCACAGGCATCCTGATAACCAACTACTCGGAACTGCAATACTACTTGTCTCTGCTCAACCAGCAGTTGCCCATAGAGTCACAGTTGGTCGGCAAACTACCTGATATGCTGAACGCTGAAATTGTACTGGGTTCCGTACAGAGTGTGAGAGATGCTGTGACTTGGTTAGGTAAGTTTTTATTGCGACGACCTCCGTGGTCGAGTGGTTTGTACGCCGGGTTTCGTGGTGTCGCCGATTCGAGAGGTTCCGGATTCGAATCCCGGCGGGGGCAGATGTTTGTGTGATGAATACGAGCATTTGTACTCCAGTCATGGATGTTTAGTATGTATTTCTATATAAATATATATGTACAGTATATGTATTCTATCCGTTACCGTAGTATCCCATAACACAAGCCTTACAGTGCTTTGAGGCTAGGCTAATTGGTGTGAGTGTTGGAAATATTTATTTATTATTTATTTAACTTTGAGCATTAAGCATTTCAAATGTGTTATTTATCGTTTTTTTTTTGTAAAAAAAAGTACAAATAAAAGTAAAATAATATTTGCAAATATGAAACATTAACTTTCAATAGTAAAGATGTACTTTCTTTTTACTTGTTTTGAAATTACTATAAATGCAGTTAAATTTTACTAGAAAAAAATCCACGCGGGCCAGTCAGCGGATGGGACTCGAAGCAGACCATTTCGCTATCCGGGCGAATGCAATGACCATTATGCTACCGCGGCCCTGATGGCTTTGTCGAATTTTCTCTAGTATTTTTTTGGCTGCAAGGCAGCGCCATCTCTTCGCATTGTAGGTAACCCAAAATGTCAAATGAATACCTTTACAAGTAAATAACATTTGAAAGAAGAAATAGCAATTATATTTTGTTTTAATTTTGTAAGCATTTGACTGCTAGATGTTTAAATCTAAAAAAATAATCATAATCATCAGCCTATTAATGTCCCCACTGCTGTGCCCCAAGCCCTCTCTTTGTACAGAACGGGGAGATTGAACCGTGACCCACTATGCGGGCCGAGTGCGGATTGGCGGGTGCTAACGACTGCAGACGCAGCCGGGACCGACGGCTTAACGTGCCTTCCAAAGCACGTAGCAGCGAGAGATAACAAGTTTTTGGTCACCCATCCAATGACTGACCATTTCGAAAGTTGCTTGACTCCCATGATCGAGCTGGTTAAATAAATTTAAATCTTTGTTTCGTCATTAGGTTACACGTACCTGTACATAAGAATGCTTCGTCAGCCGGCTTTATACGGTATCACGCCGGAGAAGCAACAGGAGGATCCCTTATTGGAGTTGCATAGAGCAGATCTTGTGCATACAGCCGCTTCCTTGTTGGACAAGTTAGTATTCTACTGTAATTTATTTAATTAGGTAATATTTTTATTGTTTTTAAGCATTTAATTGCTAGATGTTTAAATCTAAAGAAATATTAAGTGATAAATTTTGAATTGTAATTATGATTTTATTATTATTATTATTTCTATTTTTTGATTAATTTTGACATTTTATTATTGAATTGGAATCATATGAATTTGACATGTTTTCATCATCATCATTAGCCTATTAATGTCCCCACTGCTGGGGCACAGGCCTACTCTATGGATGGAATAGGAAGATTGTAGTTAGTATGTGTAGTTATGGGTAGTCATGCTCTCATAATAGTCTCTTCGGCGGTGTCGTGTGAGGCGGGTCGTTACGTTCCCTAAAATATGGTTGAGCGAAGCGATGGCTGGTTCATGCGTCATGCTCGTGAACTGGTGCTGCCAGCGGAGATGAGTCCCTAACTTCCTTAATATTGAAGTTAATGTTTAGTCACACTGAATATAAATAACACTATTTGTATTTATACTGTGTGACACAGCAATCAAAATGCAGGTAAACAATTAATGTATATTTAATAATTATGTACTGAAAAGTGACTTCATGAATCACCTCTGAAGTCATTTTTCAATTTGACGACTCTGTAAATAATAAAACAGGGAGAAAAAAACAACCCTTGCTGAGTTTCTTACCGGTTCTTCTCAGTACAAGGTCTCCCGCCGTAGATTTACGAACCGATGGCGTAGCTTCTAGACATTCATATGTGCTTGTAACAGCCTAAACTGAATAAATGATTTTGATAATGATTGATAATGATAATGATTGGGCCATGACCCACCACGCGGGCCCAGTGCGGCTTGGTGGGTGCTAACGACTGCAGATGCAGCCGGGACCAACGGCTTAACGTGCCTTCCGAAGCACGGAGGAGCTCGAGATAGTAAATTTTTGGTCATCCATCCAATGACCGACCACTGCGAAAGTTGCTTAACTTCAACGATTGCAGCCGATTGCGCTAACCACTTGCGCCATCGAGCTCCTCATGTTTATGACATGTTTTACTATTGAATATTAGGATTTTTGACTTGGAATCTGAATTACCTGATGAATTTGAATGCCCATATTGGCACTACATGTTATTACACTTACACATGTTGTTACAAATAAAATTTTTCATTCTTTCTTCAATTAATCTAATACTAGCAAACCAGTGAACCAAATGTTCACCAAAAAAAAAAAATGTATTTAATTAATTGAGAACTTCGGAGATTTTGTGTGGTTTCGTTTGAAATAGAAATCACGTGATTTCTCGAAAACCGGAAGTGCTACGTTACTCACATCCGGTTTGTAGTCTTATCAGACTATTCTTAACTTATAACTTAAACATTCTCTGTATTTATCTCTTACGGTTTGGCCGCTGAAACAGCACCACGGACGGACGGACGGACTTGTCTAATAGATAAGAGATATAAAATTCTCGTGTCGCGGTGTTCGTGGTTAAACTCCTCCGAAACGGCTTTCCCGATTCTCATGAAATTTTGTGTGCATATTGGGTACGTCTGAGAATCGGACAACATCTATTTTTCATCCTCCTAAATGTTAAGGGTAATCCACCCCTAAATTTTTTTTCAATTTTAGATATTTTTTTTATTTTATTTTTTTTATGATAATTCATACACAAATACACACAACCCTAAATTATCACCCTTCTACCACCAACCCCTATTTTTTTATGGCGGTACAAAGTTCCCTGGGACAACTAGTCTAATATATAAAATTCTCGTGTCGCGGTGTTTGTGGTTAAAATCCTCCGAAACGGCTTTCCCGATTCTCATGAAATTTTGTGTGCATATTGGGTAGATCTGAGAATCGGCCAACATCTATTTTTCATCCCCCTAAATGTTAAGGGTAATCCACCCCTAATTTTTTTTTTATTTTTTTATGATACAGCATTAGTAAATACATATAACCCTGACTTTTCAACCCTTTACAATCAACCCCTATTTTTTTATGGCGATACGAAGTTCGGTGGGTCAGCTAGTATATGTATAATAATATAATATTTATCTGTTTAGGGCGGGTTTGGTAAAATACGAGCGCAAGTCGGGACACCTCCAGCCTACCGAGCTGGGCCGCATAGCTTCCCACTATTACTGCACATACGAGACGATGCAACAGTACAACCAACTATTGAGACCTACACTCGGAGAAATAGAGTTGTTCAGAGTGTTCTCGCTGTCGGCTGAATTCAGACATGTGGCTGTAAGAGATGAGGAGAAACTGGAGTTGCACAAGCTGATGGAAAGGGTAAGTGTCAGGATTAAGGGTAATTTTTAAGGTGGAAGAAAGGAGGTCTCCTATTGGTTTAAGAGATTTTTAGGTCATCATCAGCCTATTAATGTCCCCACTGCTGGGGCACAGGCCTTCCCTATGGATGGAATAGGGAGATTGGGCCATGACCCACCACGCGGGCCCAGTGCGGATTGGTGGGTACTAACGACTGCAAATGCAGCCGGGACCAACGGCTTAACGTGCCTTCCGAAGCACGGAGGAGCTCGAGATAGTAAATTTTTGGTCACCCATCCAATGACCGACCACTGCGAAAGTTACTTAACTTCAACGATCGCAGCCGAACGCGCTAGCCACCTGCGCCATCGAGCTCCTTTAGATAGATTTTTAGGTGCAAGTAAGAATATCTCCTATTGGTTTTAAGGGATTTTTAGGTGGAAGTAAGAAGATCTCCTGTTGGTTAAAGGGATTTTTAGGTAGAAGTAAGAAGATCTCCTATTGGTTTAAGGGAGTTTTAGGTGCAAGTAAGAAGATCTATTGGCTTAAGGGATTTTTAGGTGGAAGTAAGAAGATCTCCTATTGGTTTAAGGGATTTTTAGGTGCTAGTAAGAATAGCTCCTGTTGGTTTAAGGGATTATTAGGTGGAAGTAAGAAGATCTCCTATTGGTTTAAGGGATTTTTAGGTGCTAGTAAGAATAGCTCCTGTTGGTTTAAGGGATTATTAGGTGGAAGTAAGAAGATCTCCTATTGGTTTAAGGGATTTTTAGGTGCTAGTAAGAATATCTCCTATTGGTTTAAGGGATTTTTAGGTGGAAGTAAGAAGATCTCCTATTGGTTTAAAGGATTTTTAGGTGAAAGCAAGAATATCTCCTGTTGGTTTAAGGGAGTTTTAGGCGGAAGTAAGAAGATCTCCTGTTGGTTTAAGAGATTTTTAGGTGGAAGTAAGAAGATCTCCTATTGGTTTAAAGGATTTTTAGGTGAAAGCAAGAATATCTCCTGTTGGTTTAAGGGAGTTTTAGGCGGAAGTAAGAAGATCTCCTGTTGGTTTAAGAGATTTTTAGGTGGAAGTAAGAAGATCTCCTATTGGTTTAAAGGATTTTTAGGTGAAAGCAAGAATATCTCCTGTTGGTTTAAGGGAGTTTTAGGCGGAAGTAAGAAGATCTCCTGTTGGTTTAAGAGATTTTTAGGTGTAAGTAAGAAGATCTCCTATTGGTAATGATGATAAACTGAAACTACAGAAAATCATGTAGAGATGAGCCATTTTAAGAAAACTGTAGACAGATATAACTCCACAGAACACTCGCCGTGGTATAGTCGGTAGAATGCGCTTAATGATGCCACATCGCGGTGTAATTGTAGAGATTCGAGTTTCTATTTATATGTTTAAATGATTCGCAGCTCTAATTGACCTTTTAAATCTTTCTACCAGGTACCTATACCTATCAAGGAGAGTATAGAAGAACCTTCAGCTAAAATCAACGTGTTACTGCAAGCATATATATCACAGTTGAAACTGGAAGGGTTTGCGTTAATGGCTGACATGGTATACGTCACACAGTCAGCCTGCAGACTGCTCAGAGCTATATTTGAGATCGTATTGCATAGGGGTGAGTGGACATTTTAATTATAATAATAATTTTAATAATAATAATAATTTTAATAATAATAAAAGACGCTCAAGGCAGTACTCCTGGACACAGTGCGCACAGGCGGTTTCTTTCTCTGCGGCCCTAACCACCGGTAGCTCTTGAACGAATGAATGAATGATCACTTTATTGTACACCATGAAATTTCAAATTACAATTAATTAAAACTATTACATAATAGTCGGCGGCCTTATCGCTAAGAAGCAATTTCTTCTAGGCAACCGTATGTTAACTGGCCTATTACATAGAGAGTGGGAAGTAGATGGTGTCATTTAAAGTGAAACTACCATTATTAATACTAATAAATAATTATGTACAATAAAAAATAAAATAAACTAAAATACAAATACATTAACATGATATTTCTATATATAAACACACTAACACCCTAATCATACTTTGCTCTTGGGTCTAGGTTAGGTTTTTTTATACTTTATTTATTTTTGTATTTTACTTTTATATCTATTTTATAAAAAACCTAACAGCTATGAGACAAAATAAATGTGATAATATTAACGATAATTCTATTATATTTTTATTCAAATCCAATCAAAAATTTCTTTATTCTAATTGGATGCAATTGGACGACCTCTGTGGCCGGGTGGTTTGTACGCCGGGTTTCATGGTGTCGAGAGGTCCCGGGCTCGAATCCCGGTAGGGGCAGATGTTGGTGTGATGAATACGAGCATTTGTAGTCATGGATGATTGATATGTATGTCTATATAAATATATTTATATATGTACAGTATATGTATTCTATCCGTTACCCTAGTATCCCATAACACAAGCCTTAAATTAAAACTTTAAAACAATATATTCTATAGAACTGTTTTTATTTCCAATCAGGTTGGGCGCAATTGGTCGACAAAACGTTAGCTTTATGCAAAATGGTGGACAGACGAATGTGGCAATCCATGTCGCCTCTTAGACAATTCAGGAAAATGCCAGAGGAGGTTAGTATTATTTCGGTTAAATAAAAAGAGTGGCTAAGGGGCCGTTGAAGTATTACGTAAACAGATTTATTACAATTATTTAGCTCCCCCCCCCCCCCCTGTCAGCAAAAGTACAGGTCAGTTCAAATTGAAAAATGACTTCAATATGAGATAACTCATGAAGTTTCTTTCCATTGCAAATGTAAATGATATAAAAATAGAGTATATGGCAAGTTTTAGAGAACGATCTCACGTTATTTACTAATATTTATGGAGTCCATAATAAGTGGATATTTATCATTCTGTTGCGTATTTCAGTAAAAAAAACTAAATAAAAAATACCATTTTAAAGTTGCCGCGAAAACGTTTCTCTTGACATAATGGCGTTTCCCTGCTATGTGTCGTCACATGACTGTCATTAAAACTTCAAACGATATAACGATACGAATGTAATGTTAAACTAAACTTTGACCGGAAGTTTACTAGCGTTTGACGTCATTTTAGCTTACGGCAATCCTAGGGTGTATTCCGTAATATATACCAGTATACTGGCCAGTGCTAATGACGTCATGAATCAACGCTATACTGGTTGCTCCGAAATATATTGGCCAGTGCACTGACGTCATAAATCGACAAAATATTAAAAATAGTGCGAATAAAGAAGATTTTTTATTCACCTCATCAATTAAAAGGTATTCTTTTTGTACGGATGCCATTACTGTCCTTTAAATAAAAAAGAAATAAAATTCGTATGCATCTCACGCACGCTCGGTCATACGTCATATTCGTTTTCCCGGTAAGAATATCATAGTGTCGGATTCGTGACATTACCACTGGCCAGTATACTGATGTATATTTCGGAATACACCCCTAGGCTTTTTCGGTCACATGACCATAAAACAAATAAATCGTTTCTTTTTTATGATTTTTAAGAAATGTTATTAATAATTTTGTTCTTCCCGTATAGTAAAATCGCTGCCAATATTCCTATTAAATAATGATGCCATCAATGGGTTTTTTTAATTTTTCATACTGTCAAATGAGGGGTATACAATCAAAGTTGGTAAAGTCCACATTGCCAAAATGTTTAGTAAAGTATAAAAACGATTATTTTAATAATTACAGGTAACTATTTTAATGTTGAGGAGCTCGATGGCGCAAGTGGTTGGCGCGTTCGGCTGCGATCGTTGAATTTAAGCAACTTTCGCAGTGGTTGGTCATTGGATGGGTGACCAAAAATCTTCTATCTCGAGTTCCTCCGTGCTTCGGAAGGCACGTTAAGCCGTTGGTCCCGGCTGTATCTGCATTCGTTAGCACCCACCAATCCGCACTGGGCCCGCGTGGTGAGGCATGGCCCTATCTCCCTATTCCATCCATAGGGAAGGCCTGTGCCCCAGCAGTGGGGACATTAATAGGCTGATGATGATGATGATTTTAATGTTAAACATTATTTATATGCAGAATGTAATACATTATGAAAATACAAGTGTTCATCACGTTCAGTTCAATACTTTTGAGTAAAACCTTAAGTATAAGATGGACTTTCCCAGTTTTGTTACGTAGTTTTGGACTTTACTAAGTTAGTAACAGTAACACAACAAGAGAGCATTACAACATCAAAGGCGACAATGACAGCTGTCAGTGAAATGGAGGCAATGGAGCCTTCCTATTGGTCGAAAAGGACTTTACGCAAATTAAAACTCAACTCACTTGGACTTTGCTACGTTTGTTTGTAAAGTCAATTTTCAATTTGAAATAACAGTCGAGATTTCTAGAAAATGTATAAAATTATTCTACGGGATAAATATAGATACGGAAATGAATTTGTTGTAATTAGACTTGCAACGAATAGTATATTCGGCAGTATACCGAAAACCGAATATTCGGCGAGGCCCCTGACCGAATAGCCGAATATTAGGCAGAAGTATTCGGCTGGATTTTAGCGCCAAAAACTTGTACAGACGTGATTGTTTCGCGCTCCTTTGTTTTGTTCTAATCTGCCGTCCTCAAGCTAAAATGTGGCTAAATGACAAAACCAACTTTTGAGATATGGCCAAACGAAAGCGTAAACTTTAAATTATTGCTATTATGTAACCATTCATCACATGACTGAATGAATTAAAAACTGTGAACTTGTTTAATACAGAAAATGATTAAATTATGTACCTGTTTTATGTACCAATGACTACTTAATAAATGATTATAAAAGAAATGAGAACCTTACCCTTCTAAATTTTGTTTACCACAATATTTCAAATACATAGAATCCTCCAATTTTCCAATTCAGAAGATGATTATGTACCTGCGTTATGTACCAATGACTACCTAAATGATTATATAACAGAAATGAAAATATGAATATATACGTAATCAATCGATATAAATTTTTCATTTTACCAATTATTTTTCTATGACAAAATATATTATTTAAGTATTCGGTATTCGGCCGAATATAATAAAAGCAGCCGAATAGGCCGAATACCGAATAGTAACCGAATATTCGTTGCAAGTCTAGTTGTAATTTAAATCTCACTTTTAAAAATTTGTGGACTTTACCAACTTTAATTGTATACCCCTGAAATAGCCTATTATATAATAAAAAAAAATAACAAAACTGATTTAACAAAGTTTAGGAATGCCGTGTCCTACTGTTTAGGCAAAGATTTTTGTGAGATACTCAAAAAATATATTTCCCACACTACAGGTCATAAAGAAGCTAGAAAAGAAGAACTTCCCATGGGAGAAGCTGTACGACCTCGGCCCCAACGAAATAGGTGAATTGGTTCGCGCCCCGAAACTCGGCAAGATGTTGCACAAACACATACACCAGTTTCCGAAACTCGAGCTGGCCACCCACATCCAGCCAATCACCAGATCTACTCTGAGGGTGGAACTGACTATAACTCCTGACTTCCAATGGGACGAAAAGGTAAGTTATAAATCTTATTTGTTTCTTAGGTTTTCACGCACATCACTCATTAAATAAAACTAGTTTTTACGGGTTAATGTACGAAACTTTATTTATTTATTGACGTTTCGTAGCCTTTACAGCCAGCGATTTATCGACATTAACTGTCAAACTACTATGGAGTTTGACAGTTGAGTGTCGATAAATCGCTTTATCATATCGCGTTTTGTTACTCATGCTAGGGGGGCAGGCTTCGTGGTCAGAATCAAACTTTCATTTTTGGTGTTGTTTTGTTAAGTTAAAAATAAAAGTTCGATTCTGACGAAACGTCAATAAATAAATAAAGTTTCGTGCATTACCCGTAAAAACTAGTTTTATTTATAAATCTAAGTTTTAAACTTTCATGATTGCTAACATAATGGCGCGATAACAGTTGATCGGTAGCCCGGATACGAGTGTCTATGGAATTTGGGTAAATGACTAAGTGCAAAAGGAACGGAGTCGAGTATGCCCGTATTTGGGTAGTTTTCGCCAGGGCTTGAAACCGGTTTCGAAAATACCGGTAAATAAAGGTTAATACCGCTTTTAGTAAAGGTTTCGTTCGGAGCGCGTCCGAAATGAAAGCGGTACCTAAAACCTTAATAAACCTGTTTAATCCACAGCGACACGTGCACGCGTCGGCATCACTTGAAGTTTGTTTTGTTTAAACTAATCAAGTCACAACTTGTTAATGCTCAGAGATTTATGCATTTATTGACACGTTTGCTAGCGTCTAGTGAGTCACGTTATTCATTTATTATCGATGCCGTCAGAAAGAGCGAAATGAAACCCTTTGAAAACAGCTAAATTGATTCAAAACCTATTTGATTTCGCTCTTTAGGAAAACCGGTTTTTAAAGGTTAAGGTAGAGCCAAACCTAAATAAAACGCTCCTAATGTACTTGACACTGATTTAGGTTTGAAAATTAACCGGTAAAAAGCCCTGGTTTTCGCAACGATATTAAATACCCTGGATACAACAACACGAACAATATCGTGGCCCAAACCTGTCCAAAAGGTATATTGGATGATCCACGGCGCCCCGTAAGATGATGCGTAGTCAAAAACAATATAAGGCATTATTGAAACATTGAAAGACACCTTTAATGCATACTGTATAGGGTCTTAATTAAAACGTACGCGTCAAAAAGTTATGACAGTTGGAAAGGCAAGCACGTAAAATTTTACGACTTATTGCTATATGCGGAAGAATAGAGACCTTATTTCTTTGACTCTAAGCGCAATTCAGAATGCGCTGTTAGTAATATAGCAGGTACGGACAGCGAGGAAAAGAGACGGCTATATTACTGAAATATCGACCATGCATTTGCATATCACAAAAATTTTCTATTAAATCAGTTTATAGTAAGTATTACAACAAAATTTATTTCACATGCGTTAAATTTACAAACATTGATTAGATACCTGTCGGAAAAAACGACACTACGTACTATAAGTATTTTTTTTTATTTTTTCACTGAACTCCACGACAACTTGACTTTTCAACGGTCCGCGCGTGAATGTGAACTAAGAAGTGCTTTAGTGAAGTTCAAGCACTTCTTGATTGGGACACATTTTGAGCGCACGTGGTGTATCTATGGTATTTAATATCGTTTATTGCTGCATATACATATCTGACATTATAATAATAATATTTAATAATATGTATTTTTTATGAAAGTAACATTCTTCTTACTTCCATGATCCTTTCTCGGCTTTAAAATCCTTCCGTTTCCCTAACTTTTGTCATTGACTGTGGCTAAACGCACAAGTCGCGCAAAGCCAAGAAAAACAATGCACTTCTATTGCCAAATGCATGAATGCGCTTCCAAAAAAAAGCGAGCTTATCATCATCATCATCATCAGCCTATTAATATCCCCACTGCTGGGGCACAGGCCTTCCCTACGGATAGGATAGGGAGATTGAGCCATGACACTCCACGCGGGCCCAGTGCGGATTGGCGGGTGCTAATGACTGCAGATGCGAAACGAGCTTACGAGTATACGTGCGTAAAAAACTCTATTTTCAAATCGCCCGTATTAAAGAGTGACAAAGTATAGATTAAAAGCGCTTCCAAGGAGGTTCGATCTAAATTTAAAAAAAGCCGTAAAGGATACGCACGGTGCCCATATACCGGAGCGTGCGGTAAAATTTTACCGCACGCTCTGTTGTATGGTGTGTAATAGGGTATTTGACAGTATTAAAAATAAAGTGCTAATTGTTAGCATCTGTATTCAGAATGAATATTTGCAGGGGGTTTAATTATTACAACAGAAAAAATATTCATAATTTTACCAAAAACCCACGAAAAAGATAATAGTTTTCATATCTATTGTCACGTGATTGAAAACGCCTGGGGTTGGCGGAGCGTAAAATGACGTCACACACTAGTAAACTTCCGCTCAAAGTGACATTACATTGTATCGTTTGACGTTTTAATGACAGCCGTGAGACGCCATATTGCCCAGAGATACGTATTCGCGGCAACTTGAAAAATGAGTTTTTGATTTAGTTATTTTTACTGAAATACACAATAGAATGATGAATATCCACCTTCGTAAATGCATTTTTTGAGCTTATGTGTTGAAAATGTATCTATATATATAAAACTCAAAGGTGACTAACTGACATAGTGATCTATCAACGCACAGCCCAAACCACTGGACGGATCGGGCTGAAATTTGACATGCAGGTACATGTTATGACGTAGGCATCCGCTAAGAAAGGATTTTGATCAATTCTACCCCCAAGGGGATAAAATACCGAAGCGAAGCGAGGGCGGGCCACTAGTTTTACTATAATTTCTTTCCCTTACCCAGGTCCACGGCCAATCTGAAGCCTTCTGGATCCTAGTGGAAGACGTGGACTCGGAAGTGATACTGCATCACGAATATTTCCTGCTGAAAGAGAAATATTGTCGCGACGAGCATCAGGTGAAACTGTTCGTGCCAGTGTTCGAGCCGCTGCCTCCGCAGTATTTTCTCCGAGTGGTTTCTGATAGGTGAGAATATCTATACACATATGACGACCTCCGTGGCCGAGTGGTTTATACGCCGGGTTTCATGACGTCGCCGACTCGAGAGGTCCCGGGTTCGAATCCCGGTAGGGGCAGATGTTTGTGTGATGAATACGAGCATTTGTACTCCAGTCATGGATGTTTAATATGTATTTCATATAAATATACTTATATATGTACAATATATGTATTCTATCCGTTATCCTAGTATCCTATAACACAAGCCTTACAGTGCTTACTTTGGGGCTAGGCTAATTGGTGTGAGTGTTGGAAATATTTATTTATTTATTTATATATGTCGGCGGATGGCGTCTCGCTCGCTCCTGCGAAACGTAAAACCTACAACAAATGTCATCAGTCATTGTACCATTGCTTTGTGAAACGTCAAGTTATGACAGTGACAGCTGTCATCACTTGGGAGTGGTCTATGCTAAGGGTAGTATTTAAGGGGGTAACGCTTCATTGGAAGGGGCATTCGGCATTCAGCATTCAGACGTGAGCCGCGATAGTGAACGGACGTTAGCACAGAACTCTCCGCGCTTCACAAAGCAATCCATTTGTATCCTTGTAATCTTATCATATTTTGTAAAGTGATTTAAAGATTTAAATTAAATATTAGCTAAGTTATTAGACTACAGTTTCATTTTCGGAAAATAACATTGAATAACCAAGATGGCGGATCAAGAAAAACCACGTGGCCAACCGCCCCTATCCCGCTCGCCCACTCCGACATATAAATAAAATTGGAGTCATCATCATCAGCCCATATTAATGGCCCCACTGCTGGAGCACAGGCCTTCCCTAGCAGCCGATTTGATTTGGTGTGTCACTTAAAGAATGCTTAAGTGACCGTGTGCTTCCAATTTGCGGGAGTACACGATGTTCTTCTATGCTTCTGACTATTCCTGGAAAAGTAAACACTTTAGGGTCAGAGTGACGCAAAAGGTCTTCTTCTTTTCGAGTCTTTTTAGGGTTCTGTACTTAAAAAAGAAAAAAAACGGAACCCTTATAGGATCTCTATGTTCGTCGTCTGTCCGTCCGTCCGTCCATCTGTCAGTTGTTGTTTTTCTATCCACCCCCCATTTCATCCCGTTAAAGGGTGATTTGTACACCCCCTTAAAGGGTGAATTCTAGGATGAAAACTAACCTATGTCCTATCCTGTGAAATCAAACTATCTCTATACCAAATTTTATCTAAATCGGTGTAGCAGTTTTAGCGTGAATATGTAACAGACAGACGTTTCAAAATTTTGACTAGAAAAAAATCCACGCGGTCCAGGCAGCAGACCGGACTCGAATTCGCTATCCGGAGCCTTGCAGCCGGCTAGACTTGCAGCCCGAGAAATACCAGAGGAAATTCGACACGGCCGTAAGGGCTGCGGTAGCGTAGTTGGTCAGTGCATCCGCTCGGATAGCGGAGGGTGCGAATTCGGGTCCCGTCTGCTGCCTGGACCGCCTGGATTTTTTTCTAGTCAAAAATTTTTAACGTCTGTTGTTACATATTCACGCTAAAACTGCTACACCGATTTAGATAAAATTTGGTAAAGAGATAGTTTGATTGCACAGGATAGGACATAGGTTAGTTTTCATCCTAGAATTCACCCTTTAAGGGGGTGTACAAATCACCTTTTAACGGGGTGAAAAAGGAGGTGGATGGAAAAACAATTCTTCCGCTAGTATGAAAAAAAAACATTTTGTAATTAAATTGGAAGTACAGTCTACTTCCCCGACCGCGTTTAATTTTTTCTAGTAAATATTTCTAAGTTATTATTTTTCAATATTCTAGGGCGTATCTCTTATCTATTAGACAAGTCCGTCCGTCCGTCTGTCTGTGGTGCTGTTTCAGCTGCCAAACCGTAAGAGATAGATAAAGAGAATATTTAATTTATAAGTTAAGAATAGTCTGATAAGACTACAAACCGGATTTGAGTAACTTAGCACTTCCGGTTTTCGAGAAATCACGAATTTCAAACGAAACCACACAAAATCTTCGAAGTTCTCAATTAATTAAATACATTTTTTATTTTTTTTAAATCAGGTTTTGGTGAACATTTGGTTCACTGGTTTGCTAGTCTTTTTATAATATCTTTTTTTATATTCCCCTCCCAGGTGGATAGCATCCGAGACCCAGTTACCAGTTTCATTCCGTCACCTCATATTGCCCGAGAAGAACCTACCGCCCACAGAGCTTCTGGACCTACAACCTTTACCGATCTCGGCGTTGAGGAACGCCGCTTACGAACAGTTGTACAATGAGGCGTTCCCACAGTTCAATCCTGTGCAGACACAGGTGAGTTGTACTTATTTTATTGATGTGTAACATCTTTCCTCTCGCTTTCGTGCAAGTTTTTGAGTGATTACGTGAAGTGGGACGGAAGTGTGTAACAGGAAGTTCGGGTAACGCGCGCTATTTGATTTGATTTTAGAACGTAATGTTGAAATGGCTTATTCCTTTTGTAGTAGGTTTTATTTCTTTTTTTTTACTAATATAAGGTGAGGTTTCAAATGTTACACATTATACGCGACTACTGTAATAAGGCTCGCTTGGATGCATGGAGGTTTTTCCGCCTACCTCCATAGATTTAAGAAGAAGGACAACCCTAGATGCGTTTGCGATCCAGGTGCAGAGGAGGACATTTTCCATGTCCTCATAGAGTGCCCCCTGTACGGAACACACAGACACGCATAGATACACAAATCAGTAGGGACACACTATGAGAAATTATCAAAAACGAGAAAGAAAGGAAACTATTCCTAGAGTATAGTCGTGAAATAGTACAGAAAGTAATAAAAAGAAATGAGGATTAGTAAAGGAAGCTTCTCAATTGTAAATAAAAAGTGGAATTGAAGTGGGGTTAATTTATTAATGTTAAATGTAGTATAAAATAAATATAATAAAAATAAGAAATAAGTATATAAGGAAGCAAAAATGTAAAAGTCATAGGATATAAACAAACAAGAAATGTATGTAAAATAGATACAAGGATTTAAGAAAGAGTAAAACAGAAATGTTGTCATTAAAGCATAACTTAGAATAAGAAGAACATATAAAATAATTAAGAAATATATATAAATAAAGAGAAGATAAAGACCTGTCACAAAACGGGGGTAGCAGTATAAAAAAAAAATAAGGCTCGCTTGTTTTTATTTTTATTTTAACAATTATTCTGGTCCATTTATAAATCTAAAGTAAGCATCATCATCATCAGTCTATTAATGCCCTCAAAACTGAGGCACAGGCCTTCCCTATGGATGGAATAGGGAGATTGGGCCATGACCCAGCACGCAGGCAAAGTGCGGATTGGCAGGTGCTAACGATTGCAGATGCAGCCGGGACCAACGGCTTAACGTGCCTATCTAAGCACGGAGGAACTCGAGATAGTAAATTTTTGGTCACCCATCCAATGACCGACCACTGCGAAAGTTGCTTTACTTCAATGAGCCGAACGCTACGCTTACCACCTGCGCCATCGAGCTAAGAGCGTGTCTAATTTTCTGTAGTATTTCTTAGGCTGCAAGGCAGAGCCATCTCTTCCAATTGTAGGTAACCCACAATGTCAAATGAATACACCTTTAACATTAAAAAGAAGAAAGAGTAATTGTAGTTATATCTATTTTATAAGCATTTAACTGCTATTTTTGAGTCTAAAGATAATTTTATTTTTATTGTGGGTTACCTACAAAGCGAAGAGATGGCGTAAGAAATAGTAGAGAAAATTCGACACGGCCATCAGGGCCGTGGTAGCATAACGGTCAGTGCATTCGCCCAGATAGCGAAAGGTGCGGGTTCGAGTCCCGTCTGTTGTCTGGTCCGCGTGGATTTTTTTCTAGTATTTTTTTCTTTAGATTTAAACATCTGGCAGTTAAATGCTTAAAAAATAAAAAACATAACTTTAGGTATGTACATTTTTAAAATTTTATTCTTATTTTGATTGACCCTTCGGCTTTATTTAAATATTTTAATGTCTCGGCCTTGAATACTACAAAAGTAGATTTCCTTCACGACCAATCAAAATCATTTATTCAGTTTAGGCTGTTACATGCACTCATGAATGTCTTAAAGCTACGCCATCGGTTCGTAAGTCTACGGCGGGAGACCTTGTACTGAGAAGAACCGGCAAGAAACTCAGCAAGGGCTGTTTTTTCTCTGCCTGTTTTATTTTTAACGAAAATAACTTCACATGATTATAAAGTCACCTTTCATTACATAATGTGAAATATACATTGATTGTTCACCTGCATTTTGATTGCTGTGTCATACAGTATAAATACAATTATAGTCTATTCACATTGGCGTGAGACAAAATGTATAAGCAAACCATAAAAAGGATACTTTTTAAGGTCACTTTTGACAAAAGTAACGATTTAATACTATTTAGATAGGAAATGCAGCGAAACATTAAGTTAATTATTTTAAAAGCTGGTACGTATACATACATCTTAAATTCCTATATTTTATTTTGCTGATAAAAGTATTTTAACAACTTAAGTTGACATGGAAAAAGACCTCAAAACACAATCATTCCCAAACTTATGACGTATTATAATACAACAAAGTTTAAGAGTAGACATGATATAAGTATTTTACGTTGAAATGTTGTGTTTTGTCATCGGTTGGTTTACGTCAGCCATCTTTACTCTTCCGATCAACCTGTTGACGCGACCGTGCATATCTCTTATCTATTAGACAAGTCCGTCCGTCCGTCCGTCCGTCCGTCCGTCCGTGGTGCTGTTTCAGCGGCCAAACCGTAAGAGATAGATATAGAGAATGTTTAAGTTATAAGTTAAGAATAGTCTGATAAGACTACAAACCGGATGTGAGCAACGTAGCACTTCCGGTTTTCGAGAAATCACGTGATTTCAATTTCAAACGAAACCACACAAAATCTCCGAAGTTCTCAATTAATTAAATACATTTTTTTTTGGTGAACATTTGGTTCACTGGTTTGCTAGTTTTATCTTAATTGTTAAATTCTTGTTATTTCCTTGTTTTATTTGTTGTTGTTTTTTTACTGTTGAGTTTAAAGTTGTCTGTGATTTTTTTCTTGTTGTATTGACGTTTTCGTGGCTATAGCCATGAGTGGTGAACCTGGATCTAATCATTGACTAGTAGGTACTTTCTGCAATTACAAAAGTTTTAGAACCTCAGTTTTAATATTTTTTTATTGAATTGGAGTCATTTGAATTTGACATGTTTTATTATTCAATATTAAGTTTTTTGATTTGATATTTAAATAGCTTGATGAATTTGTATGACCATATCGGCCCGACATGTTATGCACCCCTAAAATCATAACACCTTACTTACACATGTTGTCTCAAATAAATATTTTATTTCTTTCTTTCTTTCTTTCTTTCTTTTGTTTACATTTTGTCTCAGGCCAAAGTGAATAGACTATAGTGATCCTTTATGATCGTGACCTTAAATCTTGGAGTGTGTTTTATCTACTATATAAAAATAAGTCGGGTTTTCCTTCCTGACGCTATAACTCCAGAACGCACGAACCGATTTCCACGGTTTTGCATTCGTTGGAAAGGTCTCGGGCTCCGTGAGGTTTATAGCAAAGAAAATTCAGGAAAAATTAAAAAAAAAATCGTTTTCTTTTAATCACAAAATGAAATGTTACATAAAACGAAGCTATCTGGTGGCGAAACGGAGTTCGCTGGGTTTGCTAGTTAGATATAAAAGTCTTTAGGTATAATAATTGTTTTTTTCCTCCAGGTTTTCAACGCCGTATACAACACGGACGAGAACGTATTCGTGGGCGCTCCGTCCGGTTCCGGTAAATCCGTGATAGCCGAGCTGGCTTTACTGAGGCTGCTGTCGAGCAACGCCGCAGGGCGAGCCGTGTATCTACTGCCCAAGGTGAGTGGTATAACTTTAATCTACACTTATATAGCAAATGCGAAAGATTTGTACTTTATTTATTTATTTGATCTCCAACAAAGTTACACTTAGACATTTCTTATATTTACACATTTATAGTAAAACACTTTATTAGTGGAACTTTAATGATAGGCGATTACGACATGCCGTAATTTTAACATTAATTTTAACATGTCATTTGTCGGACCTATGTATAAAAAAAAAAAAAAAAAAAAAAAAAAAATGCAATATAACCTTAACTAGCAATTGAATGTTATGAAATTTTCATAATAACATTAAATTTAATACAAAGTAATTTTAAATAAAAATAAATTTTTACAATGTCAATAATTGAACAACAAAAATAAAATAAATTAATGAAAAACTATGTGGGCACAACCAAACATACAGGTTTTATTCTCTTCAAGGTATCCGCGAAGATGTCCATATCGGCCGTCTTTGACAGTGAATGGGCTAGTTGACTCATGTCAAATTGCACTATACAAATGTTTATTTCTTATAATTTTTGGTATGAGGAACCTAAATACATCGGTTTCACTTCATAAAATTAGAAGATGGCTGTAGTAATTTAATTTGAAAAATAGTTTTTTAGTCTATGCTTTTTAAACACTAAAAACGCTGTCCACCATGATTGTGACGTCAACATAATAGCAAAACAACTAAACGTCATTGTCATGTTACTGTGGTTTCTTTCGTTCGACTAAAATATATCTAAAAACTCTTATGTCTTGAAGAAAAGTTTCCGTTTATTGGTTTTCTTAACTAAATTAATGCTGGACGCCGGATTTGTGAAAGCAGAAACGACAAAACTCTTTGACTTAGCAGGTACATTCATAACCTTAAAAATTGAAACCACAACATTTTTAACGATGTGTTTCTTTATTCTCGTATAATACAATCATGATAATTACTATATTTATCATGAAATCTATTAGAAATCGTGATTTTGTAATGTAAATTCAGATAGGTTATATTCTACGTGCTTGCGAGTGTTTGTTTACTGTTGTCCCGTCATACCATAGATAATCTTTAGACTAAAATGGCCGACAGCGTTTTTGTATGTCCATGAAAAATCTATTTTAAAATTAAAGTTTTGTAGCTTTCTAGGTAAAAAAAAATACAATACATTTTTTTTCGGTCTAATTGAACAGTTATTAACCATTTAAAACATATTTCCAAAAAGTGTCAACTAGCCTATTGTACTGAGAGAGCATTCTATTTATAGGAGAAAATAAGCCTAGGTTCGATCTGGATCTAGTATTTCATATCATTGTAACGATTAGACTCAAAAACTACTCGACGAATTTGAAAAATATTAGGTTTCAGTACCCTTAGCAAGAACCATTATTGAATTGGAATCGTTGAATACGATCTATTTTATACGTCAAATGTGTAGTGTACCTCTAGCACGAATCATTATCGAATTCGAATAGTTTGCGAGTTCGAGATGGCATTGGCTTTAGATAGAAACTTGAAAAGCAACGACACTACGGACGTAAGAAGAACTAAAAATCAGTACACATTTGACAATGAAATTTCACACACCGAACTATTCGAATTCGATATTGGTTCGTGCTAGGTGTACTGATTTTAGTTCTCATTACGTCCATTGTGGCGCTGCTGTTGTACAACCAAAATGTGACATTGACATTTCGCACTCGCAATCTATTCGAATTCGATTAGTTCGTGTTAAGGGTGCTGTGTTCCTTTTCCACATATAAACTTTTTATTAAATATAATGTCAGACTCTTCCAGATGTCGTCAAAGTTTATATGAGAACTAAGCAGCGTCTACCGAACGTAAGAAGAAACTGACTTTCATACAAAATTTCACGGTGACGATACGAATACGATGCCCACTCTCTTGCTTACTTAAAAACGCACGAAATTTTGGTTTTAGCTAAAGAATTTTAAGGAAAAATTTTACGAGAAAAAACTCTTTATGTTCTTTAGATTTAAAAAGATAGCAGTTAAATGTTTAAAAAATATATTTTTTTTTCATCCTTTCCTAGGACGCGCTCGCCGACATCGTCTTCGCCGATTGGTACCACAAATTCGGTGCCAAATTCAACCTTAAGGTAAGAGATATAGAGTTGAAAAATAGTAAAAAAAGAATTGATTGTAGAAATGTTTAAGTAATTGTAAAATAAATTTAGAAATCAAAAAATGTTCTAATGCATTCGGAGAGCGAATTTGCTAAGTGTTGATTGCAATGTAATTTAGCCTAATGGCCGCACTTAGAGAAGTGTCAGTAAACCTTTGAGTTTAACGATAAAGGTGATGGCTGAAAATCGGTATTTTGCCTTAAAACTGGCAAATATTACCTTTGAGTTTAACGATAAAGGTGATGGCTGAAAATCGGTATTTTGCCTTAAAACTGGCAAATATTACCTTTGAGTTTAACGATAAAGGTGATGGCTGAAAATCGGTATTTTGCCTTAAAACTGGCAAATATTACCTTTGAGTTTAACGATAAAGGTGATGGCTGAAAATCGGTATTTTGCCTTAAAACTGGCAAATATTTAGCCGAGCCTTGATCTTTTGCTTTCTGCAGCATACATATGGATATTTCATAGCTGATTTCTTGTATCTTTTTTTTATTGTATTACTCTGTCTGTAAATGTATATGTATGTTGAAGAAAAAATAAACGCATCATCTATCTATCTATCTTTAACTAAAGTTAACCCTGTGTCTTTGCTAGAACAAAAGAATGATACACTCACTTAGAAGTAGCATTAAATTAATTTGATGTTTATGATTTTGGCATAAGTTACACACTAATATTATAAAGGCGAAAGTTCGTGAGTGTGTATGTTTGTTACTTCTTCACGTCTAAACGGCTGGAGCGATTTTAATAAAATTTGGTATGGAGTTAGCTGACTCCCTGGATTAACACATCGGCTACGTTTTACTGCGGGAAAAGATCCATAATAAACCGCGAATAACACCGCGGGGCACAGCTAGTATCATTATAAATGTCAGGTAAACAAATAATGAAATGAATTGAAAATTGTATTCCCTCAGGTAGTGCAACTGACAGGCGAAACAGCTACAGATCACAAGCTATTGAATAAGGGACAAATTATTATCACCACCGCTGAGAAATGGGATGTTCTATCTCGGAGGTAAATCTATAATAATCTTTCTATGTAACTATATTAAAATGGATTGCTATTTTCTTTGTTCACGTACGTCATAACTTGGGAACGACCACCGATTTTATACATCATTTTAAACGGTTTTTGAAGCTTTGTTGATGCTGACGGAAAGAAAATTGAGAAATAAGAAACTTTTACCTGGTTATATTTATTTTTGAAGTTATACTTCTTTAGCCGCGTTATGAAAAAATTATGAGAGTGAAATTTTAAGATGCGCGCGCATCACTGTAACACAAAAGTAACATAATGAAGTTAGCCGCGGGCGCGTTATGAATAAATCATGTGAGTGAAATTTCGAGATGCGCGCGCATCACTGTAACACAAAAGTAACACCATGAAGTTGGCCGCGGGCGCTTTATGAATGTTAGTGTCTAATAATGGTGGATTATTAACCACTTAGTGGTTAATAATCCACCATTTTTAGACATCTGTTCGAAAGGTACTTTGAACGATCCACGGAGCTCCATAAGATGATCGCGTTGTCAAAAACAATGTTGGCACGCTCGTCGCCTCTGATCACTGTTTTCATATTTATAATATTTATCCACATGTTTCTAGTTTCTATATAGACACAACGTGTTTTAGTTACTTACAAGTGCTAATTACATATGGACTAATAACTTAAATTCAGTAGTGATTTTAATTGAATATTTTGAATATTTATTTAATTTTTCAAATTAAAACTGATCTTAATTGACTGTGTTAACTATCCTTTTCCAGTCCTTTTATTATTTTATTGTAATTATTAATTATTTGCAAGCAATTAAAAAATATTTTTAATGATGCTAAAGAAGTATAACTTCTCACGCGCGTACATAAGTTACACTCATCCATTTTTTTTATTAAGCATTTAACTACTAGCTAGATGTTGAAATCTACAGAAAATTTTACTACAAAAAAATCCACGCGTACTAGGTAACAGACGGGACTCGAACGCATGAATTGCTAGAGAGAATTCGACATGGAGAATTAGTGCTGCGGTAGTATAATGGTTAGTGCATTCGCCCGGATAGCTGAGGGTGCTGGTTCGAGTTTGCCGGTCGATTTTCCTCTTTTTATTCGCGTTCTTCTGTACATCCACGCTTCATTTATGTCTTAACTCAATCCTGAATAGTTTCTCTACAAACTTATCTATATAATAGATGTGTTAATTAAAAACCATTACTATAATAAATATGATAAAACGAAGAATATGAAAAATGAAATCAATTTTGTCAACTCGTGGCAGAAATGGCAGGGTTTTTTTGACGTTGGCAGAAAATGGCTATTTACACAGACGGGAGGTTATATGACAGCAGCATTAATGAATTAAAAAAAAAAGAAATTGACGCCCTCCGTGGCCCAGTGGTTTATATACGCCGGGTTTCATGGTGTCGCCGACTCGAGAGGTCCCCGGGTTCGAATCCCGGTGGGGGCAGATGTTTGTGTGATGAATACGAGCATTTGTACTCCAGTCATGGATGTTTAATATGTATTTCTATATAAATAAACTTATATATGTACAATATGAGGAGCTTGATGGCGCAAGTGGTTAGCGCTTTCGGCTGCGATCGTTGAAGTTAAGCAACTTTCGCAGTGGTCGGTCATTGGATGGATGACCAAAAATTTACTATCTCAAGTTCCTCCGTGCTTCGGAAGGCACGTTAAGCCGGGTAACGACTGCAGATGCAGCCGGGACCCACCAATCCGCACTGGGCCCGCGCAGTGGGTCATGGCCCAATATCCCTATTCCATCCATAGGGAAGGCCTGTACCCTGTGTACATTGGGGCTAGACTAATTCGTGTGAGTGTTGGAAATATTTATTATTTATTTCTAATAATGTATGTCTATTACAGATGGAAAGTGCGCAAGAGTGTACAGAGTGTATCTCTGTTCATAGTGGATGCTTTACAATTATTGGGGGGAGAAGAAGGCCCAGTTTTAGAAGTGGTGTGCTCTAGGATGAGATATATCGCCTCGCAGATCGGTGAGTATGTCTGTCTGTCAAGATTTCCGTACCCAGTACGGATTCTTCCAAACAATTCAGCTTCCACTAATCTTCGGCGTATCAGTCTTGACTAGGTGTTTTTCTGGTCATCAGGCGAAAAAAACTTCAATTTTAGAGTTCCGTACCTCAAAAGGATAAAATGGAACCCTTATAGGATCACTTTGTTGTCCGTCCGTCTGTCAAGACCGTTTTTCTCAGGAACGCGTGGAGGTATCAAACTGAAGTTCATATCTAATACTCAGGTCTACCGTTCATTGAAGCTGTGAAAAAATCAAACTTCTTAGCCAAAGCAATCAAAAGATACAGGCGTTCATGTCGCAAATTTTCGAAACTCGCACGGGAATCAAAACCTACAGGGTGCTTCCCGTGAACTTAGAATCCTGAAATTTGGTACGAAGTAACGTCTTATAGTACAGATAAAGGAAAAATTGCGAAAACCATAAATTTTTAGTTACATCATATAATAAAAAAAAAATTGAAAATTTAGGTTTGTACGGAACCATCGGTGCGCGAGTCCGACTCGCACTTGGCCGGTTATTAATCTGATTGGAGCTTTTAGCAACACGAACGATTAGCTTATCTTCTCTGGGAGAGAGCTTTTTTTCTTGGTCGAGCCGTTCTAAGAAAGTTTTTTTTTTTTTTCAACTATTGAAAAAATCAGATTGGTGCCTTTAGCAACACGAACGATTAGCTTATCTTCTCTGGGAGAGGTTTTTCTTGGCCGAGCCTTTCTAAGAACATTTTCAATAGTTTCATGTGTTTTATTATGATCAATTGCATTAACTACTTTCTTAAGAGCCCTTTTACAAAATTGCGCCGCTGCCGTACTAATTGGCGCGTAGGTAGATTTGCACTAGTATATATTGCATTTTACGGGTGATGTTTAGAGTCTTATAAAATAATTATTAATGAACTAATTATAAAAATATATACATATTTCAGTAGTTCAATGATGGTAGATTAGTTTTATGAAAGTTTTTGATAGTAATACTATTTAATTCAATATCAAAATACGACGTAAACCTGCATTATTTTTTGGGAAAACTCACGGAAGTTAGATGTTTTTTATGATAATTAATGAGATAGAAAATCAATCATTATGTTACAACAAAACATATTTCTGATGTCGTAGTAATTAATTTGATCTAATTTATTGAACACTATTGAGAGATTCAGGCGTTTCAAGTTGTCCATTTATTTTACACATTATCGTTTTTTCCTTAAACTAGCTGCAGTAGAACGATCAGTACAAATAAATTAAAAAAAAAACCTTTTTAAAAACAAGCTTTTATTCAAATGCGCTAAAAAGAAAAAAAGAAAATTTAGTTAGTTTGTTTCTAAATAGATTTTCAAATTTTAGAAGTCCGCCATATTGGATTGAGAGTGACGTCACATTTTTTTCGAGTTACTCTCAGCAAGCCCTTTCATTTGATACCCATATTGTTGGAATGCATTAAAAATGATTGGACCGCCATTTTGGGTATGCCGCCATATTGGATTTAGAATGACGTCACACTGTTAATCATGCATTGTCATCCGAACTGAACGAGCATACCAAATTTCAGCTTAATCGGTTGAGGGCAAGTGCTTTAAAATGAGTTGTAAGATTTGACCGTAACAAACATACATAGCAAGTTAAATAAAAGCTTGTAGAAAAGGAAAATAGTATTTGCTAATATTCTACATTAACTTACAATAGGAGGAATAAATCTTTTCGAAGCGGATAAATAAGGCGCTCAAAAATTACGATTTTTTGCAAAAAATGTGAGAGGGCTCTTAACAGTACAATTAAAATGCTCAGCTATTCTTCTGTACGCCAACTTACGATCAATATGTAAATTAACAATTATTATTTGCCTAGTTGACGCGTCACAACTTTTATTTTTGCCCATTTTGAACAAAATATAATTCAGATTAAATTTTGTATTGCCGCCAAAATAATAGATAAAGCCAAGAAAGAAATTTCATTCTCCAATTTAAAAAAAGAACGAGCTATGGATGTTTTTTTAAATGTTTATAATTAGGCGTCCAAGCGGCCAGTAACAGAAAATAAACTCCTACATGTGTAAGGCATTGTCCTAATAAACGCGATAACGCGATCATCGCGCGATTAAACGATGCGACCATCGCGTGACCGCGAACTGGGTGTCCTAATAGAACGCGAATACGCGATCACTATTTACGCGAATACGCGATCACGATTGACACACTGTTTGGTCGGGTTAGCCCTGCCCTTCTCCCCGCTTCCTATCGACGCGACGCGATCATCGCGCGAACTTCAGTTAGGACACCTATTCATCATTAGTAGGTTTGATTGCGCGTTCGCGCGAACTATGTTCCCGCGAATAGATTATTAAACATTTTAGTCGCGCGAATGCATCGCTCGATCGCCTATTAGGACACCTATTCTAGATCAATATGTTTGATCGTCGACTCGTACGATGATCGCATCGCTCATTCGCGTTATCGCGTTGTATTAGGACAATGCCTATGACTCATTTTGTAATTAAAAGTAAGACATGTTTCATATTTTATGCATTTAATGAGTTTTTTATTTGAGTGGCTATATAATTGCATGATTATTAATTATTGAATGTGTATATTTTTAACGAACATTAGTTAGTTTAAATTTTACTTTATTTATTCGTAAGAAGTGTTTCTAATTATATGACCACCACTTTATATGTGATATATGTTCTCCCATAGGTCGTCCTATACGCGTCGTGGCACTGTCACTCTCCCTAGCACCTACAAATGATATAATATGACATGTATGTGATATATATATATTGCCCCCATAGATCGTGCGCGTCGTGGCACTGTCGCTTCCCCAAGCGCCTTCAACTGATATAGTATGGCATATATATGTGATATATGTTGTCCCATAGATCGTGCTATCCGCATCGTGGCACTTTCGCTCCCCCTAGCCCCTTCAACTGATATAATATGATATATATATATGTAATATATGTTGTCCCATAGGTCGTCCTATCCGCATCGTGGCACTGTCGCTCCCCCTAGCGGATGCCAGAGACGTGTCGCAGTGGTTGGGATGCGGAACTAATTCTTCGTTCAATTTCCACCCCAGTGTGAGGCCTTTACCCCTGGAGTTGCATATACAAGTGAGTAGTATTTTATTATATACTAGCTGACCCAGCGAACTTCGTACCGCCCTAAAAAATAGGGGTTGACCAGCGGACAAAATTGTGAATCTAAACCATTCTCAGATCCCCTTGAACACACACAAAAAATTTCATCAAAATCGGTCCAGTCGTTTAAGAGAAGTTCAGTGACATACACACTCACAGAAGAATTATATATATAAAGATTTTTTATGTAATGAGAACTATTCGGGTTTTTGATAAGTTTTCGAAAACGATTTCACGTTACTTACTAATGTTTAGAAAGTCCATTTGGATATTCACCATTCTTTTGGATGTTTTAGTAAAAAAACGAAATCGAATATTCAATTCTCAGTTTGCCGGAAAAGCGTTTCTCTGGACACTGTAGCGTCTGACTAATTTTTTTCGGTCAAAATTGAGAAATCAATGTTAAATACACATGCCAACTCAGTACTTTATTTGTCATGCTGTCAAATATGCTTGCAAATATCCTAATGGCGATTTGTTTTACTCAACCATGTAGCTTATTAAATGATATCTCCAATCTATACATATAATAAAATGGTACGAAAATCAAAACTTCACATAGAATGTGTTTTTAAAAGAATACTTGGGGTGTGATCTACAATCGATACCGAAGCCAAAAATATAGTTTTTAGAATTTTTGTCTATTTGTCTGTATATATGTCCGGGATAAACTCAAAAAGTACTGCACGAATATTATTAAGAAGTCGGGTCAACATATAGGCTACATATTATCACGCTATCACCTAAGGGGAACGAGCAGTGAACCTTTATTCATAACTAACTCCACGCGTACGAAGTCGCGGGCGGCCGCTAGTATATAGTAAAATGGTCTGTTATAAGAAAGATAGTTATTTAGTTATAATACACCATCAAGGAGCTTAATGAAAGATGCCTTCTTATTAATCATGGGGGTTCAACGTTTTCCACGCGGCTTCCCGTCTGGGCGCCATGACGCGGCCCATATACAACGCCGTTGTGCGTCACGCCGGCTCGCGGCCCGTCGCCGTGTTCGTGCCGTCCTGTCGCACGGCACGGCTTTTAGCCGCCGATTTACTAGTTTCAGCATTTTGTTCAGTATTTCAGTAAAACAATGGAAAATGATATCTCTAATCTCGAATATGCCTTAGAAACGTTTCTCGGGGCAATATTATAGCGTCTCAAAATACACTATATCAGCGAGTTTTAGCGTACGTGAGATGTCATTTTAGACTAATTCTAGGCGTTTTCGGTTAAGTGACAATAAAGAAAAGAATACTTTTCTATGTCATGTTTTTATATTATGACTATTTTTTTTTCTGTCAAAATTGAGAAATCAATGTTAAATACAGATGCCAACTTGGTACGTTATTTGTCATTTTGTCAAATATGCTTGCAAATATCCTAATGGTGATTTGTGTTACTCAACCATGTAGCTTATTAAATGATATCTCCAATCTATATACATATAATAAAATGGTAGGAAAGTCAAAACTACACATTGAATTTTTTTTAAAAGAATACTTGGGTATGATCTACAATCGATACAGAAGCCATAAATATAGTTTTTAGAATTTTTGTCTGTTTGCCTGTATGTATGTCCGGGATAAACTAAAAAAGTACTGCATGGATTTACTTGATTTACTTCAAATTTGGCACGAATATTATTAAGAAGTCGGGTCAACATATAGGCTACATAATTATTATCACCTACGAAGAACGAGCAGTGAACCTTTATTCCTAACTAACTCCACACGTACGAAGTCGCGGGCGGTCGCTAGTGTATAGTAAAATGGTCTGTTATAAGAATGATAGTTAATACACTATCAAGGAGCTTATTGAAAGATGCCTTCTTATTAATCATAGGGGTTCAACGTTTCCCACGCGGCTTCCCGTTTGGGCGCCATGACGCGGCCCATATACAATGCCGTTGTGCGTCACGCCGGCTCGCGGCCCGTCGCCGTGTTCGTGCCGTCCCGTCGCACGGCACGGCTTTTAGCCGCCGATCTGCTGGCGCTGGCTGCCGCCGCCGGACGGCCAGCGAGGTTCCTGAGAGCCAGGGCCGATCTGTTGGCGCCATTCTTGAAAAGATTGCAAGATAAGGTGAGTTTTTTGGTTTTGTATATATCATTGCTAAGGTAATAATAATAATAATAACTTTATTGCTTAAAAAACTGTGTACAATTATGCAGTTGGAATTGCAATAATAACATAGTCGCAACAGTGTGCCCACAACGGGCATGCAATGGTAAAATTTATAACTTAAAACTATCTTAATTTAAAAAGTACATTTTAGAGCCTAAATTATATTAAGTTTTACAAGTATAATATTCATCAAGATTATATGAGTTAGATTGATTTAAGATTAGGTGAGTATTAGATTTCTAGAGCAGCGTAGGATTCTGTATGTCGCTGGAATAACTCGATTTAATGTTATTACGACCTCCAGTGCCGTCATTGACCTGAAGGCCCTGGGTATATTAGGATAATGGGGCCCCTATGACCCCCGTTTGATGATTTAACAGGAACTAGGGACTTTGTATTTGATCTGAGGGGGGCCACTGGGAAAGAGGGGTCTGACGACCTCCGTGGCCGAATGGTTTGTACGCCGGGTTTCATGGTGTCGCCGACTCGAGAGGTCCCGGGTTCGAATCCCGGTGGGGGAAGATGTTTGTGTGATGTATACGAGTATTTGTACTCCAGTCATGGATGTTTAATATGTATTTCTATGTAAATATACTTATTAAATAAATAATAAATATTTAAATATTTCCAACACTCACACCAATTAGCCTAGCCCAAAGTAAGCACTATAAGGCTTGTGTTATGGGATACTAGGGTAACGGATAGAATACATATACTGTACATATATAAGTATATTTTTTTATAGATATACATATTAAACATCCATGACTGGAGTACAAATGCTCGGATTCATCACACAAACATCTGCCCCCACCGGCATTTGAACCCAGGACCTCTCGAGTCGGCGACACCATGAAACCCGGCGTACAAACCACTCGACCACGGAGGTCGTCAATAAAACTGACAATAAACAAAAAACAGAGAAATATACTTACTTTGGGGCTAGGCTAATTGGTGTGTGTTGGTTTTTCTTTTTAATTTATTTATCTCTCGCATCGTAGATGTTGAAAGAGACCTTAGCAGCTGGTGTGGCTTACCTCCACGAGGGCGTGGAGCAGGGCGACAGGCGAGTAGTGCAGCAGCTTCTGGAGTCTGGAGCTGTGCAGCTATGTGTAGTTGCTGCAGAACTGGCGTGGGGCTTCGCAGCACACGTGCACACTGTCATTGTGGCCGATACGCTAACGTGAGTACATTGTATCTCTTATCTATCAGACAAGTCCGTCCGTCCGTCTCTCTGTGGTGCTGTTTCAGCGGCCAAACCGTAAGAGATAGATAAAGAGAATGTTTAAGTTATAAGTTAAGAATAGTCTGATAAGACTACAAACCGAATTTGAGTAACGTAGCACTTCCGGTTTTCGAGAAATCACGAATTTCTAACGAAACCACACAGAATCTCCGAAGTTCTCAATTAATTAAATACATTTTTTTTTTAAATCAGGTTTTGGTGAACATTTGGTTCACTGGTTTGCTAGTTATGGTTTAATTTCGAATCATAATAGGGATGATGACTATTTTTTTTTCTTCGTTTATCAGGTAGATTATCAAAAAGTATTGGACATGTATTTTTTCTTTTTTCACATAATATAAACATTGCAGAGATATATTGATTTGAAAAGTCGCATGACGTCACGTTTGAGTACACTTATAAGTGAAAATTCACTAAAAAGTGACGTCACGAGCCCCTCCTCCCAAACTTTGACGCGCTATGTCATTTTTTGGTTGATTGCCCAAAGAAAAAATACGTGTCCATTATTTTTTGATCATCTAACTGACGGACTAAATAGAATTTCGTTTACTGTACCCCGTCATCACCCCTATTATCAGCCTATTAATGCCCCCACTGCTGGGGACCGGCCTTCCCTATGGACGGAATAGGGAGATCAGGTGAATAGGGTATTTGACAGTGTTAAAAATAAAATGTCGATTGTTAGCATCTGTGTTTAGAATGAATATTGGCAGGGGTTTTTACTATTTTTACAAATAAAATATTCATAATTTTACTTAAAACCTACGAAAAAGATAATAGTTTTCTTATCTTTTGTCACGTAACCCAAAACGCTTGGGATTGGCGGAGCCTAAAGTGACGTCACACGCAAGAAAACATCCGGTTAAAGTGACATTACATTGTATCGTTCGACGTTTTAATAACAGTCGTGTGACGTCACACACTAGTAAGACGCCATATTGTCCAGAGAAACGTTTTCGCGGCAACTTGAAAATGGAGTTTTTGTTTTGGTTATTTTTACTGAAATACACAACAGAATGATGAATTTACGGATTCCATAAACATTAGTCAATAACGTGAGATCGTTTTCTAAAACTTGTCAAATACCCTATTTCGAATCATCATTATCAGCCTATCAAATCAGAAATCAATGTATCTTTATTCAAATTGGATGTATAGTACAACTCTTTTGAATCGCCCAAAATTTTTTTTCCCGACCACTCGTTATTGGACGTATTTTTTAACTGCGGAGAAAAACGAGCGAAAGAATCTCCAAAACATTAAAAGTCTAATGTAATAACATTTACAAATCATTATGTTGTTACAACGTCAATACAATTATGATTTATTTAATATAGAAAACCTGTTGGAATGATTGGAACAGTTCAAACCCAAGCATTTTTGTCTGTAATATAATCAGACTATAATACTTTGTAATAAGCTTTTCTAATAAGGGTTTTTTTTATACTAGCTTTATATATATATACTATTAATGTCCCCACTGCTGGGGACTGGCCTTCCCTATGGATGGAATAGGGAGATCAGGTAAATTGCTAGGTCGTTTGCTTGCATTAACATAAAAACGTTGATTTATAAAAAAAAGTTGACAAACAACTGCTGGCCTGTTCTGGTTCTGGGTTAAAAATCCGGGGTTGTAACGCGTTTTGTCCTGTTTACCAAATTTTAGAGATAGCAACCCCATTATCAGTAGCCAGTAGTAATTCATTCATTATCATCATCAGCCTATTAATGTCCCCGTTGCTGGGGCACAAGCCTTCCCTATGGATGGAATAGGGAGATTGGCCATGACCCACCACACGGTTCCAGTGCGAATTGGCGGGTGCTAACGATTGCAGATGCAGCCGGGACCGACGGCTTAACGTGCCTTCCGAAGCACGGAGGAATTCGAGATAGTAGATTTTTGGTCGCCCATCCAATGACCGACCACTGCGAAAGTTGCTTAACTTCAACGATTGCAGCCGCACGCGCTAAACGCCTGCGTCATCGAGCTCCTCCTTAAAAAGAAATTTCGAATAAAATCGTTTAAATCAAACTTATTAATAGCCTATTTGACAGTATGAAATGTAATGTACCAATACGGATGATGGCTATTTTTTTTCTTCGTTTATCAGGTAGATTATCAAAAAGTATTGCACACGTTATTTTTTCTTTTTTCGTATAATATAAAAATTGCAGAGATATATTTATTTGAAAAGTCGCATGATGTCACGTTTTGGTACAATTTTTATTTAAAAGTGACGTCACGAGCCCCTACTCCCAAACATTATGTATATATACAAATATTATGTTCTAAAATCAAATCAAATAGCGCGCGCTTCCCCAAACTTCCTGCTACACACTTCCGTCCCACTTCACGTAATCACTCCCTCACTTCATCTAATTGGACACGTATGTTTTCTTTTTTCACATATTATAAGCATTGCAGAGATATATTGATTTGAAAAGTCGCATGACGTCACGTTTAAGTACACTTATAAGGGAAAATTCACTCAAAAGTGATGTCACGAGCCCCTACTCCCAAACTTTGACGTGCTATAACTTTGTCATTTTTTGGTTGATTGCCCAAAGAAAAAATACGTGTCCATTATTTTTTGATCATCTAACTGACGGACCAAATAGAATTTCGTTTACTGTACCCCGTCAAAACCCCTATTGGTGGCATCTGTATTTGATAGGAATATTTGCAGTGATTTTACTATTCTAAAAGAGCAAATAATTCGTAACTTTTCTATTAAATCATTAAACAGTAACGATTTTTTGTTTCATGGTCACGTGACCGAAAACGCCTGGCATTGGCCGAGACTGAAATGACGTCACACGCTGGTAGACTTCCGGTCAAAGTAACATTGCATCGTATCTGTAGACGTTTTAATGACAGTCGTGTGACGTGACACACTAGTGAGACGCCATAATGTCCAGAGAAACGTTTCCGCAGCAACTTGAAAATGGAATTTTAGTCGGGGTCCCTCAGGGTGCAAATTTGGAACCACAATTTATTTATGCTTACGATATGTGTTATGTCGATAGTTCGTCATAATTAAACTAGCTTTTCTTAATCCCACCAGTTACAACGGCAAACTCCACTGCTACGAGCAGTACCCCATAACGACGGTGCTGCAGATGCTGGGTAGGGCTTGTCGTCCTCTAGAAGACGATCACTCTGTGGCCGTGCTGATGTGTGTTCAGCACCAGAAGACATTCTTCACTAAACTGCTGAACGACTGTCTGCCTTTAGAGGTAAGTATCGTGCTATTATGATCATCATCATCATCATCAACCCATGTTCGTCCATTGCTCCCGATTTTGTGCTACTCTCATCCAGCCCACTCCAGCCAGCCTACGAATGTCATCAGAAATCAACATATCTTTATTCAAATTGGACTAAGTACAACACTTTTGAATCGTCCAAACATTTTTTTTTCCCCTACCACTCGTTATTGGACATATTTTTTAGCTGCGGAGAAAAACGAGCGAAAATAACTCCACAACATTAAAAGCATAATGTAACAACATTTACAAATCATTATGTTGTTACAACGTCAATACAATCATGATTTATTTAATATAGAAAACCTGTTGGAATGATTGGAAACAACTATTAATGATAATTATTGGAAATACGACAAAAAATAGTCAGATTATCAATTTCATAGTTTCCGCTTTGACGTGATAACATTGCAAAGTGTTGTGATAACAATAAACAAAACAATAATGTTATGTAACTTTGTTTACTCAATAACACTTTAACTTTAAGATTATTTAAGATTACAAAATCAGTCACTTATCACAATTCTTCACAATTTATTAATGGCGGTGCCATCTTGTTTTTTCTTATCACTTCAACAAAGGAAACATGCTCATACAGCCATTTCTAAATTACACCAACTATACTACAAACATATACAGGGTGGTCCAACTAGTGACGTCAACAAATTTTTTTTAGATTCCTCGCACCTGGGGGTATCCGAAAATACATCATTCCTGTAAAATAACTTAAACCTGTTGGAATGGTTGGAACAGTTCAAATTCAAACCCAATCATTTTTGTCTGTAATATAATCAGACACTTTGTAATAAGCTTTTTTAATAAGTGCTTTTTTTATCATCATCCCATCTTGTCTCAGGGCGTCCTACACTACGTTTACAGAGTCGCGGTCTCCACTCGAGAACTTTCCGGCTCCAACGTCCATCAGTTCTGCTGCTAATGTGACCAGCCCACTGCCACTTCAGTTTGCTAATTCGGTGGGCTATGTCGGTGACTCTGGTTCTCTGTCGGATTACATCATTTCTGATGCGGTCCTTCAGGGATACTCCGAGTATAGCCCTTTCCATAGCTCTCTGAGTAACTTTAAACTGGTGGACTCGTCCAGCCGTGAGTGTCCTCATCTTGGCGCTGTATGTCATAACTGGGAGGACGCACTGGTCGAAGACTTTCGATTTGAGACATTGAGGGATGGGTGGCGAGAAGACTTGACGAAGCTTACGTAATGCTGCCCAGCTATTATGATCATTATCACTCTAGTAATCCATTCATCTCGACATTGGATGAAACACAACGATATTAAAATACTCTAGATACATCACATGCGTTCAAAATATGTCTTCATCATCATCATCAGCCTATTAATGTCCCCACTGCTGGGGCACAAGCCTTCCCTATGGATGGAATAGGGAGATAGGGCCATGACCCACCACGCGGGCCCAATGCGGATTGGCGGGTGCTAACGACTGCAGATGCAGCCGGGACCAACGACTAAACGTGCCTTCCGAAGGACGGAGGAGCTCGAGATAGTAAATTTTTGGTCACCCATCAAATGACCGACCACCGCGACAGTTGCTTAACTTCAACGATCGCAGCCGAACGCGCTAACCACCTGCGGCATCGAGCTTCTCAATATGTCGTTTCTGCGTTTAATCCCATTTAGTTTGATACAGTCGCCCGCTCCACAACAATCTATATTTATTTGTCTCATTTTCTCCATAGAGTCACCTAGACCATCGTCTACACGACCACATGAACGCGGAAATAGTCACTAAAACCATAGAGAACAAACAGGATGCCGTAGACTATTTGACCTGGACCTTCCTGTATAGAAGGCTGACGCAGAATCCCAACTATTACAATTTACAAGGGGTCACCCATAGGTGAGGTTTATTTTTCTAACACCATATAATTTTAAACTTAATCTCTTTATTTGCAAACTAAGTGTTACATACGGTTCTTAAGCATGTTACATAGAATCTTATGAACTATATTTATTTATATTAGTCACCTTGTACAGGTGTAACAAATAATAGATAATTAAAACATTTAATTTGGTTTGTGAGATACCATCATTTAAACATAATTTAACAAAACAAAACAAAAACATCATCATCATCAACAGCCTATCCTAGTCCACTGCTGGACATAGGCCTCTCCAAGTGCACGCCACTCAGATCGATCTTGGGCTACTCGCATCCAGCTCCTGCCAGCCACCCCGCGCAAATGGTCACTCCATCGTGCCTGAGGACGTCCCACACTACGTTTGCCTAGACGCGGTCTCCACTCCAGAACTCGTCTACCCCAACGGTTATCGGTTCTTCGGCAAATATGGCCAGCCCACTGCCACTTCAACTTGCTAATCCGGTGGGCTATGTCGATAACTCTGGTTCTCTGTCGGATTACCTCATTTCTGATGCGATCCTTCAGAGAAACGCCGAGCATAGCCCTTTCCATAGCGCGCTGAGCGACTTTGAACTTGTGGACTAGCCGTACTGTCAGTGTCCATGTCTCGGCTCCGTATGTCATCACAGGTAGGACGCACCGATTGAAGACTTTCGTCTTTAGGCACTGTGGGATTGACGATGTCAGGACTTGACGTAGCTTCCCAAACGCTGCCCAACCTAGCTGAATTCTTCTATTCACCTCGTCCTCAAAGACAGCTACGTTGACAGCTGACACTTTGGCATATACTGGCCGCGTGACGTAATATGCTATAACGTCTATTATTTCCTCGTGTTTTAAAACAGATTATAAAACAGAAAAAATTGAATTGTATTTTAAAATGCATTTTGTTATTTTATGAACTGAATCTAACATTTTGCGACTCCTTTTTGCCTAAACCATTGCAATAATACATTTGTAGATTTCTTCTAAAGTCGAGTGAAATTTTGTCCATACAAAAACGTCAAAATGTCAATGTCAATTTTTCGTTTCTCTATGGGATATATCTAGTTTTAGTTGAATTGAGATTAACAAAATTTTCCTGTAAGTGGGTATTAATACGTACCTAAACATGAATCAACTCCCACAGGCATCTGTCAGACCACCTCTCAGAACTGGTGGAGACCACACTGACAGACCTTGAGCAGTCCAAATGCATCTCCATCGAGGACGATATGGACGTCCAACCTTTGAACCTGGGAATGATCGCTTCGTACTATTACATCAATTACACGACTATAGGTGAGTGATTGTCCTTCATTATCTACACTCATGTTGTAATATTCGATTAAGAATTTTAAGATGTTTTTTTTTTGAAGCTATTAACTGCTAGATGTTTTAAATTTAACAGTTTTTTTAATATCAGTTCAATCATGATATGAAATAGGGTTCATCCTCTGTATAAGTGGAAATTAATTCAAATGGATTTATAACAATTAATTGCGTATTTTTTTCTAAAACGTGCAGACAAACAAGTGCACAGACCAACGGACAGCAGTAACTTTATTAACTACATTTTTTGTTATATAGGGTGTTCCTACTAGTGACGTCAACAATTTTTTTTAGATTCCTTGCAATTTTAAGTTTAATTTACCATAACAATGATTCAAAGTAGATAAAATAATTTTAAATGCTTTAATCGTGTTTCAATGATTTTTAGCCTATCCGCCTTCGAAGGCCAATTACAACAAAAATAGGCTAATTAAGTAGTATTTTTTTATGTTTTATGGTAGTTTAGAAGCATGCGGAGTTTTTAAACTGAACCAGAAGCTATGGAAACTCTTTTTTGTATTTTTAAATTGAAGTTGAATGTTTGAGTAAATCCTACTAAAAGTAAAGTTTCAACTTTCAAGCCTTTTTTGAGTAACTTTAAGTAATTTCAGGAAGCTGATTATTTTTTTTTATCAAAACAACATTCAAGAATATTATGTCACAAAAAAAAACTGCAAAGTACCTACTACGAAAAAAGATATGAATTTTTGAAACCTCGCTGGCAGAAATCATTAAAAATATACAAAAAAAAATATAACTCGAAAACTGAGAAAAATCGCGGAACATATATGGGGTATTTTAAGATACCTCCAGATGCGAGGAATCTAAAAAAAATTTGTTCACGCCACTAGTTGACCACCCTGTATACTAAAAAAATAAATGAAAAAATACGCTGACTTAATAATTTAATGTCTAGTTTTCAAAACACCCCTTTTTATTGATTTAGTGGTTAACTTGGAAGTTAAGAGCGATTTTATATTGTAAAATCGTCACATAGCGGCCTATCGAGAGTAAATCTCTCCCACACGCTTACGCGTTGTGAGGCGTGTAATATATCTCTGTAATTATCTGCTAGATGTTTAATAAGAAAGATGCACTGACCAATTATGCTACCGCGGCCTTAATGGCCTCCTAGTATTTCTTAGGCTGGTGGCGCGCGTGGTTACCTATAATGCGCATCTTTGCGCATTGTAGGTAACACCTACAATGCGAAGAGATGGCGCTGCCTTGCAGCTTAAGAATGGCTGGAGGAATATCGACGCGGCCAGCAGGGCAGCGGTAGCATGATTGGTCAGTGCATTCGCCCGGATAGCGAAGGGTGCGGGTTCGAATCCCGTCTGCTGCCTTGTCCGCGCGGATTTTTTTCTAGTTCTATTTTCCTTAGATTTAAACATCAAGCAGTTACATGCTTAAAAAATAAAAATTATAAGTATTAAACGTTTGAAAGAAGAAATAGCAATTGTAGTTGTAAATGTTTCTTTTTATGCCCTCATAGAATTGTTCAGCCTGTCGCTGACCAGCAAGACCAAGATCCGTGGTCTACTGGAGATCATATCTTCGGCTGCGGAGTATTCGGAGCTCAGCATCCGCCATCGGGAGGAGAATATCATCAGGGCTCTGGCTGCCAAGTGAGTGAACAAAACTCTTAAATTATTATTTCTTTTTTTAAGCATTCCACTGCTTGATTTAAACATCTAGCAGTTGAATGCTTAAAAAAAGGTGAATGCTTAAAAAAAGGTAAATGCTTAAAATCCCGGGATCGGGATAATAATTTATGAAAAGTTTTAATAGAAATAAATTCCACGCGGAGCAGGCAGCAGACGGGACTCGAACTCGAACCCTTCGCAATCCGGGCGAATGCACTGACCAATAGGGTATTCGACAGTATTAAAAATAAAGTGCCAATTGTTAGTGTAGTATATGGTGTGGTAAATTGGGAATAAATGAAACGTCCAACTTACAGCTGACTCCGTCCGTCAATATAATCCCATAAAGCACATATATACACATTAACAAATAGAAGGCGAAGACGGTACAAGATATAAAGTCCAAGCACAGCACTAGAAGAAGACAGTCAGAAAGATAGGCAATAGATAAACAGTTTATAGAAACGAAAAGCACAATTATATAAAGCGTACAGATCTAAGTATATAAGCGAGCTAAGAGAAGCGTGCGCTCCGCGTCGTAGTTCAGTCTCGACTGGTTTGGTAGACGGCGCGGCGACGCGCGCGCATCTCTAGTACATAAGATGAACAAAAGAATTATGTACAAGACTATCCGCTAGTGCGTAGGGCGTGTCGATAATTGCTATCGATATATCGACAAACCAGTACACCATGATATGTAATGAAAATATAATATTGTTAATATAATTATAGTACTTATTATAAATTCTATATTAGATATTAATAAATATTATTAGATATAAGATGTAAATATATAGTGTAAGATAGTTAGTGTTACGGTTTTAGAATATAAGTTACTTTGTATTTTATTATAATGAATAAATTTAAATAATATTTTATGTGTACAGTGTAAATATAGTTTGAGGATGTATTCACACCTCAAAGTAGCCTACATTAGCATCTGTGTTTAGAATGAATATTGGCAAGGGTTTTTACTATTTTTACAAAAAAAATATTTATAATTTTACTAAAAACCCACGAAAAGGATAAATTTTTTCTTATCTATTGTCACGTGACCCAAAACACTTGGCATTGGCGGGGCCTAAAATGACGTCATACGCAAGTAAACTTCCGGTTAAAGTGACATTACATCGTATCGTTGGACGTTTTAATAACAGTCGTATGACGTCACACACTAGTAAGACGCCATATTGTCCAGAGAAACGTTTTTGCGGCAATTTGTAAATGGAGTTTTCGATTTGGTTATTTTTACTGAAATACACAACAGAATGATGAATATCCACTTTTTACGGACTCCATAAACATTAGTCAATAGCGTGAGATCGTTTTCTAAATCTTGTCATATATCCTATTATGCTACCGCGGCCCTGCTGCTATATTTTTTTTTTTTCTATTAAATCTTTTTATAAATTATTATCCCGATCCCGGGTTCGAATCCCGGTGCATTTGTACTCCAGTCATGGATGTTTAATATGTATTTCTATATAAATATACTTATATATGTACAGTGTATGTATTCTATCCGTTGCCCTAGTATCCCATAACACAAGCCTTATAGTGCTTACTTTGGCTAGGCTAATCGGTGTGTGTTAGAAATATTTATTATCTATATATATAAAACTCAAAGGTGACTGACTGACTGACATAGTGATCTATCAACGCACAGCCCAAACCACTGGACGGATCGGGCTGAAATTTGGCATGCAGGTTGCAGGTTGCTTGGTTTTGCAGGCATTATGACGTAGGCATCCGCTAAGAAAGGATTTTGATCAATTCTACCCCGAAACGAAGCGAGGGCGGGGCCACTTGTTATTAATAAACGCAGAATAAGTTTGAATTAGTTACTCTGTGTTTTGTCTCTGTTCGTTGAATGTCATTTGAGTGGAACAAAACACGGCGTAACTAGTCTATGCTTATGCCTTGTTTATTAATAAGGAGGTGTATATATTTATATATGTACCGTATTATTTATTCTATCCGTTACCCTAGTATCCCATAGTACAAGCCTTACAGTGCTTATTTTGGGGCTAGGCTAATTGGTGTGAGTGTTGGAAATATATCTCTTATCTATTAAACAAGTCCGTCCGTCCGTCTGTGGTGCTGTTTCAGCGGCCAAACCGTAAGAGATAGATAAAGAGAATGTTTAAGTTATAAGTTAAGAATAGTGATAAGACTACAAACCGGATTTGAGTAACGTAGCACTTCCGGTTTTCGAGAAATCACGTGATTTCTATTTTGTAATTATCAGAATTTTAATTAACTATTTAAAGGTTATTTTTTTTTAAACTAAATAATTTCAAACGAAACCACACAAAATCTCCCAAGTTCTCAATTAATTAAATACATTTTTTAAATTATTTTGGTGAACATTTGGTTCACTGGTTTGCTAGTATTTATTTATTTACACACAGAGTGCCGCACAAACCGACGGCGCCATCTGGCGGTGCAGTGAAGTACAATGACCCGCACGTCAAAGCTCACGTTTTGCTTCAAGCCCACCTGTCCCGCACACAACTGCCGGCAGAATTGCAGGCCGACACGGCTATTGTCCTTACTAAGGTATGTATGAAGTATCTATACTAATCATCACACTAATATTATAAAGGCGAAAGTTTGTGAGTGTGTGAGTGTGTATGTTTGTTACTTCTTCACCACGGTTCCCAACTTAGGGGTTTTGCCCCCAGATTTAGGGGCTAGAAGGGATAAGATCTATCAGCCTGTCAGCTCATTTTCGTTTGATTTTCCATTCGGAAAATGTATTTATTCAATAAAATAATTTATTGTAACTAAATATGTAACGTTTTAATTTATGAGCAACGAAAGAATTTAGGTAATAAGATAAGTAGGTACATATAAATTTCTATATTTAGGGGATTTTAGGGGAATTTAAAAAATACTTAGGGTAAAATTTTGGTAAGGGTTGGTAACACTGTTCTTCACGTCTAAACGGGTGGAGCGATTTTAATAAAATTTGGTATTGAGTTAGCTGACACCCTAGATTAACACATAGGCTACTTTTATCCCGAAAAAATGTTAGGTTCCAGAAGGATTTTGAAGAAACTAAGTTAACGCAGACGAAGTCGCGGGCGACCTCTAGTATTATATAGAGGAAAGATTTGATTGTTGGTTTGTTTGTCATCATATCCTTCCTCTATACGAGGGGTAGGAAAAAATTTTTTTGGACGATCCTAAATTATTTGGAGTATTCAATAAAAGCCTCCGAAACTACTGTACCGATTTGAAAAGTTCTTTCGCGTTTAGAATCCTACATAATTCCCAATGAACATAGGCTATAGAGTATTCTCAAAGCAGTTAGGGTTCCGTATGAAAATTTCAATAACGTAACCCACGGTGTGAAATAAAAGCAAAAGAATTATAGTAATATAAGTTATTTACGAGATTGTTACCATGTACCTTGTTTTTAGCGAGTTTCCGATATTTCCGCACTGTTGCCAGCGCCATGATCACGGAATAACTGAAGTGATTGCGGGTAGGCTGTTATTGGCAGACATATTGGTCTACCCTCCGACGAAGTCTTTTATTGCGTTCGATACCCCTACCACTGTTCACATTCTCGCTATTCACTCGAATTAACGATACGCAGAAATCAGCCATCGCGGAACATTTGATTGATTCTGGTACTCCTGTCATGGATGTTTAATATGTGTATCTATATAAATATACTTATATATGTACAATATATGTAATCTATCCGTTACCCTAGTATCCCGTAACATAAGTAACTTACTTTGGGGCTAGGCTAATTGATGTGTGTTGGAAATATTTATTTATTTTATTTATTATCAATTTCTTTCGTTTTTCTGTCACCCACAGGCTATACGTCTGATTCAAGCCTGCGTAGACGTGGTATCTAGTAGCGGTTGGCTTTCACCCGCCGTAGCCGCTATGGAATTAGCACAGATGGTGACGCAAGCGATGTGGGCGAGAGATTCCTATCTGAGACAACTGCCTCACTTCACGCCCGAACTGGTGCAGAGGTGCGCCGACAAGGTGAGTGGCTGCATCGCGCTAACGAAGTTCTAACGCTCGCACATATATACACAGCTCGACAGACACGGGCTATTGGTAAGTTCACAGTAGTAAAGCTGTGGTCTCGGACTTAGGTCTTCCTACAAGGTTCATTTTGAGTACTAGATAGGTACTGTATGGGAAGGCCTGCATCTACTATATAAATACTAGATCAAATGGTGTCCAATTAGGAAATTTAGATGTCTTTTATATCAAGTATATAAGACTTAGGATGTAGTTTAAGGAAATAGTGGTTGGCTATTACTCGCCGGAGTCACTATGGAATTAGCCCAGATGGTGACGCAAGCGATGTGGGCGAGAGATTCCTATCTGCGACAACCGCCTCACTTCACACCCGAACTGGTGCAGAGGTGCGTCGACAAGGTGAGTGGCTGCATCGCGCTAACGAATTTCTAACGCTCGCACATATATACACAGCTCGACAAGACTATTGATTGATTAGTTCACAGTGGTAGAGCTGGGGTCCCAGGCTTAGGTATTCCTACAAGGTACATTTTTAGTGCTAGTGTATGTGTGTATGGGAAGCCTGCATCGCGCTAACGAAATAATAAGTCTCACTCTCACATATAAATTAACGTCCCTACCTAATACTTAGGTCTTTTGTCAAAGGTACATTTTAAGAACCCTATCAAAATGGTGTCCAATTAGGACATTTAGGTTATCGTAAGTGTGTTCTACATCAAGTATCATAACTTCATAAGTAGTTTAAATGGTGTCGTAAGCGATGTGGGCGAGAGATTCCTACCTGCGACAACTGCTTCACTTCACGCCCGAACTGGTGCAGAGGTGCACCGACAAGGTGAGTGGGAGTGCTGCATCGCGCTAACGAAATTCACACGCTCGCACATATATACACAGCTCGACAAGACTATTGATTGATTAATTCAGTGTGGTAGAGCTGTGGTCCCAGGCTTAGGTTTTCCTACAAGGTACATTTCTAGTAATAGATGAGTAATGTATGGGAAACCTGCATCGCGCTGACGAAATCATTAGTCTCACATATAAATCAACATCCATATCTAATACTTAGGTACGTTAAGTAAGATCACGTAGGAAGGTCTTTTGTCAAAGGTACATTTTAAGAACCCTCCTATATCAAATGGTGTCCAATTAGGGCATTTAGATTATCGTGTGTTCTACATCAAGTATCATGCCTCATTTACACTCGCGTACGAGGCACAAGGTGAGAGTGTAAATTAGCGTTGGGTCGTTCTCAAATTTTCTGACGACGAAACGCAACCGTTTTTTCTTAAACGAAAATTGGTCCTCGAAACGGTTCTCGTTCGCAACTGGTTTTGGTTGCAGCTGGGTGACGAAACGAAACGACACGCGATAGACGAACGAATCTAACGCAACGAAACTGAACTAAATGAAATCTTGTTAACTTTCGTTTCGTTGCTGCGAACGAGATGACGAAACATCGAAATAAATGAAGTGTTATACGATATTCGACTTTAAGTGTTCAAAAATAAAGATTATATTATTGTAATATCAAAGCTTAATTTATCATAGAACGAAACGGCCTCATATCATTGCGTTCTATTATAGACTGTATTTACTTCATCATAAAGTACATATTGGCGTGCAGACAATCCGAGGACTCGAAACGTAAAACGGTTCTATCGTCGCGGAACAGAAAACGGTCCTTGAAACCGGTTTGTCTTTAGAACGCTCACACCTAGTGTAAATAGACGCACGCGGCTCGCCTCGCGCCTCGTCTCGCGCCTCGCCTCGCGCCTCGCCTCGCGCCTCGTCTCGCGCCTCGCCTCGCGCCTCGTCTCGTGCCTCGTCTCGCGCCTCGTCTGGCGCCTCGTATGGAGCGGTATTTTGGGCACGAATCAAAGGACCTCGCAACAAACGCGAGCGTGGTGCTTACATTCGTGCTCTCGCTTCCATGCAAGTTTTAACCTTGTGCCGCACAGGTTTTGGCTTGTAAACCATAGATAAATTAAAATTGGTCTGAAAAACAAACGTTTCGGTTTTTGGAATTATTCCAAAAAGAACCGATAATTTGGGATCCCAAGCATATATTTCATAAAAATAAGTAAGAAGTGAACGTTGCTTGGGTAAGATTAAGTGAATAAATGTGTAGACCTTCAACTGGTTTAAAATCTGCGGCGCAAAAAACAATCAGTAAAATCTGAGAAGATGATGTTTATAAGCCACCACCATAAGCGATGAATGAGGGCTATCGCGTATGAATCCGCCGCTAGAGGCGCTAGTGTAGCGTGAGGTCTCCGAAATGTCAAATGTTATTGCTTGTTGGTTGACTACGCGGGTTTATTTCTAATTAAAATAATGTTGTGAATAATTGGTAACAATTCGGCTTAATTATGGCAAATATGAGTTATGTGGCAATGAATGTCAGTTATTAAAAATTTGAGCTTAGAAAAATGATTATGTTTCCATTTTTTCCGAATAAAACGGAACTGCGCGTCACTGTGGCATGGCTTATTATGTTTAGGATATGGTTCTTTTGTGTTAAAATACGATCTAAATGTAACCTTTGATTTCATGTGCGTATTAATAAACTTTAAAAGTTACAATTTAGGACCTCACTCAACAGTGGCGCCATCTGGTGAGGCAGAAAACGGTAGCCCTCATTGATAACAACCACCATCTTCTTGGTTTCCGTTTCTTTTTACTTTTCTTTTATTTAAGTTAGTTGATGGTAACTCCCAATGTATGTGAGGACAATTATAATTTTTATTTAAAATTATCAAGTAACAATAACAATTTCCTTTAAAACAATTCATTGGTTAAAAAAACAATCATAAGAAAAAGATTAAAAAGTACGAAGGAACCACACATTTTGTTAAGATGTGCTTAGATTATGTGTCATTTTATTTATATGATACGTCCACATGATTTAAAACATCTATAGAAATAAAACTAGTTTTTACGGGTTAATGCACGAAACTTTATTTATTTATTGACGTTTCGTAGCCTTTACAGGCTTCGTCGTCAGAATAAAACTTTTATTTAATTTGTCGAGCTACCTTCGAAAGACTTTACAAAAGTCTTTCGAAGGTAGCTCGACAAACTTAATGAGTGATGTGCGTGAAAACCTAAGAAACAAATATCTATAGAAATAGTTTATTTATTAAATAATTTGTCCCCAGGGAGTGGAGACAGTATTCGACGTGATGGAACTCGAAGACAACGCTCGCGCCAAACTACTGCAGCTGTCGGCCACTGAAATGGCGGACGTGGCCAGATTCTGCAACAGATATCCCAACGTGGAGCTGTCTTACGAGGTCAGATTATTGTGATTATTACAATTGAGGAGCTGGCGAAGAGAACGGTATTATTACGCATCTGGTAAAACTACTTTCTTTGGACAGTCATGAGGTTTTGGGCCCGCTGAATTGGAATTTCAACTCATTTTCAATCAAAACCGCCTAAAGCAGTGTTAAAATTACTTAATTTGTCAACGTGGCTCAAAGTACTGGACTTTGACACAACTGAATCACTTATGTCTCAACTAGCGGCCCGCCCTCGCTTCGCTTCGGTGTAGAGCTGAAGTGTAGACTACAGTTTTTGTTCTCAGGCTTGTATTATACACAATGACTTTCATCTATGATTCTTCTTATACCTGCATGCAAAGTCTCAGCCCGATCGGTTTAAAATTGACAAAGTTTCAAACAAACTTTCATTCCCTATTTTATCCCCTTGGGGGTAGAATTGATCAAAATCCTTTCTTAGCGGATGCCTACGTCATAACATCTACCTGCATGCCAAATTTCAGCCCGATCCGTCCAGTGGTTTGGGCTGTGCGTTGATAGATCACTATGTCAGTCAGTCACCTTTGAGCTTTAAGATACCGTTTCGTTCGCCAGCTCCTCAATTTATTTATAATATAGTATTAATACTAAACTACTGCAGCTGTCGGCCACAGAGATGGCAGACGTGACCAGATTCTGCAACAGATATCCCAACGTAGAGCTGTCTTACGAGGTCAGATTATTGTGATTATTACAATTGAGAAGCTGGCGAACAAAACGGTATTATTACAGATCTGGTAAAACTATTTTCTTTTGACAGTCATGAGGTTTTTGGCCCGCTGAATTTGAATTTCTTTCTTGAGTGGTCGAAAAATCTAATTATGATAGGCTAAAAAGATACGCTACCATAAGCTACTTTAGTATCTGTACCCCACGACAACGGCTAACTAGAGCCGAGGTCCGAGTCGAAGAGACGCCCTCTAGTTGAGCCGACCCCCTCAGGTTCGAGTGGTCTAGAGGCTGCAGGAGATTCCCCCCGTGGGGAGATGCTATCCGCCTGGAATACCTCTAAAGGCACTCGCCAATTCTCGGATTGAGGTCCCCTTAGGATTTCGTCCCCAAAGCTGTAAAGGTCATCTGCGACCAACAGCATACACACTCAAAAAAAATACTATCGAATTGTAATTATTATATAAAAAAACTGAAGGCTCGTTGATGTGAAGTTAAATTGATATCCATAAATTTAAAACAACTGTCAACAATTATTTATGTAGTTCCAACTTAGCAGAGCTTAATGCTATGAAAACCAATAATATTGATAACTATATTTCATATAATAATGTTTTTAATCATCCATAACTCGGCAAGGAAACAATTACTGATCTGTACCGTTTGCGAGTTACCGAATTCGTATCGTTTGCGAGTCCGAAATGTCATTGTCAAATGTGTACTGATTTTTAGTTCTCGTTACGTACTTTGTGTCGCTGCTGTTCAAGTTTCCATACAAAATTTGACATTAACATTTCGGTTTGCAAACTATTCGAATTCGATAATGGTTCGTGCTAGGGGTACTGCTGATCAAATAAATGAAATTTCCCATCCGGAATTCAAAACAGCCTAAAGCAGTGTTGAAATTACTATTTTTAAAAAAAAAAAAACATGCCAAAAGCTTACTATAGGTATGTCATACAGTTTTTTACAGCTCCTGTAAATTTTTATTTTATGTAATTGTACCGTTTCGTTCGCCAGCACCTCAATTTATTTATAATATAGTATTAATACTAAACTACTGCAGCTGTCGGCCACAGAGATGGCAGACGTGGCCAGATTCCGCAACAGATATCCCATCGTGGAGCTGTCTTACGAGGCCTGTCTTTGATGAAAACTTAAATTTTTACCATAATTCTGTTTATGGTTATCTGGTTTATAAACACCGAATTTTTTGAGTTATGCCACTTTCAGTGTAAGGCTTCGAATTGAACTTTACACTGAAAATGGCATAATTCGATACAGGGCGCAGAGTATACATCTATCCCTGCTGGGACACAGGCCTTCCCAATGTTATGTTACTATAATAAAATACCAAAAGAAATAATTAATTTACCTTTTAATAAGTTTAAAGTGTGTATAAAAACATGTCTCCTTAAGAAAGGTTACTATACTGTAAAAGATTTCATTAATGATAAGTCACCTTGGGCTTAACATAATAGACTGTCGTTTTACTTTGCTAATTTGGTAGAAAATTGTTTAATCGCCATTTCTAAATTTAAAAATAGTACCTAGTTATACTTAACTTTTGTTAATTAATAATATTAATGTGATGAAAGTTGACATCAACACATGTATTCAATTTTTGATGTCATCTTTCAATTGACTACACTGTGTGAAACAAAACAGGGAGAAAAAAAAATAGCCCTTGCTGAGTTTCTTGCCGGTTCTTCTCAGTACAAGGTCTCCCGCCGTAGATTTACGAACCGATGGCGTAGCGTTTGACTTTCACAAGAGCTTGTAACAGCCTAGACTGAATAAATGAGTTTGAATTTGAATTTGAATGGATGGAATAGGGACGGATGATGGCGCGGGTGGTTAGCGCGTTCGGCTGCGATCATTGAAGTTAAGCAACTTTCGCAGTGGTCGGTCATTGGATGGGTGACCGAAAATCTTCTATCTCGAGTTCCTCCGTGATTCCTAAGGCGCGTTAAGCCGTTAGCTCCCGCCAATCCGCACTGGGCCCGCGTGGTGGGTCATGGTCCAATCTCCCTATTCCATCCACAGGGAAGGCATGTGCCCCAGCAGTGAGGACATTAATAGGCTGATGATGATGAAAATTAACCTTTTTTTTGCCTATAGGTGAAGAACGAACGTCGCCTGCGTGCGGGTAAACCCATCGTGGTAGAAGTGTCTTTGGAGCGAGAGGATGACGTCGTGGGACCAGTCATAGCTCCGTTCTTCCCGCAGGTAACATAATTATATTTTATAACATACTAGTGGCCCACCTTCGCTTCACTTCGGGGTAGAATTGGTCAAAATCCTTTCTTAGCGGATGCCTACGTCATAACATCTACCTGCATGCCAAATTTCAGCCCGATCCGTCCAGTGGTTTGGGCTGTGCGAATTTCGCGAAATCGGTCGTGCCGTTTCGGAGTAGTTCAATTACGCACACCGTGACACGACAATATTATATATATTTTTTTATTGTATTCACAAAGATTCACTAACAACATATATTTTTACACGAGCTTTTAATTTTATTTGCTTGTAGTTGTACAACTTAATTGTGAGTTTATAAATAATGGAAATTGTTACCACACCCAGTGCCAAGCAGTTGGTTGGTAATTAAAAAATTAGAATGATAGGATAAAACCATTTTGCCCCACTTATCCAAAAGTAGCGGACTCAAAAAAAACCTATTTAAATGGATAGATATAATTAATATAATTATCTACTTTCCCTGTCCAATTTTTATTTCTGTGACCTATGGAATAGGGAGATTGGGCCGAGAACCACCACGCGGGCCTAGTGCATATTGGTGGGTGCTTACGACTGCAGATGCAGGCGGGACCACCGGCCGGTTTACTTCGCAAAAGACATACGATATCTCAAGAATTCCTTCACACAAACAGAGGCTAGGCCAAGAAATAATTCTCGTTATAGCTCATTATTCCAGTGGGTAATAAAAATGCGTTCAAGGTCAACTTATCTAGAGGTCTAAAGCTTTAAAATAAGATAGAATTCATCTGTGTCCGCTGTGGGGTAATATTCCATATAATGTCAGGGTATCAGCTAACCAAATTTCATTAAAATCGCTCCAGCCGTTTAGACGTGAATAAGTAACAAACATACACACTCACACACTCAGAATCTTTCGCCTTTCTAATAATAATGTGATGATTGTGTCTTACAGTCAGATTATTGATATAGCTGTGCTTGTGTTACATACCAACTAATAGATTTACCAGCGTCTTGTCTCGCTTGCATCAAGCGCGCGTGGATTTCCTTAGCAGAGTTATTTTAGAAATGTATTTATTATACTCTTCAAAGATCTTATACTTACAATCATCAGCAAATATATTTCGAAAAAGATTATTATAGGATTTTATGTTGATAAAAAACACTATGGCCCATAACTCATCAATAGGTACCAACTCTTAACATCTTACACACGTGATAACTTTTAAACGAAATACCCGATTGAGATGTAACAATAGTTATTTATTATACAAGAGTGGAAAGTTCCTTTTTAACCGCGTGCTCGATTTGGATGACCGAGCAAGCGAAGGATTCTAAAGTTGAATCACGAGCGCAGCGAGTGATTCTAAATTAGAATCCTGAGCGTCAGCGAGGGAAACAAACGAGCACAAGGTGAAAAATCTTTCCACTCGAGTGCAATACGTAACTTTTCATCCCACCTCAGCGAGGAAATGACAAAATGAAAAAGAAAACAATTTATAATGACAAAATATTTAAGCAATAAAACGTGAAAAACTAGAATGGCGCGAAGCACGCAAATAAAACAAAGAAACCAAGAAGGTTCCAAATTTAAATTTTTTCACAATTTAAAAAGTTCTAATCATAAATTTGGCACCATAGAGGTTACATTAAATAGGTTTAATGACGTTTTGAATTTACAATTATATTGAGTACTCATTATATGTGATGTTCTAAATTCAAATCTACTTTGCCGCTCAAGCGAATAAAATAGAATTTTCCAGCCAGATTTCGAAGCGCAAAATTACACTTTCCGAGGTGGTGGGATGAAAAAAGTATTTTACTTCTACATAAATACTCTTGATAACGTATGTTATATGCTTAATTTCGAAAAAAAATGGGTGCGTGTACTTATGTAGGCGCGTGAGAAGTTATCCTTCTTTGGCATCGTTTAAAATTAGTTTTTAATTGCATGCAAATAATTAATTACAATAAATTAATAAAAAGTCTGGAAAAGGACACAGTCAATAAAGTTCAGTTTTAATTTGAAAAAATAAATAAATAATCAAAATATTCAATTAAAATCGCTACTGAATATAATTTATTACAACATATGTGATTTGCACTTGTATGAAACTCAAACACGTATTCCGAATATACAAACTAGAAACATGTGGATAAATATTATAAATATGAATACCTATAACTGGGGGCCAATCGCCTAACGGAAATGCTTTGGGAAACGCTAACGCTTACGATTTTATATTGTTATTTCTAGCCGCCTGAGGTTTTCGAATACCTCACGCTCATTTTTTTTAATATTGTTATTACCAATGCAAAAGAAAAAGAAAGAGCGCGAGGCATTTGAATACCTCAGGCGGCTAGAAATAACAAAATAAAATCGTAAGCGTTAGCGTTTTCCAAAGCATTTCCGTTAGGCGATTGGCCCCCTGGTACTTTATTACAAAAAATAAAGATGTGGTTTTTGGTTCTACTACACCAATGGTCAAGAGATGGCGCTGTAGTCTCCTGAATCGCGCTTTGGTTCCGTTGTTCCAGATTAATAAATACTTTTGATAGGCCTTCACAATGCAGTCGTTAGCACCCACTAAATAGAGATTCTATTTCTATTTTGTTGGTAGATTTTCTTATTGTGCGGTAAACACAAAAGTAACGCATGAAGTTGGTCGCTAAAGCGAGCATGCTGTTAAAATTTTGTGTTACAGTGATGTTTTTCTTCAGACGATTTAATAATTATTTTGAACACAAAATCGGTTATTGTGATTAAACCATGATAGCTAGATATATGTTCTTGCAGACTTTTTTGTGGGTCTTAATGGGATCTACAAACCCGTAGTACATCATTTTGTTCTATTGTCAATAGTTTTTGCAGCGCACGCAAAAATAGGTTTTCAATTTTACACCTTGTGTTATAAAATAGCAATTTCATTACGGATCCCTAATTTTGAAAAAAAAAATAGCCTATAGCCTTCCTCGATAAATGGACTACCCAACACTGAAAGAATCATTCAAATCGGACCAGTAGTTCCAGAGATTAGCGCGTTCAAACAAACAAACTCTGCAGCTTTATAATATTAGTATAGATTACAATATAAAAAAATATATCAATACCATACTTAAAGATATGCTTTTTTAAAGGTGAATACAGCATTGACATAAATACAAATAAACTACAATGACAGATTAAACAAACAAAAAATATATCCACCATCATGAAAAACAGGTATACTGAATTATAATATTATTTAGTCTGTGTTACGGTCCAATTTTATTTTTTCCACAAACAACCTCTTATATACGCGCTCAGAGTCGTGGAAAACGTCAATACTGCAGTCTTGTAAATTATTGTAGGAACGCATACACCGGTATAGAGATTGTGTGTACAATATAATATGTATGTACATATACATATTTCATTTACTAGCTATAAGAGAAAGAGAGAAAGAAAATGTGCGCGCGCACTGCTTTCTCTTGCATATATCCCCTACTGAACTCCAGTTCAATTCGCCCGAACACACATTTTGTAACGCGTAACGCATTCGCCAGCTTACCCCTCAAGTCAAACGTGCGTAAAGAAGTTGTACTTCAATAAAATAACTAATATTTCCTACACTCACGCTAATAGGGTATTTGTCAAGTTTTAGAAGACGATCTCACGTTATTTACTAATGTCTATGGAGTCCATAAAAAGATGGATATTTTTTAATTCTGTTGTTTATTTCAATAAAAAAACTATATCAAAAATTCCACTATCAAGTTGAGGCGAAAACGTTTCTCTGGATATTTATTTGTCGTCACTAGCATGTGACATCACGACGGTCATTCAAACGTCAAACGATACAATGCTATGGCACTGACCGAAAGTTTACTAGCGTGTGACGTCATGCCAATTCCAGGCGTTTTCGGTCACAAAAAAATCCTCATTTGTATTTAATGATTTTTTTGATAATTAGGGTATTTGACAAGTTTTAGAAAACGATCTCACGTTATTGACTAATGTTGGAATGTAATGTATGGAGTCCGTAAAAAGTGGACATCCATCATTCTGTTGTGTATTTCAGTAAAAATAACCAAATCAAAAACTCAATTTACAAGTTTTCGCGAAAACGTTTCTCTGGACAATATGGCGTGTTACTAGTGTGTGACGTCACACGACTGTTATTAAAACGTCAAACGATACAATATATTGTCACTTTAACCGGAATTTTACTTGTGACGTGACAATAGATAAGAAAACTATTATCTTTTTCGTAGGTTTTTAGTAAAATTATTAATATTTTTTTTGATAGTTTATTAATTATTATTTGTTCTCAGAATAATAAAATCACTGCTAGTATTCATATTAAATATATATGCCAACAATTTGTACTTTATTTTTCATAATTTGTCTAAACCTATTTATAACCTAAATGTTAGGTTATTAATTGTATGTTTTTTTGAGGATCAATTACTATATTTTTGATGATGATTTAAATATGTGCCGTATAAATTGAGCCTAAGAGTATCATTTATAGTCATCATCAGCCTATTAATGTCTCCACTGCTGGGGCACAGGCCTGCCCCATGGAAGGAATAGGGAGATTGGGCCATGACCCACCACGCGGGCGCACTGCGGATTGGCGGGTGCTAACGACTGCAGATGCAGCCGGGACCAACGGCTTAACGTTCCTGCTGAATCACGGAGGAACTCGAGATAGAAGATTTTTGGTCACCCATCCAATGACCGACCACTGCGAAAGTTGCTTAACTTCAATTATCGCAGCCGAACACGCTAACCACCCGCGCCATCGAGCTCCTCATCATCTTTTAAACTACATTTTTTTTCTAACAGAAACGCGAAGAAGGCTGGTGGGTAGTCATAGGAGATCCGAAGACCAATTCCCTTCTGTCCATCAAGCGAGTGTCTCTAGGAAGAAACGCTAAAGTCAGACTTGATTTTGTCTGCGGCGCTGGAGGCAGACACACTTACACTCTGTACTTCATGTCTGATGCTTATTTGGGCGCTGATCAGGAGTACAAATTCAGCGTAGAAGTTGCTGACGCCGCGTCTGATTCCAGCGGAAGCGACGGAGACTGATGTGGAGTTAGTTTAATAAGGAATATCTTAATAATAAATATGCGATCGTGATATTTGAAATGTTGTTTTATTTGCTAATAATAATAATAATAAATAATTCCAACACACACCAATTAGCCTAGCCCCAAAGTAAGCATTGGTGTCGATTCTGGCAGGATTCTCTAAACTTAAAACTAAATTTGACATCAGTCTGTCCTTTTCAGTCTGTATAGAGAATGACAGAGATACACTGTTGCCAAATTTAAGTTTAGCTTTAAAGAATCATGCCAGAATCGATACCATTGTAAGGCTTGTGTTATGGGATACTAGGGTAACGGATAGAATACATATATAAGTATATTTATTTATATAGAAATAAATATTAAACATCAATGACTGGAGTACAAATGCTCGTATTCATCACACTAACATCTGCCCTTACTGGAATTCGAACCCTCTCGAGTCGGCGACACCATGAACCCGGTGTATAAACCTCACGGCCACGGAGGTCGGCTCAATGTTTTTTGACATTTAGGTCCATTTGCACGAAAGTTCTTTAGTTGACTTAAGGCAAAGAGAAAGTTGCACATCCATCGATGTTTTTCAGAACAAGTATCTTAGTTGCGTTATAATCGAGCAGTAGTGGATCACTAAATAGGTCGGTGATTATCACTTCCATCTGTCTAAAGCAATTAGCGAATAGGTCTACAGGTCGTTAATAAATAAAATAAGGTATTTTGGAATACTGTCTGCGGGGTCCCCGCAATTCCTCGGGGGACCCCTGCCGTGGAGCCCCGGCTAGGCCGGGAGGTTGCTGGGTGCGGATACGCGAAAGAATCCCTAAACGGAGATCCCGCGGTTTCGCACTAAGCAGCTTAGAGGGTATTCGCAGGGTTTTTAGCGGATATTATGCCGTAAAGCGCCCGTAAGAGTTACGGGTCCGCAGTGGGCAGCCACTGCGGGAGCTCGTAAGGCTTGCGGGAGCCAGGAGCTCTACTCTCTTTCTCCGTAACGAAATTTCGGTAACGAACGAATTTTAAACGAAATTTCGCCTATGACTCTACTCTATTTCATTTTCGAACACGCACATAAAGTTCGGAATCACAGACAATTTTCGTGAACGAATGGAATGAGTCATGTTTGTGAGTTCTTTTATCTCTACTTTTTAGATTACCTGTTTTACTTGGAAACAATATTACTTTACTACAAAATTTTTGATGACATTAAAAGAACCTTCTTTGACAGTGTTAGCCGACTAATTTGTAAAGTTGATGCACTTCATTGTATGTCAACCTAAATTTGTCGTTAATTTCATTTCGTTAATTCTTTGAAGTATTGGAAATATAAAAAAAAGAAAATGTGTGCGTGTACTAGTGTACACACGTAAGAAGTGAAACTTCTTTATGGCCTTATTTTTCGAAAAATGATCTACATGCAACTTTCCAGAAATTGGTTAAATAAAGTTAAATTAGATAAAGTTTAAACAAAAGGATTTTATTATCATAGACATGAATACAAATTACTGCCTATGAAACTGTTATGATTACACGGCTCAGTAATCTAAGGCACATGTTCCACCTCCGACGATGAACGATAAGCGAGTAGAAACTAGAAACGAATTGGCAGTCCTGAGTTAAAATGTACGCGCACGGCTTTTGACAGCCAAGCCAGCTTAACCGAGCGAGTATAGCTGAGCGAGTATCGCTGAGCTAGTATCGCTGAGCGAGTATCGCTGGGCGAGTATCGCTGAGCGAGTACCGCTGAGCGAGTATCGCTATGCGAGTTTGGCTGAGGGAGTCTTATCTTTAATAACTATTGTCACTCAGCTACAAACGAGTAGAGAGAGTTCTCGCCGGCGACAGTGTGATCATTCAGCTATCAACTATTAATATAAAAAAAGATGGCGCGTAACGGAAAAATGTGACGCGTAACCAAAAAATGTGACGGTAATTTTTTTTCCAACGCCGATAAAGAAGTTTCACTTCAATAATTAATTAAAATTTTGTGTATTTGTTAATTTGATATACTAAAAATGTTGCTCACGCTAAGCAGCCTTGATTAAAATTACTCTATCAGTCATTTTAGGCTTAATTTAAACAAAAGTCCCAAAACGAAAATGAAAAGTTAACACTTTTCATTTCGTCAATTTGAGGTTAAAATTTCGAACAAATATCTGTCAAATTCAACTTTTCGTTTGAAAGTTTTGTGAATTAGTAGAGTAGGCTTGGAGAATTTAATTGTCAAACTATTTTCGGACGAACAAATTTTCGAAATGAAAAGGAAATAGAGTAGGAAATGTGCAAAATTTCGATCGAAATTACTTTTTCGTTGAAATAGAGTAGGCCTCCAGGTGTGAGGTCCGTTCGGCGGGGTGCTTCTTAAAGGCACCGTCGTCTGCAACAGAGGTTTTGCCTACGTCACAAAAAAAAAGGTATTTTGGAATACTGTGGATGATAAGTTATTTAAGGGATTGTTTATCATGTACCTTGTTTTTAGCGAGTTTCCGATATTTCGGCACTGTTGCAAGCGCCATGATCACGGAGTAACTGAAGTAAATGCGGGTAGGCTGTTATTGGCAGACATATCGGTCTACCCTTCGACGAAGTCTTTTATTGCGTTCGAGACCCGTACCACTGTTCACATTCTCACTATTCACTGGAAACTGTTCTGGACACACAACACTTACAGTATCCGACCGCGACACGACACTTTTTTTATTATTTCTGTTATTACACATACGCACCACAGGTTTCCAGATTTCCATCCCGTAAATAACTATAATGTATGTAATGTAATAAATGTGACCATGAAAGTTTAAAATAATATACTGTGGATGATGATCCCTTTTTTCTTCGTTTATTTAAATTGAAAAGTATTTTTTATTCACATAATAAAAATATAATACAGATATATTGATTTGAAATGTCGCACAGCGTCACGTCTTGTCGTGGTTTTAACCTGTAATGACATTGAAATGTAATGAATGAATAAATACTTAGAGACTTACTGTGGCTACTATTCCTACATAGTCCAAGATCCCAGTGCCGCCAGACCTAAGTCATTTTAGCAAAGCTAAAATTTCCATGATTTATAGTGTAGTATGTAGTTAGGAGAGTATGCGTACTTACTAGCTCGAAAGCGGGGCCCTTTCCACAGGTAGCGCGAACTAAAGGTGTTTCAAAACTGTACTCACCTACGTTAAAGTAGAAAGGCTCATATTTAAATATATTTTTGACAATAATATCAAAAATAGATAATTGTTATTGCCAGACCGTTTCTGTGGGCCATTACTTCCGCCAGACGTTATAAAGATTGTTTAAAAATTAGGTAAACTACGTCATTTTAGCAAGCCTAAATTTGACATATATAACTACGTGGTACTATTTCCAGACTTTTTGTAAGCAGCCAGACCAATCCAATGGGCCAATTATTCTCCCACACACCTCAAAGTCTCCCTGTGAGTGCGAGCGTGAGGGCGTTATTCGTGCGCTATAATTGAGTGAGAACACTATATGTGTTTAGCGTTAGCGTTAGCGCATTGTTGTCATAGTTTGTCTTTGCTAAAATTTCCATGTTTGGACTTTATCACCACTTAATATCAGGTAGGGTAGAGTAATTTGCCTACCTAGCTGTATGGAGCCATATATATTATATATATAAAATCTCCCAAATTCTATCCTGCTTTATCACATTTTTTAGTGCACAAAAGAAGGTAAAACTATACTCCCAGGGCCTAAGGCCCGAGGCGACACTTGTTTTTTTTGTAGAAACGGTCTCTTTTATCTTTTATTTTGCTGGCGATTCACCGGCCGCTACTGTGGCACGCTCGCTTTGCTCGCTCGGCTCGCGCGTTATGGTCACAACACTAACCTAACCTAGTGTGAAGTATCGCCACTCGGGCCCTGGAAGTACAGTTTAGCCCAAAAGAAAATAATAGTGTCTATTAGTTTTTGACTATTCCTATTTTAGCTATCATTCGATATGTATGGTTAGTTGTCTGTGTTACTAGGTTCAAAGGTTCAAGCAAATAAAATAATCGTCAATTATGGTTTAAAATTTTAATGGAAATAAACGAAAAATTACAATCTACTATGTGACACTAATATTACTTACATCAATATACAATCTTCATTATAATGTAAATAAAATTATTGAATATAACAGCCCATTTTGTACGTGACAAGGCAAGTAGAGTATCAACAAAAATGGCGGCTACAAATGCCATAGAAAATCACAGTGTTGCCAAGTAAAAAAAATATGTTGCCAATATAAAAAAAATCTGGTCGAATTTGGTGGATTTATTTATTGGTAAATAAAAATAGTGGAGGTTATTTCTAACGGTTTAAACGGTTTTTTGGAGGTACTCGTCGAATAAGAAGAGTGCCAATGAAAGGTCTTGCCCGTTATTAGCTGTGATGAATTTCTTGAGGTCGCTGGTGTGGCCAGCTATTTCGCGAATTGTCTTCGATTGGTCCTCAACGAACTCTTCCTCCAGATATTGGGCGATCTGTTATAGAAAAATAAAGTTTTAGGTACGCAATATAAATTACCTATGTGCCATCTAGGGCAGTTATCTTCATCGTACAGAAGACAGTGAAATAACAACCTTTTTTGTTAAATGAAAAACAAAACTTGCAATAATGTTTTAATTTTTCAAGCATTTGACGGTTACATGTTTAAAACTAGAGAATTTTTTACTAGATTCAAGAAAAAGTACTAGAAAGAATTGCACGTGCACCAGGCAGCAGAGGTGCGGGTTCGAGTCTCGTGTGCTGCCTAGTCCGCGTGGATTTTTTTCTAGTAATATTTTTCTGAAACATCTTTTCTTAAATAACCTCACTTTAGGCGGTGCATAAGGTATAGACGAATGGAGCAGAGCACGCATCACTGATATATATATATATTGTCACGTGTGACGGTCGTAGCGTTTCAGCCTTTACCGAGTTACCCTCCAACCTTCATGCTCCTTGGTAACAGCTCCGCACGCATCCCGCACACAAACACACACACACATATATAGAGTCGTGTGACGCCCGTGACGCATTTGCGTTTCATCTTTTCCATAGGATTTCTCCATTTACAACCCGTCTGAAAAAAAGTTTCTGTTAATATTACTTACCTCAGGATCATGAAGATGAGGGCTATTCCTGGTGGCTTCACGGTGGATGTAGAAGGCGCGTTCCGCGAGCTCCTTCTGCGTGTCCAAAGCTTTGGCCAAAGACTCCAATTCATGAAGTTCCACCGTATAGTTCTTGCGCTCCAGCGGTTTCTGGGTGCTACGCTGGCTGAAGTTCATTTCATCACCTGGTAATGGACGAAATACGAAATCAGAAATCAATATATCTTTATTCAAATTGGATGTATAGTACAACACTTTTGAATCGTCCAAACATTTTTTTCCCCTACCACTCGTTATTGGACATATTTTTTAGATGCGGAGAAAAACGAGAGAAAAAAATTCTACAACATTAAAAGCATAATGTAACAACATTTACAAATCATTATGTTGTTACAACGTCAATACAATCATGATTTATTTAATATAGAAAACCTGTTGGAATGATTGGAAACAACTATTAATGATAATGATTGGAAATACGACAAAAAATAGTCAGATTATCAATTTCATAGTTTCCGCTTTGACGTGATAACATTTCAAAATGTTGTGATAACAATAAACAAAACAATAATGTTATGTAACGTTGTTTACTGAATAACACTTTAAATTTAAGATTACAAAAACAGTCGCATAACACAATTCTTCACAATTTAATAATGGCGGTGCCATCTTGTTTTTTTTTATCACTTCAACAAAGGAAACATGGCTCATACAGCCATTTCTAAATTATACCAACTATACTACAAACATATACAGGGTGGTCCAACTAGCAACGTCAACAATTTTTTTTTAGATTCCTCGCACCTGGGGTTATCCGAAAATACATCATTCCTGTAAAATAACTTTAGCATGTGTAATTTTACAATACTTTCGGTTTCACCACTAAGATTTAAAATGCGATTTTTAGCCAGAAGCTAAGGAAACTCCTTTTTGTATTGAAGTTGAACGTTTGAGTAAATCCTACTAAAAACTAAATATCCAACTTTCAAGCCTTTTTTGAGTTACTTTAAGTAATTGCAGGAAGTCGAGTTATTTTTTTATCAAAACAACATTCAAGACAATTGTCACAAAAAAAAGACTGCTAAATACCTACTACGAAAAAAGATAAGAATTTTTGAAACCTCACTGGCAGAAATCATTAAAAATACACAAAAAAAAATATAACTCGAAAACTAAGAAAAATCGCGGAACATACATGGGGTATTTTCGGATACCCCCAGGTGCGAGGAATCTAAAAAAAATTTGTTGACGTCACTAGTTGGACCACCCTGTATACATATCTTATAAATAGATGAACACCGGCTGCACGCACGAAAAAGTGTCACGTTCCGCCTAAGCCTGAGCGGGAGCGCGGAAGAAGCGATAGAGAGGCACGATCGGCCCAAGCGTCGGCCTGTACATATTTATCTCTCTTCTCGCGTGACGTCAGAGCCAGCAACTATGCAATTTTTCATCAATGTTTCTTTATGACGTCATCACGTAAAACTCTCGTCCGTAAACCAACTTTACAGACATCAAATTTTCATTATTAATTACCAGTTTTTTTAGTTATTTACTGGTGTAAATTCTGGCATGATTCTCTAAACTTAAACTTCAATTTGACAACAGTGTATCCTTGTCATTCTCTATACAGAATGAAAAGGAGAGACTAACTGACACCACTATCATTGGTTTTACGACATAAGTTACTTTTTGTGAAACCAGATTTTACAGTACACAAAGAACAGGAAAAGTAAGAAATATATATGTTACATTAAAAATTAATGCATTTAAATGTATTAAAGTTGAGTTGCAAAAAGCTGCAAAGCTTGCCGAGAGAAATTTTAATTCATTACAGCTAAAGTCTTGGTTTTCTTGATGTATGGAGAAAGAGGTGTGTTTGGCTATTAAAATATGTTTTGAATTCATTATTGGCTGTATATAACATGATAGAAAGTTTGGCTGAATATTAGATATCTAAAAAATACTAATAAATTACTAATGTTATTTTGGATACAGTAAGAAACAAAAATAAAAGTATTATTTGTCGAAAATCAAAAATAAAATAAAAATAAATCTACTCTTGAAATGTAAAATCATATAAAATACCTTAAAAACAGAAATCTGCTCTACCAACCAAACGCTAAAAACAACCAAATTGGTAGTCAATCAGACGGCCAAAAACTACCAAATTGGTAGTTTTCTGTGCACACTAGCAACACTCACCCCTCATAGTCACATGCTTGATGAGGTCGATGGTCTTCTCCCAAGCCTGATCCGAAAGCTTCTTGAACAGCTTACTGAACCCAGCTCTGTTGGTCTGATAGTTATTGAAGTACGCAGCAGACAGCAAATATTCGTACGACCTTTCCAAGTGTAGGTTCGCGTATGCTTGCAACTCTGTGGCGACGTTTCCGTGTCTTCCATACTCCCCGTACACGGCATTACAACGGGGCAAAGCTATAAAAGTGAAATGATTTTCATGGAACTGTTATGGAATGTAATTTGTAAGTTAGTTTATGACATTCGCAGTGCATTATTGAGGGTTTGACATTCGCAGTGCATTATTGAGGGTTTTCGGAAATGATGGGCGGTGGCAGCACTGAGACGAAAAGTCTACTCGTCTGTAAAATGGCGTATGTGTTTTTTTTTTTAATAATTCATGACTATGGATACAAGTCCTTCAATCTTATACATAAATACAAATCATAATCTTGTTTACATTAGAATGTCGGTGTGACGCATTCTAATGTTTCTTGGAGTGTTTGGCACGAAATGTATCGAGTTGGTCAACACTACAATAAAGTTCTCACGTCCACTTGACCGGAATAACGTATATTTTAAAGATTCCACTAATTCTTTATTTGCGCAGATGGTTGTAATACAAAATCACACCAATTTTATTTCACAATATCCACTATGAACGAATTTAAGAATAATTGAAATAAGACGCCAACCGCACTCGATGAAATCCCGCCAAAAACTCCATGGCGTATGTGTTTTATTTTTTTTTAATTTATTGGCAATGGATTGGATTGGCGTATGTGTCGTCATCAGTGTTGCCAGGTCCGATTTTTAAAATCGGGAGGCGTTATAGAAAAAAGCAGTAGATGCAGAGGGGTACTTTTCTAATTTGCCCCCCTCCCTCTCCCAGAATTGGTAAATCAAATCAAGATATAGGCCAGTAAGGAGTGTTTCTGTGGCTTCTGCCGCCCCTCAAAACTCGTTTTTTTTAGACAAAATATTTATTTTAGAATAATTAAGGTTACGATTAATGGCGGAAAATGCAACTCAACATTCAATTTAAAAAAGAAAATCGTATTCTAAATTAAACAGTAGAACAGTAGAAGTTTTAGAAAAACAGGGGATCTCCTGTAAAATCGTGAGACCTGGTAACACCGGTCGTCATAGTCTTCGTAGGAGTTTTTGGCGGGATTTCATCGAGTGCGGTTGGCGTCTTATTTTAATTATTCTTAATCGTTCATAGTGGATATTGTGAAATAAAATTGGTGTGGTTTTGTGTAACAACTGTCTGCGTAACTGAAGAATTAGTAGAATCATTAAAATATACGCAGTTTCGGTCAAGTGGACGTGAGAATTTTATTGTAGTGTTGACTACCTCACAGAAGCTTATCGAAAAAGCCAACTAGATACATTTCGTGCCAAACACTCCAAGAAACATTAGAATGCGTCACACCGACATTCAAATGTAAAAACAAAAAGAAGATTAATTTAATTAAAGACCAGGCTGTGTGGGCATTGTTCCCTTTGCCTTGCCTAAAACGGGAGAACTTCAACAAAAAAAAATAGTCTTCGTATCGATTTAAATTCTCATTCGATAAGTTCGCGCCAAAAACTTTACACAATAAAACAGTGGCGCCACCTGGTGACGTAAATTTTCACAACTGCTTCATTGTTATGAAATGGAATTCGTGAGATATTTTATAACGTTCGCAGTGCAGTAATTAGAGGAGGGGGCAATCTGAGAGAGAGAGAAAGAGAGAAATATTTTATTGACCACATGACATCAAAAAACAACTTACAAAAAACCATTAAATTAAATGTAATAAATTATAGGGCAATCTCTGAGAGCTCTGAATTCTCAAGGAACAGTGGTTGGTAAATAAAAATCAATGGTTTATATCTTTTTATGTGTCTATGTTCCCCTAGTGATAGAGTCTGCGGAAAGAGAAGAAGCAGAGAGAATCTGTAAAACGTCAAAGTTTTGTATTGATACGGATTTGTTTGTTGTTGTGATTTCTTGCGGTTTTTTGTATTTAATCATGTCTAAAAGGGGTAAAACCTTACAAATGCGGTAGAAAAGCACTACAGCGCCCTCCAATCTAAATCCCATTCTCTTTCCGCACAGACTCTACTAAGACAAGGTATTTTTACAATAAATATTTCTGATTTTAGCAACACTTGACGTGGATATTCGTAATGAAGAGAGGGATGCACCCACACAAACATGCAATACATTCCTTTATGTATATGAAAATGTAATTAAAATATGAGGAGGTGGCGAACAAAACGGTATAATTACATAAAATTATATTCTACCTACAGTGAGCATTTGGCATGGTTTTTAATTTACAAATTTAGTAATTCTAATACTGTATTAGGCGGTTTTGATTGAAAATCATTTGAGATTCAAATTCAATAGGCCCGAAACCACTGGCTGTACAAAAAAAGTTGTTTCGCCAGATGCGTAATAGGGATGATGACTAATTTTTTTTTCTTCGTTTATCAGCTCTTTTATCAGGTAGATTATCAAAACATGTCTCGAATATGTCAATGTCAATGAAAGATTATTATTATGACTTTTGGTGAAGTAAGTACTCACTTATTCGCCCAACTGTAACGCGATAAGATTGTATGAAACAATATAATTAATATTTAAATCCCTATTATAAAATAATAAAAAGAAATAAGTAGCTTAAACCAACATTACTTTTTATAACTGCACCGTAAAATAGAATGTATATATAAATAGAATGTACATAAGCAGTATCATAATAAATATATAATTAAGTAAGTAAGTCTGTCTGTCAGTAAGTCTGCAATTTTGGAGGTTAAGAAACTTTTCTAACCAAAATCATTTATTCAGTCTAGGCTGTTACAAGCAATTGTGAAGGTCAAGAAGCTACGCCACCGGTTCGCAAAGCTACGGCGCGGGAGACCTTGTACTGAGAAGAACAGGAAGAAACTCAGCAAGGGCTGCGTTTTTCTCCCTATATACAGCGTCGTCAAGTTGAAAATGACTTCAGAGATACTTCTGAAGTCACCTTCCATTACATCATTTATATGGCCGGTCTTGGGATGGGTGACCGAAAAATTACTATCTCCAGCTCTGCCGCTTTTAACATCCGGAGGAGTCGACATCTATTCAATGCTAGTAGTGTAGCTTTTCTTTCACAATTGCACTATTGAGAATCGATCGCATAAAAATTGGTACAAATTTTACTTCTTTGACTTTACTTGTTAAAGAAATGTCTCGAATATGTCAATGTCAATGAAAGATTATTATTATGACTTTTGGTGATAAGTAAGTACTCACTTATTCGCCCAACTGTAACGCGATAAAATTGTATGAAACAAGATATTTAATTTTTAAATCCCTATCATAAAATAATAAAAACTAACTAGTAGTTTAAACCAACATTACATTTTATAACTGCACCATAAAAATGGGTTGTTGAATGTCATGTAAATAATATAATAATAATAAATATTTCCGACACACACCAATGGGCCTAGCCCCAAAGTAAGCACTGCAAGGCTTGTGTTATGGGATGCTAGGGTAACGGATAGTATACATCTGTGCATATATAAGTATATTAATATAGAAATACATATTAAACGTCCATGACTGAAGTACAGATGCTCGTATTCATCACACAAACATCTGCCCCCACCGGGATTCGGACCCGGGACCTCTCGAGTCGGCGACACCATGAAACCCGGCGTACAAACCACTCGGCCACGGAGGTCGCCAAAATAAGCAGTGTTATTATAAAAATATGGCCTTTTCTTTTTATATACTGTATTAAGGGAATAGTCTGTAGCTCAGATCACAGAACATTAAGACAGATGGAGTGCACGGAACTGAGGCACGAAACATGCAATGCGTGGCACCATAGCAAATACGAATTCAAAAGCGACTATCAATTCGCGTCAGTACACCACAACGCCACAGCGGTGACACTCTCTGTACGTGAGAGTTCCAGCGTCAGTGACCTTGAGCAGGAGCGTGTATGCGCTAGGGTTGAACTTGGAATTTAGACTTGTGTCAATGAATATTTATGCATAGTAAGTTATTAAATGTAAACTGATTCAAGGATACTGGGGTAAATAATGAAGGATAGGTTTGATTTTATAATCAATTTTTAATCTTTTAATGTACGTACTATAACAAATTGCTAACTTTTATATATTTTCTCCTTTTTCGATTCGTTTTATAATTCTTATTATTATCTAAATAATAATAAGATTGCGTAGCGTAGTCAGTCTGTGCGTGCAATGCAGTGCAACGCTATTATTTTACTATTTCGCTACTGCCATCCCTTCGGTCTCGGCAGTCGGCGACTGCCCTCTCCACGCCCCGCGCGCCGCGCAACGCCCCCGCGCACCTCCAGACACCCACACATAGCCGCGGGCGATTTTACGAGCACACATGCTTAAGTGTCGCTTCTTTTCGCGTAGTGTATATATTCTGTGACAACGCATCGTGTTGTGTTGTGTTGTGGCATACTGACTTGTGGCTAAAAATAGGATGACAGTATTAAAAATAAAGTGCCAATTGTTAGCATCTGTGTTTAGAATGAATATTGGCAGAGGTTTTTACTATTTATACAAAAAAAATATTCATAATTTTACAAAAAAACCCACTAAAATGATAATAGTTTTCTTATCTATTGTCACGCGACCCAAAACGCTAGGGATTGGCGGAGCCTAAAATGACGTCACACGCAAGTAAACTTCCGGTTAAAGTGACATTACATTGTATCATTTGACGTTTTAATAACAGTCGTGTGACGTCACACACTAGTAAGACGCCATATTGTCCAGAGAAATCTTTTCGCGGCAACTTGAAAATGGAGTTTTTAATTTGGTTATTTTTACTGAAATACACAACAGAATGATGAATATCCACTTTTTACGGACTCCATAAACGTTAGTCAATAACGTGAGATCGTTTTCTAAAACTTGTCAAATACCCTGTTTCGCTGTAGACGATTTCCTCCTCGAAAATCAGATTTATGTAAAATAAATTTTACTCATACAATAATATGTAGTTATACTATGCCTGTATGTTTTCCTTTTTTTATTCAATCACCACACTAGACGTCTTAAGTGGTGATGAAAATTTAATTATTTTTATATTGTTTTAAACTTTCATGGTCACTAACATTATAGCTATTAACGGGATTGTTACCATGTACCTTGTTTTTTATGAGTCTCCGATATTTCGGCACTGTTGCAAGCGCCATGATCACAGACTAACTCATCATGGTTACTCCGTGATCATGGCGAAAAACAAGGTACATGGTAACAATTCCGTTAATAGCTATAATGTTATTTAATTTTGTCATTTTTGAGGGCTTTTTCTTTTTGAATTTCTTTGAAACACAAGTTATCGAAAAAATAAGACATTGAAGCATAGAATGAGTAAAATTATTTCATGTATGACAATCAATTCTTTAGTGATGAAAATCTAGGAGGAATCAGGTGAGAACGCTTGAGTGGAAAAAACACTGCCCGCCTCCCCTCTTAAATACCTACACATTGATTTTAAATACTGGCGAGTTTATATTGTAATAATATTTTGCTGCATCATTCTAATCAAATCGACGAGAACAAAGTGATTTGATGACTAATTAACTGTCGCACTATCCCTAAATAGGATGCTTTGTTCGCTCACGTGTTCCCTCCTTGCAACCCAAAGTCGTGCGGGAGTTCTTAAAAGGAGGCGCGAATTGCTCAACGGCAAGATAGGCAGACACCGCACCCGTAGGATAAGAGTGCGAAGACCCGGTCTACACACGACACGCTATACCTGGGCGTTTTTCCCCGCCCCCCACGCCAACGGCTAACTAGAGCCGAGGTCCGAGTCTCAAGACGCCCTCTAGTTGAGCCAACCCGCTCAGATTCGAGTGGTCTAGAGGCTCCAGACGGAGAGGAGGCTCCCCCAGTGGGGAGATGCCATCCGCCTGGAATACCTCTAGAGGCACTCGCCAATTCTCGGCTTGAGGTCCCCCCCTTAGGATCGCCCCCCCCAAACCCGGTGACGCTGTAAAGGTCATCTGCGACCAACAGCATACACACTCAAAAAAAAACCACGGCAAGTCATCGGGGTGGTGCCGGCAACGGACAAGCACCGGCGGTCGCGTTGACAGTCCGTAATGGGTTACCATACAATGCCCGCCCTACTGACACACATGTGAGGGACCTCAGTCCTCGGGAAGCATAATATCACCGAGCCGGTAAGCTGGATGAAATGAGATGGGAGGAGTGCAGAGATACCTGCGTTGCGCTTCTCCAACTGTGCGCAGAAAGCGTAACGCATTTTCCAGACATTAAAAAAGCCAAAACTGCTGCATCAGCTATATCTCATCATCATCATCTAATCTCGCCTGAATTCCACCGTCATTCAATACCGGGCTATCGGTTCTGCTATGTTAAAGTATCTAATAATCGGGTAACATTAGAATTTCAGTAGTTTTGAGTTTTGAAACAGTTGTTGTTACAACACAAACATATTTACCCACCCATTTGGTGTTATCTAACATGCATTAGATAATTTATCTTTTTGTAACAAGAACTGGGTCGAAAAGAAATAATGGAAACACAAGATACATCCATCAGCTTAGTAGAATCGATACCCAGATGGGGTGGTGTCATTTGCTTCATTCGACCTTTAAGTAAACAAAATACTTTGCATCCTTCACACACGCCATTATATAGATACTTGCAATTGGAATTGAAACCCAAGCTTGCTGATAAATTGTTGTAAATTTTCTTTATCTGGTCGCCACACTTATCAACCATGCGTCGCCCACAGCTGAGTAGTGGTGAGGAAAGGCCTCCCCCAAAGATCTCCACACTTATCGGTCCTTTTTTATGTCTGGAAAATGCATGAAGTACTCCTGGTTAAATTCTGGATATCTGAGACTGCTCCCGCTCATTTCGTCCAGCTCACGGGAAAGTGCAGCAATGTGCAGCAAATAAGCCATTCATTCTAAAACCACAGATAATACTCATGCATCGGTGACTCAACACGTGCTCTAGGTCCATGCTAGGTCCCCGAAATGCGTACAGAGAGTGTGGGTGTGGTCGTGGCTCCCTATAAGGCGCTTTGCAGACGACGGGGCGGGGCGGGCCGGCAATTTCGCCGCGAACGATAGTACAAAGTGAATCCTATACTACAAACGCACACAGAGGGCAAAAAGACCGCGCCGCAGGTGCCGTAGATCATACAAACCAGTTTATATGCAGTAACGCAGACGGCGGCGCGGGGCGGCTAGCTCAGTCCGCGCCACGCGCTTTTTAGTGATGGTCTATTCACTAGAACGTCCTGAACTGACTGCCTCTGCCCGTCGTGTGCTTTGTGCAGACATCGACGGACAGACGCGGTTTTTATTGCTTCGCGGACAAAAAGCTCGCCCCGCCCCGTCGTCTGCAAAGCGCCTAAAGACTGGCCTCGCACCCGCCAGTAATTGTCCGCCGGCGGACCCACTCCGGCAAGTGTTCTGAACAGTTATTCTCTCTTATCCCACCTTCCCCATACTTCCAGAAGAACAAAGAAATTTCGTGATTTGTTTATTTGTCGCAATATTCTCAAATTTAATCTGTCCGCTCATGTGTTCCCTCCCTCTTACAACCCGGGATCCTTTAAGAGACGTGAAGAAGTAACATGCAGGCGAGCAGGGTGAGGATGGTTGGTGTGGCAGATAGAACTGCTGTACCAGCTATCTTCGCGTCTGGATTCCACCGTCCCCTAAAATCATGTGGATGGAGTCATGTGTCGAACCTATCTATATAAAAAAGACGTTCCGGAGTATTAGTGGCCATCTTCATCCTGGGAGCTTGTGCAATGCAAGCCTGACAGAAGGATACCCATAATGCGACATTAACGAAAGCTGTGGTCTAGTTATATTAATTGATTTCTCGCTCAGCGTTAATCCTAGAAGTAGGAGAGGTGTACTTACCCAAGCTGGTGGATGCCTGTCCACAGTCCAGAGACACATCTTGGTAACACGCGTCTGCAGCCAACGCGCCTGTAGCGGCCAGGAGGCACATCACTGTACTCAGTAACACCTTCATTGTTCTATTGGACAAAATGAAATAAATTAAGTTTCTATGTCTTGAATACTGGTTTAATCTGATTATCAATGTTGTGTGTGATCATGACAAGCCCAAGTGGGGATTTTGGGATGTACTTGAGCGTGGCAGATAAACTTAAGGGCGGCAACTTTGCATTTTGTGAAGTTTTCCCACTATATTTGAGCCCTTCATAAAGAGTTGAACGTGCACAGCCGCAAAATTATTTCAACAATAGTTACTTTTGGTCGCGTCCAAATCGACAGGCTTTTGAATAGGCGGTACGAGAGGGACGTAATTTTTCTTATGATGTGCACTATCTTACTTTTGGTCGCGTCCAAATCAAAAGGCTTTTGAATAGGCGGTACGAGAGGGACGTAACTTTTCTTGTGATGTGCACTATCTTACTTTTGGTCGCGTCCAAATCGACAGGCTTTTGAATAGGCGGTACGAGAGGGACGAACTTTTCTTATGATGTGCACAATCTATCTATATATATATATTGTGCAGTTATCACCACATGACACAACAAAAAAATATCCCATATTTCAGCAATATAGGCTAAACTACCTTGGTAACATGTTGATTTGATATTAATCAACAATCTAATGTATGAACATCGTATTTTATAATAATCATAAAATTAAATCTAATAAGCTTTCAGATACAATATGTTTCATGTCTTGATAACATACTGTTGTAAGATAAAAAGATTAAAGTAATATCAACAATCACTCAATCTTATTGATTATAATAGAACATTATTATATATCTGCTTATTTTAAATTATCTATACTATTATATAAAGAGACAAAAAGGATACACTGACAGACTGACTGACTGACTCATCAACGAACAGCCTATTATTGCCTAGACAAGTAATAAGATGTTTTTTTTAAAATTCAGCCTCTTAAGCATGAAAGTTGCAAAAAAACATTTGTTCGTAAAATCTTATCCTTAAGACAAACTGCAAATTTTGCATTCGGAGGATTGGATATATTTTGCCTTTCTTACAATCAATTTAAAAATGAATGTTATAAGGTCGATTTACCCTTTTTTTTGTGTCTGGAAAATGCCTTACGAGTCCTTCAACCACTGGGGGAGCGAGAAGAAGGTATGTGGGACTCCTCCCTGTCCCCTTCAGCCAGCCCTGGAGCTCGCTGATGTGAACAGGGCCCTACCTACGCCCTGAACAGGGCCACTAAAAACCAGATAATACTCCTGCACCGTCACTGGACACTCACTATGAGAACCGCGGACCCCCTAGTCCATGCCGAGAGACCCGTCTCCGAATGGCCGCGCGAGGTCGTTTTACCCTAACACTTAGTAATTGTTTTCTGACCATAAATTTTGATTATCATGTTTATTCTATTCACATAACTCTAAATATTGTACGTAATTTTAAGTAAATTATGTAAGTGTATGAATTTTTCAGTCTGAGGAAACTTAACTGGTTTATGAAAAAGTAATAAGTGTTACTTAATTGAATTGTGTAAAACCGTATGTTTCCCAAATGAAAATAAATAAATATTATTTAGTAGATGTACACTAAAGGGGCCCATATACGGAACGATTTATCTGTACGATCCGTCGTTTCAGACCGATCGAAACGATGGATCGACAGTGTATGTTAACGATTTACTTAATCGAAGACGATATCACAAATCGCAACCAAATCCCATGCAATCATGAATATCGTAAACAATCGATCGACAGTGTTTCGTGTATAGTATAGTAGCATTTCTGAACGATCGATCGTTGACGATTTCCTTCAGATCGATCGCAACGACGAATCGTTCCGTATATGGGGCCCTTAAGCCTGTTACATAACATTTTTAGAACTACCCTAAAAAAATACAAAATTTCGTGCCAAAGTTTTCAAATATGGGAGATCATCCAAAAGTGCGTAGGATTGATTAAAATCATTCATCATCACATCTGTATTCATTTTTCAAAACTACCCTCATAAAATGTAATAGTGCCCGTCAACGAGCGCCTGCACTTTTGGTCGTAGAGACATGATATTTGTTGTGAGGTGGTTATTATTAGCTATGCATTCTTAAAAAAGCTTTAGTTTTAAATAAATAGCAAAGCATCACAAACTTAAATTGTTACTAATATAACAATATTTTGAGGTGACTATTTTGCTGTGCAATAAGTATTTTTGCTTAGGATTGGGAATAATTTTTTATCCAAAATGTAAGTTTTTTGATTTGCAGTTAAATACTAGCCTCTATTTTAACTAGCTACAGCCCCTGTTTTAACCTGCGAAGTTCCCGTTCCCTTGGGAATTCCGGGATAAAAAGATATTCTTTTATTATATACTGATTCATTGTTTCCTTAGTATTTAATACTCCCATGTGAAGCCGGGACGGATCGCTACTTAAAAAATAATGTACAAATTTTAAAACTTGTGAGAAGTTTTAATTCTCCCATGATTCTCTAATAGTAACATGATCCAATGAATACCAGACCTTACGTATTCTCTCATGGCTTGTGTTTAATGCTTTTGTCATTAAAAGTGTCTGGCAATAAAATCTGCTGACAGAATGTGTCTGGCAGTATTAATTTCAAATTAATTGTTTTGTCTTCAGACCATAAGTAACCATGCCACCTGATACCTGAAATTGGGCGACAGCGCTAATTAGCAAGTATGTATACGTTCATTGTGCATTGTGCACTCTAATACTACTCAATTCTCCATATTTTGTCCATAAGAAAATAAGTTAGGTCTGGCAGTCTTGGGAACTTACTCTATAAGCCTAAACTTAAATTTGACAATGCTGTTATTCTGTATAGAGAGTAAAAGGGAGATTGATGTTAAATTTAGTTTTTTAATTTAGAGAATAATGCTGATAGGGCACCATTTCCTACCCATATTTTTAAACACAGCACATAAAGAATTGCTAGTCTTCAAAGTATCCAGAGAATGTGTCAACAACACTGATCTAAATAACTTCTAGAAACATTCCTCACAACAACAATATAAATTTACTGATATTATGTCTGTCTAGTCTCCTGTAAGGATTCAGAATATAACTGCCATCAACAACATTTTACTTTTCATCTTTCAAACTCTGAAAAAATGTTCCACTGAAACTTGAATCTAAATAGAATTACATAAAAAAATAGTAGGCAAATCTACAAGACTGACAATGAATTATGAATTGATCATAACAAAAATATATTGAAGTGTGACTTTGGCAAAAAGTTATGTTTATCTTTTGTTTTGCTACTGCTAAAAAAGAATCTTTTGTTTTTGCCAAAAACAAAAGATACACTTAAGTTAGTATACAGTACAAGATTTGTTGATGTTCTAAAATTGAATTATTTTATAGTTTTTAATACAATATTAGTAACTTTTTAATTCATGTTTTAAGGCCGTAGTTTTCACCATTTCGGCCTAATATTAATTACTAAGCTGCTAGAGGTCAATCAACAAAAGGTAGGTAGATGAATACCTAACAATAATGTTGATAAGAAATATTTTTAATGACAATAGGTAATAAATTACTTTATTCAATTTGATGATTTCAGTGCCACTACCACTTCAATCATGGCAACCTATTATGCTTTTTTTTTTAATTTCTAGAACCAACACTAAATAAACATAATATTAGGAAAAAGGTTACACTTTGGAGGAAGAAACTTAAGTATTTACAATAACTGTTAAGTAGCTCTCATAGCTAGTACCTAATACAAATAAATTTACAGTGGACAGATACTCAACTATAGATACAAAGAAAGGCTACTCACCAAACTGCGATGTAACTTTGTGACGAACAAGAAAAAAATTAACAGCGAAAGACCGTCAGAAGAGACACCTTTACACACACTGGCGCAGAAGGCGACTTCCAACAACCCGTAAACGTCTGTTGTGCGACTGATAATCGGCCCCAGCAGTGCTAGGAAAACAGAAGTTCAATAGTGTTTTATCCGCGTAACGATTGACACACAGTTCGTCTCGTATTATACTATTTTATCGCAAATCATCTGTTTCCAGACATCAAGAGTGAAGTTTGTTTTTAAACATCGGTGTTGCTGAGTACAAAAACATAATTACCTTGATAGGTTCCGGAGAGAGGTATTTAAACAGTTTTCTTTATCACAATAGATTTTTTTAAAATTGGATTCACCAAAATTATAGCTGTAATTAGTAATTGAAACTTATTTTTCTCAGTTTCCCTTGTGATCACTTTACTTCGTTGTCCTCAAATGCTGGTAAATCTAAAAACTGGTATCACAATTACCCGCCCCCTTCTGCTGTATCCCCTCTCTCCTACCCCGCTATGACCCATTCTGTGACGTCAGAAGTTGTCATACATGGAAAGTAGAGGTTTTGTGTTTCAAGAAATTGCCGATAATTTCGTCATATTTACTTTATTCAGCAAAAATATTACTTAATTACACAACATTGTCGTATAAAAGTACTCTAATAAAGTTGATCCTACAAATTAGGTTCTAAATACTGAAAAAAGAGTAGGAAAAATCCATCTTGCCGGCCTTGAAACTCAAAACCTCGGCGAGGTTTTTCGTTCCAAGTACTATTTGTTTCCATCTCGCTCACTCATGTCATTCTCTGGGAACATTTTGTCAACACGAGATGGTTTTGTTATCGATGCGTAATTCATTATTTTTGTACAATCAAAGCTATCAGCGCGAATAAGTCGTCTTTGTTATAATTTGAATAGTTCAGAGTCGCCTTCTGCGCCAGTGTGTGTAAAGGCTTGACTTTCGCGAGTACCCTGTTCCAGAAGTCCTTTGTCAAATAAATAAAATAATTTCGTCAAAGTATCTGTGATTTAATTTATAGAATAACAATGAAGATCCTGCTTGCTGTTGCTGCCTTCTTGGCTGTCTGCGCATCATCTCTAGCTACACAATGTAAGTGAATTTTTTTTAGTTTTTTTCTAAATCCATAAAGGCTGCTATGGCCAGCCAGCATCTTCTCATAACATACCTTTTTCAAAAATCGTAGCATAAACAAAATAACTTGACAAGATGTAGATTAAATCTACATTATTCCATTTATAAATATAACTGTTTCTATTATTTATCTTACAAGTAAGTAATGTAGGTATCTAAAAATGTTTTAAAAAATAAATAAGTTATATCAAATGGGTAGGTAAACACCTGGGTAGATCAATCAAAGACATAAATAAATTTGCATATCTTTTTTTAGGTTCAAAAGTTTATTAATGAACACAAAGAGTTCATATCCAAAACAAAGTTTTTTTTAATAAAGTAATAATTACTAGAACATACTTTCAAGCAAATGGTTTACTCTTTATAGTGCAACCCACTGCAATTGCTATTGTGAATACAAAGTTTGTAACCAAGAAAATGATGGTTTGTAACCATAATTTTGACTGTAATGACAACCACAGATGGTCCAAAATTTACAGATTTCATTAACTAAATATTTTTATTAAATAAGAATCACAATGTATTATGAATATTTTACATTTTGTGGTAATTTGGTGCCTGTCTGTCTACTTCAAATCAACTGTCAATGTCAAATGTACCCCACAGAAACAAAGTCTGCCTACCGTACAGAAGCTACATTAGTTTTTTGCATCTGTACCCCTAGCACAAACCAATATCGAATTTGTATAGTTTGCGAGTCCGAAATGTCATTGTCAAATGTGTACTGATTTTTAGTTATTGTTACGTACTTTGTGCTGCTGTTCAAGTTTCCATACAAAATTTGACATTGACATTTCGGTTTGCAAACTATTCAAATTCGATAATGGTTCGTGCTAGGGATACTGATCGATCTTTTTAGTCTGAATCGTTCGTTCATTACATCTTAGAGTAAATATGAAGCTTTTGGTAATCCCCCTCAGATCTGAACAGATGTTTGCTGGGAGTATTTTGAACGACGAGAAAGATTAATCAGGTTATCTGTCATGTTGTAGAGTAAGTTTGTTTAAGGTTAGAAATTAATCTATGGATTTTATTTATTTTTTAAGCATTTAACTGCTAGATGTTTAAATCTAAAGAAAAGTTTACTAGAAAAAAATCCACGCAGACCAGGCAGCGGACGGGACTCGAACCCGCATCCTTCGCTATCCGGGCGAATGCACTGACCATTATGCTACCACGGCCCTACTAGCCGCGAATTTGAATTTGCTCAGATTCTGTGATCATGTAACCAAAAATTTGTCGCTTCTGTGATGCAAATATGCAATGCAGCTTTAACAAGGGTAAAGGTTTTTTATATAGAGTAACTAACTTAGATTTTTTGTATTTTGGCCTACCCTGTTCCTAAGTAGGTAATCTGTTAAAAGTCTTATCAAGATTTTTGTTTTGTTATACAGCATCAGTCTTGACTGAATTGAGATATCTATTTGTAGATAAGTTATTAGTTTTTTTTTATTTATAACGAAATTATTAAGTGATATATTTTATATTCAAAGAAAACTAGAGAAACATTAAACTTTAACTAAGATAAAATAATAATATATGAGAAGCTGGCAAATAAAACGGTATAATTACATAAAATTAAATTTTACAGGAGCTGTATAAAACTGAATGACATAGATAAAAAGAAATAAATAATTTATCTCTATCATCTTCTTTCAATTAACGTCTACGCTCCCAGGTTCTATCCCTTCTGGGTAGAACTCTATAGTACCTACAGTGAGCTTTTGGCATGGTTTTTAATTTATAAATCTAGTAATTTTTACACTGTATAAGGCGGTTTTGACTGAAAATTCAAATTCAAAAAAATATGAGATTCAAATTCAACGGCCCGAAACCTCCAGACTGTAAAAATAAGAAGTTTGACCAGATGCATAATTACACCGTTTTGTTCACCAGCTCCTCCTCAATTACGATAACGAAGAAAGTAGCAGCTTATGGTATTATAATTTGTAAATTATGTTTCACAGTGGCTCCATGCCAAATCAGTGTTATAAATAAGTAATGTTTTATCATTTAGTACATAAAAGAAAGTAGGTATGTCGTTATTGGGGTTGGCTGAATGTTATTTTCACACTAATATTAGTGCTTAAAAAGCCGAAAGTATGTGAGTGTATGTTTGTTACTTTTTCACGTTTAAACGGCTGGAGCAATTTAAAAAAAATTGGTATGGAGTTAGCTGACACCTTGGATTAACACATAGGCTATTTTACTGCACAAAATATCCCTTATATACCGCGGGTAACACCGCGGGGCACAGCTAGTTATTAAATAAACTTGATACATAGATTGGTATGTAGGCAAAAGTTATTGGTTTGGTTGAACACATTATATTTATCAATAATCTTGAGCTTTATTTTTGCAATAATGATCCTACTCCAAAGTCTCTTTTATCTTCAAAGCTACATTCATCTAAATCAGATAAGCAGGTTATTGATGTGTAACATCTTTCCTCTCGCTTTCCTGCAATTTGTGGGAGTGATTTCGTGAAATGGGACGGAAGTGTGTAACAAAAAGTCGCGAAAGAGCGCGCTATTCTATTCGATTTTAGAACATAATGTTCAAATGGTTTATTCCTTTTGTAGTAGGTTTTATTTCTTTTTTTACTAATATAAGGTGAGGTTTCATTTTAAAACTTGACATTGGCTAAATGCACAAGCCGTGCGAAGCCATTTAGGAAAAAAAACCCTACCAGTATCTTCGGAATCTTGCCTTATTTAAAGGAGTCCCTGCCTTTTAATAATATACTTATTTTAGTTATTATATTTATTAGGTTTTTAATTTTAGTTTCATTGTTCTAGTATATAAAATAAATTATTGTAGTATTTACTTATATATGCTTTATTTGACTTTAAACATTAAAATATTCCAGATTTTTCTATGACGTTGCTGTTTCCAATGTGATGCCATCATCAATGTGATTAATAATGATTTTATCATTTAAACTGTCAATATTTGCCTGATAAGCACACATTCGATGTTTCGAAATTTATCTACATACCTGAATTAACAGATTTATTGTATTTTGATATGTATAGATTATAATAATGCCATTTGAATCGTTTAGTTACATTTAATTTATTGATTTAGAGCTGGATTTTTTTACTGACCAATCAATTTTATTCGAAAATAATACAACTCAATTTATCGAGTTTCTATTTGCATTATATTTCGGTTACTAGATGAGTCGGAAGTTTTTATTGAAGTCAGTGGTATCTAATAACGTAATTAAATAATTATTTCCAACACTCACACCAATTAGCATAGCCCCGAAGTAAGCACTGTAAGCTTGTGTTATGGGATACTAGGGTAACGGATAGAATACATATACTGTACATATATGAGTATATTTATATAGAAATACTTATTAAACATCCATGACTGGAGTACAAATGCTCGTATTCATCACACAAACATCTGCACCCACCGGGATTCTAAATTATTGCTCACAAGAATTTAGTGGCTTATCTTTGTTAATTGTAGAAAATTAACAAGGGCTGTTAAGTAATTAGTACACAATAAACAGTTACGTACACTAACAACATTATCAGCAATGATATTCTTTAAGTGCAAACATAATTACAGCCACAGACAATATTCAAATATCTCTTTATACACTCCCCAAAGATATTAAATAACCTAGATACACCACGAGCGCTCAAAATGTGTCCCAATCAAGAAGTGCTTGAACTCCAATCAACCACTTCTTGGTTAACAGTCACGCGCGAACCGTTACAAAGTGAAGATGCCACTGAGCTCCGCAAAAAAATCCGAAAATAATATTTAACGAAATGTGTCGTTTTTTCGACAGGTATCTACTCAATGTTTGTTAATTTAACGCATTTGAAGTAAATTTTGATCTAATACTTACCATAAACTGATTTAATATAAAATATTTGTTATATTCAAATGCATGGTCGGTTATAAGTCGCCATATAGCCGTCTCTTTTCCTCGCGGTCCGTGCCTGCTATATTGCTAACAGCGCGTTCAGTAATGCGCGTAGAGTCAAAGAACTAAGATCTAAATTCTTCCGCACATAGCAATAAGTCGTAAAATTTTACGAGCTTGCATTTCGAACTGTCAGAAGTCCTTGACACATGCGTATGATTTAAGACCTTATGTAGTATGTATTAAAGGTTACTTTCAATATTTAAATAATGCCTTATATTGATTTTGACTACGCGATCATCTTACGGAGCTCCGTGGATCATTCAATGTACCTTTTGGACAGGTTCCGGGCACGATTTTGTTCGTGTTGGTGTATCTAGAGTATTTAATATCGTTGCCACTCCCTTTCAATATCTTCGATGTTATGCGTCCCGGGGATGATCAAGTCGATTTTATTTGTCAAGTATACATGAATGAAGCTAATATTGATCGTCTAAAGCGTCATCGTCAAGATCAATCGTAATTCGTAAGATCGTAATTTTTGAGGAGCTCGATGGCGCAAGTGGTTAGCGCTTTGGCTGCGATAGTTGAAATTAAGCAACTTTCGCAGTGGTCGGTCATTGGATGGGTGACCAAAAATTTACTATCTCGAGCTCCTTCGTGCTTCAGAAGGCACGTTAAGCCGTTGGTCCCGGCTGCATCTGCAGTCGTTAGCAATCACCAATCAACACTGGGTCCGCGTGGTGGGTCATGGCCCAATCTCCCTAGTCCATCCATAGGGAAGGCCTGTGCCCCAGCAATGATGACAGCGTCAAGTAAACGCGGGAAACAATCAATATTCGCTTCAATCACGTTGATTTGATCGTCTCCGGGACGCATTACATATGTACTCATGCATCTTCCTTTTACCTTTTTTCCTAAATGGCTTCGCACGGCTTGTGCATTTAGCCAATGTCAAGTGTTAAAAATGTTAACAAATTCTATAGCACTCGTGATCAAAGTAATAAATCAAGTCAAAGTAAGTGGCAGTCAAGTCAATCCCCCTTTCCCTATCTTTCAGTAAATGTGTGGGGATTTACTGGAACCTCCCCGTGGGCTTCTTGAGGGAACGTCGAAAGACATTTTCCGCTATTTTGTTTCACTTGCCAACACTTGTGCATGTTCCCGAACACTTAGTGGTTAATAATCCACCATTATTAGACACTAACATCCGCCACAACACAATTTTTAACAAGAAAAACAAAACTGCTAAAGTGACGCTTCCCGATCCCGCCAAAAAGTCCTGCCTCAATATAGGTCACAAACTATATGCGTACCAAATTTGAAAATACGCCCCGGCTTAGGACACGACAAATATTCAGCCAGAGAATATTCAGTCTTTTCACAAATTTATTTTTTTTATACTTCGAGAATCGAGCAGGCAATATTCTCGAAAATCCAACATGGAAGCAAATTGGAATTTTTATGCGCAGCACCCGTAATACCTAGTCATTAGCAACAAAGTTTACTTATCTGTAATCTATGGTTTATACTTAATAATGTCGATTTGTCGATAACCTGTGAAAAACAAGAGAGTACTTCTGATAAACCATATACCTAAGTATTTATGAGATAAACACACTCGTCTGGTGAGGTTATCGTCAAGATATATATTTAAAACTGTGTTCTTAAAATCTTGATAGGGCTCATGAATGTATCTGATGACTTATCTACCAGACGTGCAATCTCATACGTGACATTGTTAACGTGAAACGATAACGTTGAAAGTCACAGGTTGCAAGGTTAGCCCAAAGATCTATCTTTCGATTGTGAAAGTCCAAAAACTTAGATATATATCTTAGGCATAAAACAAAGACGGTTTTTTGTAGTTTATTTTTTTAGCATTAAGACACTTCTTAATTTAAAATTATAATGAATGCCTTTGTGTCGCCGCACATGCGCCACCGACCACAACCACAAAAGCCGCCACCGGCATATTTCTTGTAGTTTTCATACATTTTATATGGACTCGCCACACACGGTACGCCGGTGGCCGCTACACGCTACAAATCGTCGTTGCTCGCTTCTTATGGCCCGCACCGGCCTCTTAATGCGCCGATACAAAACGCCGCCACACGGCACTCGCGCGATTCAGTACCCCTCTCTCCCTAACCTTAGTGTCGCCGCAATCGGACTACACGCCAAAGCCACAAACGCGCGCCGCCACGAGAAGCTAGAAGTCAATCGCGCGATTCCCCACCCCTCTCTCCCTTACCTTAGTCGGCCGCTGTCGAGCGCTTCAGCCACTTTAGTAGCCGCTTCTAACTTCTCGTGGCGGCATTTGTGGCTGTGGCGTGTGGCCCGTGTGCGGCGACACTTAACCCTGTTTTGTATAGCCCATCATTCCATCTTAGTCAATTTTTAAAAGAGAATGTGGTTGACCTACCACTTTCCAGAGGTGAAGGCAAAGTATCAACAGATATGGATAATTTTGTTTAAGGACAGCGGTCAATATTTTAAACCATATCGTCGGGCCCTACTCTAAGGGCACTGGACTTGCCTATGAATGGAATAAGGCAGATTGGGCCATGAACCATGATCCCATTGCGGCGAGCGGATTGGTGGATGCTGCCAGGACCATTTAAAACCTAACCGAAAGTTAATCAACTTTCGATGCGTAATGCATTGGATGGGTAACCAAAAACTTATTATGCCTTCTCCTCCGCGCTTTTGAAGCTACGTTTAGCCGTTGGCCCCGGCTGCATCTGCAATCGTTGGCACACCACAATCCGCGCTGGGTCGTGCTCGTGTCTAGTCTCTCTAATCCAGTGATTCCCAAAGTCAACTATATCAACCCCTAGGGGTCTATGATGACAAGCAAGGGGTCTACGTCAGCGAAAAAAAAATGTGAGGGTCCATGAAATGAAAATGGGGGTTCACGATAATGGATCTCAACATACACTGATAGTACTTATTTACTTACATTATGCTATCTTCTATTAAAAAGACGTATACATTATTTATAAAAGTACCTATGAAATAATAAAAAATATTATATATGTTTATAAAATTTTGTAAGTTGTAAGATGTAGGCATTCGCTTTGTGGTCGCAATACATTTTGGAGTTGTATAAACCTGCACATAAAGATAAACCAGTATCATCTTGTTACCCTTACTTGCCTCCAGATAGAAATTTACAAAAAATCAATATCAGGTAAATAGGGGTCTACCCAAAACCTAAAAACATGCAAAGGGTCTACGACACAAAAAAGTATGGGAACCTCTGCTCTAATCCATGCTTAGGGATTGCTTATGCCCTGCTGTAGTCGGGATATCAATGGGCTGATGATGGTGAATGATAAACAGTGACTTTATTAAGATGTAGTTATACGATGACAAGACTAGAGACTCTTTAAGAGAAAATTTTAAAGAAATCTATATAATGACTGACGACCTCCGTGGCCGAGTGGTTTGTACGCCGGGTTTCATGGTGTCGCCGACTCGAGAGGTCCCGGGTTCGAATCCCGGTGGGGGTAGATGTTTGTGTGATGAACACGAGCATTTGTACTCCAATCATGGATGTTTAGTATGTATTTCTATATGAATATACTTATATATTATGTCGTGTATATGTATTCTATCCGTTACCCTAGCATCCCATAACACAAGCCTTACAGTGCTTACTTTGGAGCTAGGCTAATTGGTGTGTGTAAAAAAAAATACTGTTGCTTCTTAGTATATTTACGAAAATTTCATGTATATTCGAAAAAATATTACATTATTTCCTGTAAATAGTGATAAGCACTCGCTTAATACGTTAAACCGTTACAAAGTTACAAATTCCTAGGCTCCACAAAATCATTTATTCATTAAAAGGTCTTTGTGTATGCTTTTACAATAAAGTCCCTAGCCAACCAAAAATTAAACGTCAATAAATTTAAAGATACTATTAAAACAGTTCTTATTAATAAAGCCTGTTACAAGGTATCTGATTATATTTCAGACAAAAATGCTTGGGTTTAAAGTGTTCCAAAATTTCCGGCGGGCTTTTTCTATAAATATGATGAAGAAGATATGATTTCGTATTGACACCGTAACAGTATAATATTTTGTAAATATTTTTACATAATTATTCGACGCTGTGAAATTTTTTCTCCAGTTTTTCTTCACAGCTAAAAAAAAATAATTGTATTGTGCATCCAATTAGAAGACTAATTTTTTTTTTGATAATGTTAATTTATATTTCAATCTGCCGCGTAGATTGAAGTAATTATATTAAATTGTGTCCAACCTTAGAGCATTTACAAGGTCCAGTAGATAATTTCGTCGTTTTTTTACCGATTTAATGAATTACTTTTGAAATGACCTCAATGAAATTGTATCACCTTCACAATTCAATGAGTTTTGAAACTAAATATTTCTCATTATTTATTTTACATTGTGTGTGCATCACGGAAGTTTAATTGTATTACTAAAACGAAAGGTCAGCGATGTTCAATGTTGTTAAACTATTGTACTATATAATTTGAAAGTAGATAGTAGATTAGGTACTCAACTACTTTGTTTCATTGGGTCCTTTTTAAACTGCAATAAAAAAATATGGAATGTTTTTTTTCTAAATGGCTTCGCACTGCTTGTGCATTTAGACAATGTCAAGTTTTAAAATGTTTACAAATACTATAGCACTCGTGGTCAAAGTAATAAATCAAGTCAAAGTAAGTGGCAGTCAAGTCCATCCCCCTTTCCCTATGTTTCAGTAAAAGTGTGGGGATTTACTGGAACCTCCCCGTGAACTTCTTGAGGGAACGTCGAAAGACACTTTCAATTTTTAACAAAAAAAAAACCAAACTGCTAATGGGACGCTTCTCTATCCCGCCAAAAAGTCGATAATAATAATTAATTAATTAATAATGATAATAATAATGATAATTGCCGCCGTTTTTGTTGTCAAACTATTTTTTTTTTCTGATAAAAATGTAACAATTTTTGGAGCTAAAGAATATTTTTACTAGTAAAGATTCCACTCGGTCTAGGTGTCAGGCAGGATGTTAATAATTCACTTGACCTCAGCGATGGGGTCGAATATCTTCGTAATTTTAAGGTGATCGCACATAAGTCAGCACCGAACGCGCCGCATTTAGTGTTTGGTCAGGTAGGAACACGCGGACGCGGTAGATTACACCATTGGGGTTAGAGATAAGGAGAACGGTCGCTGTAGAAAATAGTGTCTCAATAAATATAATATGTCTATGTAACGCGGAGTCAACTAGGCGGTTTCGCGGCGTTCCCATCCCGACATTAGTTGGTTGACAACGCGGCATCCACCTAGGGTTACCAGATGAATAAATCATAAGTCCGGATAAAATGTCCGATTTTGATTAAAAAAATCCTGTGGTTTTGACCCTTTATCTCGGAATCGCGCGGAAATATTGAGTTAAAATTTAAACCATATATTCAAGTCTACGGTCCGTTAAAACTGTGAAAAAATCAAACTTGTAAGTTAATGTAAAAAAAGACACGGCTGTTGATGTGGCGCACCTAAAAAGGAACTATGTTAATAAACATTCTAAAAATACTGAGATTTCCTTAGATTTGCAAAATCCGTACACAGTCCTGAGAAGAGTCTAAAAATCCGGAGATCTCAGGAGAAATCCTGAGATATGGTAACCCTATCCACCTGAGTTTGCTCGTCAACCACGAGTGGCTTTATTGAGCTGTGACCTTTAGAGTGCCAAAGCCACATCTTACTTTGAGACTGGAATATTTGTTGTTTATTGTGAAAATATTGATTAATTTGTTATTATTTGATTCACAGGCCACGTAAATCCTGTGAACATCCCGAAGGAATGGATCACAATTCATAGACCATGCCGCGACTCCATGCGCCGCCAGATTCAGATGGAAGTGGCGGCTTCGCTCCAATACTTGGCCATGGGTGCTCACTTCTCTAAAGACTCGGTGAGTTTGTTTACCATATGGACAATTATATGGTGGATGGCGTAGAGCCCATTCTGCTTGCGAAGTTAAGCAACTTCCGTAATGGTCGGTCATTGGATGGGTGACCAAAAACTTACTTTGTGCTTCCGAAGGTACGTTAAGCTGTTGGTCCAGACTGCATTTGCAGTCGTTAGCAACCACGAATCTGCACTGGGCCCGAGTGATGGGTCATGACCCAATCTCCCTATTCCATCCATAGGAAAGACCTGTGCACCAGCAGTGGGGACATAGATGATGATTTGCGCAAGATGGCTGGCAGGAGTTGGATGCGAGTAGCCCAAGATCGATCAGAGTGGCGTGCATTTGGAGAGGCCTATGTCCAGCAGTGGAATAAGATAGGCTGTTGATGATGATGATGAGACCATTATATATATATAGAAGGACTGACTTTTCATATATAAATTGGCTGCACCATCTCTTTCTAGTGGGTTGTATTGCGAAAATCAAATGATGTTCTAAGTATACAAATAAACTAAGAATTCAGTGCTCTTAACACGAACCATTATCGAATTCTAATAGTTTGTGTTATGTGAGATTGGTATTCATATGTCAATACCATTAATGTAAGTTCAGTAATAAGTTACATAATCTGTGGCTGTTTAAACAAGGACAAATATATAAATGCCCTCTCTCTCGCTCGTTCTCTGTCTGTTGTACACATTACAATTTGAATTAAATAAATAATTCTTTTATCACTTCTGTTTAATAGGAATGATGACTAATTTTTTTTTCTTCGTTTATCAGGTAGATTATCATAAAGTATTGGACACGTATTTTTCTTTTTTCACATAATATAAACATTGCAGAGATATATTGATTTGAAAAGTCGCATGACGTCACGTTTTGGTACACTTTTAAGTGAAAATTCACTCAAAAGTGACGTCACGAGCCCCTACTCCCAAACTTTGACGCGCTATAACTTTGTCATTTTTTGGTTGATTGCCCAAAGAAAAAATACGTGTCCATTATTTTTTGTTCATCAAACTGACGGACTAAATAGAATTTCGTTTACTGTACCCCGTCATCACCCCTATTGTTTTGACAACAACACAGTTTGAGAGTGCAAAATGTCATTGTCAAATGTGTACTGATTTTTAGTTCTCGTTACGTCCGTTGTGGCGCTGCTGTTCAAGTTTCCGTACAAATTTTGACATTGACATTTCGCACACGCAAACTATTCGAATTCGACATTGCTTCTTGTTAAAAGTATTTCCTTCTTTGAAACGAAAACAACCTGTTTATAGATCTAATTACATTGTTGTTTTTAATGGAAAGTTTAGAGAAGAAGCCAATATTGTTGGGGAATTGCCAGAATTATGTTTTTTTTTCTTGTCAGCTTTCCCACGCATCTCCTGATGTGCACTGCGCTTGAAAAGTTTTATTTTCCCTACAAAAATGCTGCCCTGAGGCCAATCGCTATGGCTATCGCTATCGCTTACGATTTCATTTTGTTATTTCTTGCTCTTGTCCCTAATGGCGTATTATAAAATCCAGCACTGGTATCGACTATGGCAAAATCTCTAAACTTAAAACTAAATTTACCATCAGTATCTTCCTATCCTATGAGGAGTTCGATGGCGCAAGTCGTCAGCGCGTTCGGCTGCGATCGCTGAAGTTCAGCAACTTTCGCAGTGGTCGGTCATTGGATGGGTGACCAAAAATATTCTATCTCGAGTTTCTCCCTGCTTCGGAAGGCACGTTAAGCCGTTGGCCTTGGTTGCATCTGCAGTCGTTAGCACCCACCAATCAACACTGGGTCCGTGTGGTCGGTCATGGCCCAATCTCCCTTTTCCATCCATTGGGAAGACCTGTGCCCCAGCAGTGGGGACATTAATAGGCTGATGATGATGATGATCTTCCTATTATTCTGTATAGAGAATGACAATGATACAATGTTGTCAAATTTAAGTTTAGGTTTAGAGAATTATGCCAGAATTGACACCTGACCACTTACGATTTGATCCCCTGGTTGTATCACTTGTGGGTGCCCTTGGGAACCCTGAGGCATCCACTAGACTTTTCTATGAAATTTTGATTATAACTGTGAAATACCTTAAAAGTGTCCCTCCCTGCCAAGTGATAAGAAAGGTTGAAGCGCGGGGCATATTTTTATACTGTTGATATCTCGAGTCCTTAATGAAGAACTAAACTATATTTTCTATCTCTTTCTGTAGGTGAACAGGCCAGGTTTCGCCAAGATGTTCTTCGAGGCCGGTTCTGAGGAAAGAGAGCACGCGATGAAGCTGATCGAATACCTCCTCATGAGGGGAGAACTCACCTCCGACGTCACCTCCCTTATCACCATCAGGGTAAGTACTGACTTTTTATTTGGCATATATCACCGAAAAAATTTAAGCTTGACTGTAGTTACTTAGTATCCTTTGCCTTCTTTAAGTGAGAACACAACGAAATAAATATAATGAAGAAATCAAAATGTCATTCTGTCGCTTGGGAAATGTTGCCATGTGCTGTGCAATTACGGTTAATACGCCGTAATCAGTACTAATCTGTAGTTAATTGCTGATTCTTGACAATAGGGGAGTTAAATCGAAAAAATGTTATGTTAAGAGGAGATTAAGATGCTTAGATTATAATGTTGAAATAATTAAGATTTCTATCAATCAGCCTTAAATTGAATAAGTTATAAAGCTAACTAGGCGCTCGTTGGCGCAGGTGGTTAGCGCGTTCGGCTGCCATCGTTGCAGTAAAGCAACTTTCGCAGTGGTCGGTCATTGGATGTGTGACCAAAAATCTTCTATCTCAAGTCCCTCCGTGCTTCGGAAGGCACGTTAAGACGTTGGTCCCGGCTGAATCTGCAGTTTTTAGCACCCGCCAATCCGCACTGGGCCCGCGTGGTGGGTCATGGCCTAATCTCCCTATTCCATCGGGATAGGGAAGTCCTGTGCCCCAGCAGTGGGGACAATAATAGGCTGATGATGACGAAAGCTAATTAATTGTAGAGGAAAGAGCAAACAAAGGCTTGCAAATGCTTAAAATAACAATATACTATGTTATAGCCCCCGGAGCGCAAGACTTGGGATAACGGCGTAGAAGCCCTAGAACACGCCTTGAAGATGGAGTCTGACGTCACCAAGAGCATCCGTACCGTCATCCAGGCTTGCGAAGATGACAGCGAATTCAACGATTACCATGTAAGTTGAAGTTTAAATAACATTACAATTTTTTTGGGACAGTTATGTGAAATAAATTAGCACTGGTCGCGAATTTTTATTCGAGTTAATTTTGTATGTATGTCTAAAGAGAAATATTTATTACGTAATTATTATAATAACCCGGAATAATGTTATTATTAAAATACACTCCAGGGGGGCGATCGCCGAAACGAGTTGCTATGGCTATCGCTATCACTTAACATTGCATTTTATTTTTTCTGACCGCCTAAAGCTTTCGAATACCTCGCGCTTATTTTATTTAATATGGTTACTACCAATGCAAAAGAAAAAAAAGAGCGCGAGGCATTTAAACACCTTTTGCGAGGTCAGGAATAACAAAATGAAGTCGTAAGCGATAGCCATAGCAATCCCGTTAGGCAATTGGCTCCCAAGAGTATTCCTAAGTTTCGAGTTAAAATAATTTATGTATTAAACTATGAAGCCTAACTTTATACACAGATTTCAAAATGTCCTCCGTTATACATGTACTGGTCATAGCGGGAAGCTCTGTACAAAATGTCAGCGATCTATTTTAGACTCATTCACCAATCAGTCAGCTAATCCTAGTAATTTAAGTCGATTATTCTCTATGTCATGTCTCCCAACGTAGATTTGCAAACCATTGACGTAGTTTTTCGTCTTACACGGGTGCTTGTAACAACCTCAACTAAAATAATGGATATTGAATTTTGTAGCAAATATCAGTCTCATCGCATTAAGCATGTTTGCACTCCTAAAGCAAAGTAAGAATATTTTCAATACGATTTCTTGTTTTTTTTTTAGCTTGTCGACTACTTGACCGGTGAATTCTTGGAAGAGCAATACAAGGGACAACGCGACATCGCCGGCAAGGCCTCAACTCTCAAGAAAATGCTGGACCGCCATTCGTCCCTTGGCGAATTCATATTCGACAAGAAACTCATGGGTATCGATGTTTAAACAGGCCATTAAATGTAGTAATAAAAAATATATCCTAATTAAAATTCCCGCCCTTTTCTGGCACTGAATTTTTCGTGATCGTATTTTTAGTTGCCAGCTTAAAATTAAAAAACAAAACAATGGTGTCGATTCTGGCAGGATTCTCTAAACTTAAAACTAAATTTAACATCAGTCTGTCTTTTTTTTATTCTGTATAGAGAATGACAAAGATACACTGTTGTCAAATTTAAGTTTAGCTTTAGAAAATCATGCCAGAATCGACATTTTTGTCTGTATTAAAATATGTTAAAGTGAAAAGTTACAAATATTTCAATTAGTAATGTTACTTATTGGAGAAATTCATATTGTATCCATTATGTAAGTAGTATTGTACAAAAATAGACTTAAGGATAGTATAAAATAAATAGTATACTCCACTAAACATCATTTTTAACAGTCAATTCGATTATTAAGTTATGTGATATACTCCATTTTTCCCCTCTGTTTTTGTATTTTTTTCAATATTTCAGTTAAAATTGTATTTAAATGTTTATTCCACTTTTCTTACAATAAAAATTATCCATCATATAAGTGTTTTATTTGTAATTTTATTGGTTTTGATGAACAAGTTATTCTCAAATACATATGTAAATGTGCTAACGAATGTATCTACTTATTTACCATACAAAATTCCATCTGATATATTACGTAGTTTACTACATTCAAATTATAATTTCCGGATATGAATATGAGAGAGTCTTTATCACTATTCCAAAATCTTAAAATTCATCAAAATCGAATCAACAATGATTTACAGCTGAAAGCTTTGAGTATCTACTGAAAGCTAGTAAACAAACGGCTACTTATGCGTGTGGCAACCAGGGGCTTTTCACTTCGAACTACAATTATTTGTATGGACATCACAGAACGAATTTTAGATAAGTAATATTTCACTAGATGGCGTTATTCAGATCTTTTTTACGTATGGTATTCCTCCAACTTCATATATATTTTTAAACAGTAACACAAAATTATACCTGTGGCTGTCAGTGACTGTAACAAAAATCAAGAAAGAAGAAATACAGTTTATCAGCATATATTATTTACAACATATTTTATTTTGAAATAATAAACTAAAGAATCGGCTGTATGGGCACAGTACCCTTTGCCTACCCAGAATGGGTAAAGAATCTAAAAAAAAACAACTGTAACAAAAAAAAAACTGTTCCGTTTACTTTACTCTTCGTAAATTGAATGTTTTCTTGTGATTTTTGGTGGTTTTTCCGACGATTTTAGCTATTTTTCCGGACTCCGATTCTCCTGCTTTTACGTTTTGACCCCTGCTCTTCATATCGGTTATTGATTGGCTTCACTATTTGGATTTCGTTGTTCTCGAAAATGGCATCTCAGAGAAGATATTGTGTGCCTAATTGCAATGTAACACGTATGTATGACCAATCAGTTACATATAATTGAACCTCTATAAACAATCCTTTCTTGATTTAACTATTTGACCAAATGTTTCAGGCGCAGATAAAATACCAATGCAATCGTTTCCTAACCCTGACATTCACCCCGATCGATTCCGAACTTGGCTTCCGCTGTCGGAGGAGAGATATTAGCTATGGACAATAATTATATGGGGAAATAGTATAGAAGCAAAAAGGGCTTTCATTACACAAAAAAAATGTATCAGAGCTATATGTGGAACTCCGCCTGATGAACCATGCAGACCATTATTTAAACATTTAAAAATATTACCACTGCCTTGCCTATACATTTTTGATGTTGCTAAATTTGTAAGGTTAAATATGCACTATTTCAGGCAAGCTGTAGATATATATCCACGTAATACACGAAATGGTGATAGATTGGTTTCTGCAATCATTCCAAAAAGCATGAGATTCAAAAAAAATTGTTATTGGATGTGTATGCAAATTTACAATAAGTTACCAACTTATATAAAAAAAATGCCTTTTAAGAAATTTAAGACTGCCTTGTACAGTTGGCTATATGATAGGATGTTTTATAGTGTTAAAGAATATTTATGTAATGATTGCAGCTAGTGACAGTAGGTTTTAGGTTTTATTATTTGTATTCTGCACTTGGTTGACATTTTTATTCTATTGTACTCTGATTGACATTTTATTCTATTGTGTTTTGTTTGACATTTTATCCTATTGAATTTTGATTGGCATTTTTTTTTCTATAATTGACATTATTAATCGACTATCTTATATACATAATACATAAATTATATACATAAATTAAGACAGTTGTAATTTTGATGACGATAATATAATGTAATTCGCTTTTAAGAATTTATTAATGGTATGTGAAATTGATGGCATAATGATTGTTAATGATATTGATGTAATTAATGCAGTGTTGGATATTTGCATGCTATTGTAAATGGCAGAATGGGCCGAACTTCATATTTGTGACATCTCCAGTGTACCCCTATTCTTATGCAAATAAATAAATTCTAATTCTAATTATTTTTTCAAGCAAGGAATAGTTTGTCAAAAACATTTTGTGACCAAGTTTCTTACTTGGACTAGAACACTTTCTGGTACTTAATTCCATTATATGTAATTGAATTTCGGGGTAATTTGTAGGGGAGGGGGAGGAGGGGTTCCTCCCGACCCCCCCGCCATAAAAGATTTTTGCGGAAATGCAGTTTTTTTTTTACCTAACCTAAAAATTCATTAAATCTGTTAAATGTAGTGGAATTTTAGGGGGATAGGTATAAGGGAAGACCCCTCAGAGGGAAGGGTAACCCCCCCCCCCTCCCGGCGTTTTTTTACAGAAATGATATTTATAAAAAATTAGAGGGGTTTTAAAGGTAAAACTGTACTTCCAGGGCCTAGAGGTGATATTTGATTTTTTTGTAGAAAAAGTCTCTATTAACGAATTTTACTTTCTGGCGCTTCGCCGGCCGCTGCCGCGGCACGCTCGCTTCGCTCGCTCGGCTCGCGCGTTAAGGTCACAACACTAATCTAACCTAGTGTGAAGTATCACCACACAAGCGGCTCATTAGAGTCCAAAACTCGCACTACTCAGGCGAAGGGACAGCAGAACTCGAGGCCGAAGACTTTGAGGATGCCATGGTAGTCAGACGATGTTAATATCAACAGGAATACGAAAAAGCTCTCAACTGCGACGAACACAAACACTGACTGACAGATCTCATTATTGGCGGTAAATTGTCACATTTTGATAATAGTACCAACATAATAAACTTATATTTACCATAGACAACGAGAAACATGTTATTTTTGCATAAAAAAATGGCAGCACTGATCAAAATTGCTGTCAAAATTGACTCTTAACCTACAAAAATATTAATTTTCAATAATTTTTTTCTCGAGTTCTATTCGTTTCCGCCTAAAAAGATTTCGTGTACGTGTTTTTAATAGTTAATACCTTGCGTGACAAAAATTTCAGCTTGCAACTCAATTACATATAATGGAAAGGTGAGCCCACTTTCTCCTCATGCTGTCCAACTTTACATTTGCCACGTAAATTTCTGATTTCAAAGTTTTTTAAAACATCGAGTAAAGAGTGTATGTAATGGTCTCTTAATAAAAATCATTGAGTTGAATGTGATTTTTATATAAATTGCTAAATATTTTTTTATTATCTGGATTTGGTGCACCAAGGCGTGTTTCAAGTTTTCAATGCCTTCTACATCCACTAGTAAATATTTATTTATTTATTTACAAATCATTTTGACATTCTGGTAGAGTGGAATGTGCACTGGTTGTCAATGCCTACTGTAAAGTTCTGGGTTCGAATCCTGGTAGGGGCAAAATTCTTTTTGAATGTTTGAATGGAAGCATCAAATTTCAGATATACAAATTAGTAAAAACTTTCCCTTATTCTCTTTTGTTTTAATATAAAATTTTTTTGCAGGTGGTGTTTTGACTGAAAAGGTAGAATTACAACAAAACGCTGTAAAGAAATCGAAGATACTAAGTAAAAATAAGCTTACCGGTAATTTTTATTTTTATATAAGTATTTTTGTCTATTAAAATTATTTGATAATTTTATTTACTTAATTTAAAAAAAATATCAGAAATATGTTATCTATATTTAAAGAGCACCTATCCTAATCATCTTTATTCTTTTGTTAACTTTTTTCTTAAACTTACCTGTATGGGCTTTAGTCATGTTTTAGTTAATAAGTAGACATTACATAATGTAATGAACCTTCCACTTAGTTTTCTTATACTAATAATAAGTTAAAAAAAATTGAAGACTTCTCACCTCACAATGATACTAATTTTATTGAAATGCTTTTTTTCAGCATCTGCAATGGATCAAAGTGTAACTAACTTAAAAAAAGTGGTGAAGAAGCTAACTGAAAAGAATCTCAAATACACAACACGGCTAAAGAAAGCAATGAAACTTTTATGATAGATCCGACTTGTAGATTTTTTATATATAACTGGTGTGGTGAGGTAAATAAATTATTAAACGGCACCATAAAGGTGCGTAATTGTACAAATTTTAAAGATGATATTAAAAGAATGGTATGCAAATATTTAAAAATATAAATAAAAATAATTGATTTATAAAACTTCTTTATTTATTCTAACCGACTGTGTTAAAGTTACATTATTAGACAATTATAAAAAAAAAGTAGATAAATTATCTAATAATATAGCTTTAACACAGTATGGTTTTTTCCTTTTTTCATATTAATAATCGCATCTAAAGCTGCCGGTACCGGTTCAGTAGTACATGACTTGTGATTATGTCATGAATCGCTAGATGGCGCTGTATGCTCAGGTTAACTGATATCTCTATTACTAGTATATAATGTACTCTATGGTGGCGACTTTGCACCGCATAAAAGTTGGTCCATGTCGCCATACAGCCAGTGTCTATGGAAATTCCGTAGGCACTGGCACATTAGAAATTAAGTTTTTTAATTATGTTCTTTTTGATATTTTCTGTTAAATTTTTAATTGTCAGTCTAAAAATAGTTTTAGATAAAAAAATTTCGTCCGTACAAATTGTATTTTATAATTGTGAATATTTTCCAAATATAGTGCTGATAAGTTGACGTATCGTCGTTTAATTACTCCGTTCCGCTAGTGGGGAGCAGCGGTTAAACATCCCCAAAAGCGCATTTTAAATATTAGTGTAATTGATAAAAGAAAGAACAAGAAATAGAAATTTCTACATATTTGAGAATTATAGATGAATTATCAAATATTCAATAAATATATTTTAAAGATGTGGTTTTGTACCTTTTGCTTCCACTACGAAAATTTTAAAAATATATAAAAAAAGTAAAATGTCATTCAGTGGCTTAGGTAATGTTGCCATATGCCCTGTAAATACAGTAATTTTACCAAAATCACCTTGAATATCCTTCTCCCTTATAAATTTATTTTCATTTATAAATTGTTCTGGTGCTTTAATAGAAATGCACATTCTGTGAAAATGTTGATAGTTCTATTACGGTTAATGATATTCATTTAATTAGGTAAAAGATACACGATAGCCATTTTAATTTCAAAAGTAAAGTGGAATTGTATGCGGTCTGACTTTAAACTGGGCATCTGTAAATTAACGCTACAC